AGGAGATGGCACCTAAAGAAGAAGAATCGTATTTATATTCATATGCATGTAGTAAAAACGGTTATTTCAATATTACAAACAGATACTCCAATTTTATTTATATGTATAGATTAATCTATTTGCTTTGTAACCAATAAATTTTGAAAATAAATGTCTTGTTTTCTACCTGATCTTATACTTAGATATGGTATAAAAATAATTGTTATTATCGAATTCCCTGAGTTTACTAATTAAAAGATCGTTAATTATAATATTTGTCTTGTTTTTAATAAAATTGATTTAAATTTACATTGTAAAAGCAAATTTGAATAAAGATTGATTAATCGGAAATCGATCTTTTGGACAGGTCACGATTCGGATTGATTTAAAAATCGATCACTTTCGGAAAGAATCGCCATCCCTACTGCAGATTCTACAAATATCTGAAAATAGCCCAAACAACCTAATAAAAAAAAAAAGTGATGCCCTCTACAAGTTGCTATAAATACTTAAAACGAATGAGTTTAAACCTTGGTTCTTCAAAATTAATTTGAACAAAAGCGAGACTACGTCAATAATTAGAATGAGATTGGGGCATGTATGCTCTCCTGCACATCTAGCTAAGCTAAAAATTGTAGATAATGATATATGTAGCTGTGGTACAGAAGTGGGTGACTTGAACCATATCATTTTCAGTTGTCCTCTGTATGATCATTCCTACCTTTTTAATGATCTCCTATCTCACCGAATTCCTTTACCTACATCAATTCCAATTTTATTATATCTTAATGATATTGATGTGTATAAAAGTATTTCGATTTTTCTAAGTAGTAATAATATAAAATTGTAAATATAAAACTGACTGCCTCTATATAAATATATCATATGTAAATAGATGTCTGTTAATATATTAAGGTCTTATATAAGTATAATGACATATGTATATAATTAATATGTATAGTGTAGTACCTTAGTCTAATCCTTATAATTAATCCTATTGTCAACTTACCTGATCCTTTAAACCTATCGTCCAAAATTTCCTTTACCTGAACTACTGTTTCCCAAATTTTGTATATTGGCAAATGCACAGACGTGCCAAGCCATAAAGAAGAAAAAAAAAAACGAATGATTTTAAAACTGTCTCCTTGACTGATAGTTCTCTCAGTTTATGTCATTCTGTTGGTTCATTCATCTTCAGTCGGTTGTATTGAAGTTCTTTGCGTGTATGTTACTAAGTTTTGTTATTTTTTAATTTTTAACTCTTAATTGTTACATTTTTGTTATAATTTAGTTAAAATAGGTCGTGTCTTGAGTTCTACTTCATAAATGGTGACGTCTTAGTTTATAATCTTATAATAAATGTTATTACAGCTGCTAAATAGGGAATAAGTATTTGAAGGGTTTTACGAGAAAAATTGGAATAAAAGAATTTTACGTCTTTACAGAACAACTATTATATTTAGACAGCTTTTGTGACATCCTTTAAAAAAACAAAAAACAAATTAATTTCTTCTTTTTTACACTCTCTTCTAATTTTCACACGCGTGAGAATTATTTTTATAACTACAGTACATGATAAAATTAATTATATACGAAACTAACTTAACAAGTACTTCGCCTTAACAGAGAGAATTTATGTTTATCAAACTTTATTTTATTTAAGGCTTTTGTAAATATATCTGCTATTTGCAGTTCTGTTGGACAATAATCAATGCTAAATTCATTATTTATATACAATTCATGGATGTAGTGGTAACGAACATCTATATGCTTAGACCGTTTATTAAATACGCCCGGTATATCCGGTCTAGTTCTTGTTGACAAATATAGAGGACTGCCTACAGCTTCTCTATAAGGGTACATCAACTTTTCCTCTTTGTCACACTCTACTTCTCCCTCTCCTGCGGGTGTCTGCACTTATCCATATTAAACTTCTTTAAAAGTGATTTGGTGTATTCAGTTTGTGTTAGATGCCATCCTACATTATCTGCTTTTAATTCCATACCCGAATACCACTTAGGTTCAGAACACGATGTAATCTCGAATTTCTCGTTTAGTCTAAACAACAACTGTGTTAAGTCTTCTGCTTTACCAATGATTAGTCCATCGTCAACATATATAGCTAAAAGAACTGACGTTTCTTGATTTTTATAAATACAAGGTTCGTTTCTTACTTGACTAAATCCCAATTCTTTTATTTTTTCGTTGAATTTTTCATTCCACCTTTTTGGAGACTGTCTAATAGCCCAAGAGCCCACGACTGCCAGACATACGTCATTTTAATAAACGTGAAATTTCTTGTATGTGTGTCAACACAGTAGAACGATCCCCAAATATAAACCTGGATTGGTAAATATAAGGTAACAAAGGTGTAAAAAAAATCATACCAAATTCGTTATATAATTTTCATATATATCACTATTGTAAATGCCAGACACGTAGTGTGGTTAATATATTGTAAATAAACTTACGTCATTTTAATAAAGCTTATATATATATTATGACTCTCAAACTGAGTTTCCTAAATTGTATATAAACCGTATATTGGTTAACAACGGTGTATACAATTTCATATCAAATTCGTTATTTTAAGATGCTCCATTTTTTCACATATTGCTCTATTGTCTTGCTCTGCTCATTGCCAGACCCTTAGTGTGGTTGCAACCCTCCGCCGGACCCTCCTAAACTATACTATTTTATAAATAAACTTACGTCATTTTACCTGAATTTGTATATATTCCCAGAGTTTTCTATATTGGCTAAATTGCCAGACAGTTTTCTTGGCTCCTTATCCTAAGACTCATAAAGATATTGGATAACAACGGTGTAAAATTTCATATCAAATTGATTTTAAAACTCCATTTTTTCACATATTGCTGACAGTATTATAAGTTCTCTCTCGTTGTACTGTCTGGCAATTTCTGTTAGTTCTCTCAATAACATATATAAAGTCGGTAAATTTATTTATAAAATAGTATCTTTGCGTGTATGTTACTAAGTTTTGTTATTTTTTAATTTTTAACTCTTAATTGTTACATTTTTGTACCCAATATAATTTAGTTAAAATAGGTCGTGTCTTGAGTTCTATATATATAAAAATAAAATGACGTCTTAGTTTATAATCTTATAATAAATGTTATTACAGCTGCTAAAATACGGAATAAGTATTTGATAGGGTTTCAATGAGTCGTAGGATAAGGAATAAAAAACTGTCTGGCAATTTACGAAACTCTTTACAGAACTCTCAATTATATATAAATTTCAGCTTTATTAAAATGACAGTTTATTTTAAAATACAAAAATAGTTTAGGGGGGTCCGGCGGGGGTTGGGACCACACTCTCTGGCAATGAGCAGCGCAAGTTTTCAATGCTGCGAACAATATGTGAAAAAATGGAGCATCTTAAAATAACGAATTTGACATGAAATAAAATTGTTTATATACGGTTTCAATGATTCTGGTGGAATAAGGAACCAAGAAAACTGTCTGGCAATTTAGGAAACTCAGTTTGAGAGAACTCTCAATAATATATATAAATTTCAGCTTTATTAAAATGACGTAAGTTTATTTATAAAATAGTATAGTTTAGGGGGGTCCGGCGGGGGGTTGGGACCACACTAAGGGTCTGGCAATGAGCAGAGCAAGTTATAATAATGCTACGAACAATATGTGAAAAAACGGAGCATCTTAAAATAACGAATTTGACATGAAATTGTATACACCGTTGTTATCCAATATACGGTTTCAATGGTTCTGGTGGAATAAGGAACCAAGAAAACTGTCTGGCAATTTAGGAAACTCAGTTTGAGAGAACTCTCAATAATATATATAAATTTCAGCTTTATTAAAATGACGTAAGTTTATTTATAAAATAGTATAGTTTAGGGGGGTCCGGCGGGGGGTCGGAACCACACTAATCTGGCAATGAGCAGCGCAAGTTATAATAATGCTACGAACAATATGTGAAAAAATGGAGCATCTTAAAATAATGAATTTGACATGAAATTGTATACACCGTTGTTATCCAATATACGGTTTTTTCAATGATTCTGGTGGAATAAGGAACCAAGAAACCTGTCTGGCAATTTAGGAAACTCAGTTTGAGAGAACTCTCAATAATATATATAAATTTCAGCTTTATTAAAATGACGTAAGTTTATTTACAAAATAGTATAGTTTAGGGGGGTCCGGCGGGGGGTTGGAACCACACTAAGGGTCTGGCAATGAGCAGAGCAAGTTATAATACTGTTACGAGCAATATGTGAAAAAATGGAGCATCTTAAAATAACGAATTTGATATGAAATTGTATACACCGTTGTTACCCAATATACGGTTTCAATGAGTCTGGTATGATAAGGAACCAAGAAAACTGTCTGGCAATTTAGGAAACTCAGTTTGAGAGAACTCTCAATAATATATATAAATTACAGCTTTATTAAAATGACGTAAGTTTATTTACAAAATAGTATAGTTTAGGGGGGTCCGGCGGGGGGTTGGAACCACACTACGTGTCTGGCAATGAACATATATATGCTACGAACAAAAGAAAATATGGAGTTTCTTAAAATAACGAATTTGATATGAATTTTTTTGATTTTTATACCTGCCAAAGGAACCACGAAGGTTTCATGTTTGGGGATCGTTCTTTCCTGTGTTGGGGACACACATACAAGAACTTTCACCTAAAATGACGTATGTCTTTTCTTTTTTCGTATAACGACCTCACTAATTTTTTTATTTTTAGAATCGCAGTGAACTCCCTTAGGAATTTTTGAGATACCTGTTCTAAGTCCCCCGTATTCAAACGGGGATAACGAGCCTCGAACCCCTAGTGGTTACAAAGTCTATTATTTTTAGAATCGCAGTGAACTCCTTTAGGAATTTTCATGTCCGACAAAAAAAAAAAAAAATACCTGTTCATCATCACGCAACTTACCATTGAGAAAGGCTGTTTTTACATTAAACGTCATAATATTGTAGTTTTTAGCTGCGGCAATGGCGAACAATGTTTTTATTGCGGTCTACGATGCAACTGGACTAAATATATCGTCGTAGTTTACGTCTTGTTGTTCATTACCTCTTACGACTAATCTTGTTTTGTATTTACCATCTTCTTTAATTCTGAATACCCATTTATTAGTTAATGTTTTATGACCATATGATTCAGATTGATCTACTATTTTCCAAACATTATTTTCTTCTAAAGAATTTAGTTCACTTTCGATTGCCCTTTCCCACTTCTCTTTTTCAGGACTTTTTAATACTTCTTCGTAGGTTAGCAAAACATAGTCTTTATATTTTTCTGGTAGCTTTCTTGTCCTGTGTTCCAGACTTTCTTCTGGTTGAAGTCTGTATCCATTATTTGTATATCCTATCATTCTATATTTTACTGCTCTAGCATCCAATTTCTTACTAGGTGGCAATATCTTTGCAAACGCATCACACCCAAATTCTCTAACATTCGAAAGATTTGGTAACCTTCCATACCATAGTTCAAAAGGTGTTTTATTATTTATTGATTCACTTGGTAATCGATTCAGCAGATATACACTGCAATAAAGAGCTTCACCCCACATTTCCTTTTTCATTTCAGACATGTATAGCAAAGAACGAATCTTTTCGTGTATAGTTCTGTTTAGATGTTCGACTTTTCCGTTTAATTGTGGGCAGTATGGTACAGAGTAGTCTAATTTTATTCCCTTTTTAATGCAATAACTTTTAAAATTGTGTGAAGTATATTCACCATCATTGTCACAACGAATTGTAACAACTTTTAAATTGGATTCTCGTTCTGCTTCTGCAATAAAATTCTTAAAAAATGTTGTAACTTCGTCCTTAAATTTTAAGAGATACACTTTAGTGTAGTGGCTATAATCATCTAAAACAGTTAAAAAATATCTATAACCATTCCACGTTTCCGTTTGTAAAGGGCCGCAAACATCTGTGTGTATTATTTCAAGTTTCTTACTTGCTCTAGTTCTTACGGTTTTGAATGGTAACCTTGGTTGTTTGGCTCTTATACATACTTCACAACTCGTCATCATACCTTTTTTATTTTCTATTTTTACGCCATTTACTACATCAGGTAAAATTTTTTAAATTTTCTCACCTGGGTGTCCTAATTTTCTATGCCAACTTTCAGCTGAGTTTTCATTTTCTTCATTAGACAAGTATGCCTGTTCTTCAAATTTTATTTGTTTATCCAGTTTTACTACAAATAAGCCGGAATCTTCTTTTTTACCAGCTATTATTTTACCACTGCTCCGAATTTCTACGCCATGTCTATCAAATAATACGGTACCACCGTTTTTAACAATCTCTGGAACAGATAGTAAATTACGAGAAAACACACACACATAAAACGTTCGTTACATCACATTCTGTTGCTATAAAATCACCTACATATTGTGATACCAGAGTCGCATCTTTTTTAGCTATACCAACATCAATAGATTTGGATTTAGTATTTGAGAATAAAGTTTTATCGTTGACCATATGTACGGTACAACCAGAATCAAGAACAAAATTTGTTCTCTCACTTATAACATTGTTACTTGCGGCTAAGAGCGCAACTTTATTTTCGTTTTTATTTTTCCGAAAAAATCAATCTTTTTCTTTATGATTTGATTTCTTACAAATTTTACAAAATAAAAAATTCCTGCAAAATTTTGCTATATGACCAGTCTTATTACATTTAAAACACACATTAGTAGAATACGAGCTAGATGCCTGACCGTTACCTGTATTTTTACGCATTCTACCTTTATTTTCAGCAGCTAGGGCCACTGATTGTATATTCTCATTTTTTCTTTTTTCTTCTTTTACTAATCTTATTCTTAAGTTCTTTAGCGTTCTTTCTTCTTTAGGAGTACTTTCCCAAGCTGTTACAAAAGATTGGTAGTTGTCTATATTTGAAAGAATGTTTAGTATTTTAGATTCTATCATTGCATCATCAAATGGCATTTTTAATTGTGTCAGTCTATGTATTAAATTTTCAAGCTTTGTAAAATTTTCATCCATGGATATGTCATTTTCAAATTTATAGTTGTAAAAATCTTGAAGCAAATTCATTTTTTTTCGTTCCTCTGTGCCTTCAAAAACATCACAATTAAATATTTCGTATGCAGTTGTGCATTGGAACAATTGAGTTTTATGCTTTTTTGATACACTTTGCAGAATAATATGTTTTGTCATAGCGTCTTTACCTGTTTGTATTTTTTCCTCAGTATTGTCTGCATTATCAATATATTGTAATAGACCTTTTGCTTCGAGAAGAATTTTTATTTCAAATTTCCATAGCTGAAAGGAAGTGACATCGTCCAAAAGACAAATTCGGTGAATTTCTTCAGCCGTTGCGACTGCCATTTTAATATTTTTACCTACTGTTGTTCTACACTATTTTTATTTCTATATTATTTATTTTTACTTATTATTTGCTCTGATAGCCCATAACCTGAAGGGTTTTACGAGGAAAATTGGAATAAAAGAATTTTACGTCTTTACAGAACAACTATTATATTTAGACAGCTTTTGTGACATCCTTTTAAAAAACAAAAAACAAATTAATTTCTTCTTTTTTACAGTATTCATAAAATTCTATCTGGAAAAATAACTTATGCTAGTGACGATACCGTTTAAACAACCGCTATGTATAAACAAAAATTATAAATTATGTAAATAAAATCTTTTTTTATTTATTAAAATACCTACCAAGTAAACCATAGTAATGTATCATATAGTTCCATCTAACAGTTTAATTTTATAAATTCTATTAAATCGAATTCAGTAGAATTCATATATATATAGAGCTACCTCTATGTATGTGTATATATATATTACAGCTACTCTCCATACATAGCTAAAACCATAAACAAGCCACTCTTTTTCTTTTGGTATATGTATTTTATCATGTTTAATATTACTATACATATATATACATACATATAATGTAAAGTTGTCAACTCGAATTGAACTCGAGTTAGCAAACAGAAATTGAGTGTATTGTTGATTACAAATAACCTTTCGACATATTTATTCCTCCACCCAACTCTCTGTTAGGATAGTATCATTGCCTAATTAATTTTTTTTTTACTGCTTATTGTTGATGATCGGGAGCAAATGTATTAGATTTTGTAGCTTTTTTGTACCAGGTAACATTTTTTTATGTTTAGTGTTGTATAATCTGTGGTTCTGTTTATTAAACCTGCTAATTGCTCTGTGCTTCTACTCTAAATCGTAAACATCTCTATACAGCACTAAACAGTATCTGAACAGATTTGTAGAATACAAGTATCTTTGGCGTAGCTCATTTTTAATTTAATTCTTTATATATATATATATATATTCGCTTAATTACATTTATTTTTTCACATATAGAGTTTCAAATCTTCAAGGGCCATTATTTATTTCCATGGCTACTTCTAGCGATACATCAGACCACAATGTTAAATCCAAAAGGCCTGCTGGTAAGAATGGTGACACACCCAATGACCTTAAGTCTTTATTGATTGCTTACATTTACACCATTTTTTTTCTTGTAGATTCTGCGTTCAAACAGCAACGACTTCCCGCATGGCAGCCTATATTAACTGCGGGCACAGTTCTCCCTACGTTCTTTGTAATAGGAATTGCCTTCATTCCTGTTGGTGTTGGATTACTGTACTTTTCAGATGAGGTAGCAGTTGTATACTGACTATGTTTAACAGCTAGTATTTTATGGTTCAGAAGAAATAATGTATGCATTATGTATATATATATAATGTATAAATATTAATAAAATTTACTTTTTCCAATGTGTATATAATGTTTACATAAAGTAAAAAAATATAACACATAATCATAGAACTAGGTCTAAACAGTCATGAACATATTTGTACTAGCTGTTATCTGAAATGAAATGGTGATCATGACAATTTCAATTTTGATGAAATGTTATTTTTTCATCAAACAGCTTAATGTATCTCAAATTGGTGAAATTTTCATGATGCATGAGCACATAGACATTTTTTATACAATTATAGTATTTTCTTATTTATATTTTATCAAATTAAGTTGATATATTGATGTTATTTTGCCGAAGTCCATTTCATTACTTTGTTTAATTACACTACTATTATGTGAGTCAACAAGCATTTAGTGTAGAAACCTGACCACTGCTACTGGAAGCATTATGACCATCCCCACTAGTGATTATTCCCACTGTTTGATGACCAAATTACTACTGTCATTGTATATAAATATAACCATTGTCAACTAACATTATGAATCATAAAGTTCTTGAATATTAAATTTTATCATAATTAATTCAGGTGAAAGAGCATGTTATAGATTACACATACTGTTTGAAAGATGATGAGAACATAACCTGTGCGGAATACATAAAACAGAACTTCATGGAACCTTGTACATGTAGCATTCCCTTCAATCTTACGGAAGATTTCAAAGGAGATGTATACTTTTACTATGGCTTGAGTAATTATTATCAGAATCATCGGCGATATGTAAAATCCAGGTAAAGAAACATTTATTTAATTATCCTAGCAATGACATGGTTCAGCACTGTTGAAAACATATTACTTTTATCTTTATACTACATATAAGTTTTTTCTTTGCATCAAATTTCACTCATAATTGTTCATAATCTTATTCTTATATATAAAATTCACAATGTTAGTTACCAAACTCCTCTGAAATGGCTTGACTGATTTTTATAAAATTTTATATGCATATTCAGTAGGTTTGAGAATCAGCTACTATCTATTTTTCATACACCTAAGTGATAAGAGTTGTCCACCTAACATTAATTTTTTACTTTTTGGGCAAAAATTTTTTATTTAATATGTGTCATTAAAAAATTCATACAACCCTAAATTTTCACCCTTCTATCACCAACTCCTATTTTATTATAGCATTATTAATTTATATGGCAAAACAGTGTTTGCCAGGACAGCAAGTAATGTATATAATTCTAAATCAAGTATGTGATGAGCATGTCAACTCAAGCTTTCTTTTGACACCTCTTGGAAAGCCTAGAGATGACCAGAGAAAGATGCAGTAGAAGGGGATACATAATTATATGTACAGTAGAACTTTGTTTGCCATTTTGATGCCTGATACTTTATTATTGACTGGGTGAGGGTTTTTTTTTGTGATAAATGTTTGTTATATAATTGAGCATGAATGAGTAGAATGAGTTGGCATATTACTAGAGATACATTCATAAAATGCCCATTTCACAGAATTTCTTTGTCACCCTCTTTACCCTACTTTCCTTCATTAAAAGCTGGCATATCTGTAATTTCCCAGGTGTTGTAAGTAGTTATGAGTTATGGTTTTAGATGTAGTTACAATAGCAAACAAGTTGATGTCCTACTAATCCTAATCACATCTAGTATAAGAGTTGAATGATATTAGTAGACAGCTTAATCAGCTGTTGTCAACGTCTTAGAGTCTCGATGCGTACGAACGGACGCCATGCAGATAAACAGTATGGATACGTATGTACAACAATATACACAGTAATCCAATATTTATTATTATTATTAAACAGAATAGATGACACTGATGGTAAGTGTTAAGCATTGCCTATATACATGTACAGTACTATGGATTTCACATTATTAGGTGACACCTGCTATATCATTTGTGTGTTAAGAATTACTTAGGCTTACCATTTACTAACAGGTAAACTTCTACTACAAAACAGTTTGTTAGTAAATAATATTATTATTTATTAAATAGCTGTTCCCTCGACTTTGTACGCTTGGAAAATACTTTATTTTTCTAAAATAAAAGTGACCTAAGTTACTCCTTATTCCTTACCTACCTGCCAAAACAGTTCCGTCAAAATGGATCCAGCCATTTCAGAGATTAGCGGGAACAAATAGACAGACAGACAAAAATTATATTTTGGTGTATTTATATTCATATGCATGTAGTAAAAATGCGGTTATTTCAGACGCTTCAATTTTATATATAAGTATATATATAGATAATTAACTGAGTACTTTATGTATATATGAAGTACTTAGTTATATGTATATATTAGATAAGTATAATTTTATAATATTTATGTACAATGTTTGTAATTTTAGGGATGACAATCAATTGCTGGGACGTTTGTCATTAAATCCATCATCGGACTGCGAACCTTTTGCATATGACAATAAAAAAAGACCCATTGCTCCATGCGGTGCAATTGCAAACTCCCTTTTCAATGGTAAATAATTTATTTTCTTAGAAATCTACATTGTATTGAATACCAAAAACACTTGTTTATCTATATATTGTATGCATGGCTGAATATCTATATCCTTTGGTCAGGGCATCATGCATAATCGACTGAAATGGTTTCGCTAATTCTCGACCTCTTTTCTATTGTGTTTCTTATTGTCTGGAGAAGTTTCTTAGAAAATCAATGAATATGAATTTTTAAATCTACAATATTATAACGATTTTTGTTGTTCACTTTTACAGATACCCTTACAGTGCATTCCCAAGAACCGACGACAAAGGTTGTGCCCGTGTTAAGAACAGGTATTGCGTGGGATTCCGATAAACGAATTAAATTTCAAAATCCTCCCGGGGATCTTAAAAGTGGTAAGACTAATATTTAATATTTTTATTATATTATGCACATAGTGGCCACAATTACGTAGACGATTATATATCCCGTAATATTTTGATTATTGTTCATAGTAATTATAAATACGAAAGTGTGTCTGTCGGTTGTCGGTTGTCGGCCACATCGTAAATTTAAAATAATTAGATACTTTAATTTTGTGAGAATTGTAGTGTAAAATCATATGATTTACAGAATTTGCGAACTTCTCGAAACCTGTAAACTGGCGCCTTAATATATGGGAGTTGGATCTCGCAGATCCTAACAACAATGGTTTCCAGGTTAGTATCTACTATATAAATAAAAACAACAACGATCTCTTAACTTTTCCCTGAATAAACAATGCACAATGTTCTCAATCAATAGTATTTTTGTGACATGTTATGTCTTAATTAAGATGTTGGTTTGCTATAATTTACCGTATTGATTATCACAATAATATTATTCTGATGGTAATCATATTCGCCTATATAATAATAATAACAATAACCTTGGACAATTCTCACAGCGCCATCTAGTCTCAAGCTAAGCAGACCTTATGTTATGAGTACTAGATAACTGATATAAATATGTAAATAGATTTTTTTGTAAATAAACAATCATGCTCATGAATCCGCGGAATGGGACCATCGACCATTGAAGTCAGGCGGTTTGTAAGCATTGTCTGTATTTGCAGTTGACCTTTTAAATATCTACCTCCGTAAGTTGTGAAGGTATTTTTAAAACTATGTTTTTGTTTGTCATTCAGAATGAAGACCTGATAGTGTGGATGCGGACTGCCGCACTACCTACTTTCCGAAAGCTGTACCGGCGCGTCGATCATAGCAAAGTTGGTTTCAGTGATGGACTCATGCACGGCGCTTATGTACTTGAAGTGGCTTACAGTGAGTATAGATATATTCTACAGGGTTAGTAGTACCACAGATAATATAATATTACATACAGATACCCCATCCCATACAAGAAAATGGTTCCTTCCTAACTCGGGCTATTCTTCGGGCTATTTTATTTCGCCACCGTAGCCGCTAGATGTCGCTAGATCTGAAGCAGTTCGGATTACTAGTGGGTGCTTAGTAACAAAGCATGAAAATAGATGGCAGTCAATTCAGTCTACATGACATCTGTTTTGCAAAGATATGTATATAATAGATATGTAGGTAACTGTATCGTGTACCTCATTAGGGACGATTCAAGATTCAATGTAAATGTGTAGGTATAATATCGTTAGCCGACACTCTGCAGATATGGCTTATGTGCCAATGTATATACCTATTATGTTATGGTTTATTTTACATTCCATGCCTATTTTTTTGATATGTTGTAACGCGTCTGCGCTATACGTATAGCCTGATTTTGATACGTTTATACTCGTACAAGGGGTCTGACATGGGGTGTTATGTACCTACATTAAAAGATACTTTTTGAAATGTATGAAATGTATGTACCTACATTAAAAGATAATTTTTGAAATGTATGAAAGAAACATATTGTATGAAATTTTTGAAATGTGTGAAATGTATGTACCTACATTAAAAGATAATTTTTGAAATGTATGAAAGAAATGTATTGTATGAAATTTTTGAAATGTATGAAATGTAAGGACCTACATTAAAAGATAATTTTTGAAATGTATGAAATTTTTGGAATGTATGAAATGTATGAAAGAAATGTATGTACCTACAGTAAAATATAATTTTTGAAATGTATGCACCGTACAATAACAATACACGTTAAACATCATACCACAGAGTCATACGCAAGTTAAAAATAAACTGCTATGATATTAATGAGAAAGGAAAATCAACTTTATGGTATTCGAGTTAGGGTCGATTTCTCTCTTTTTTTTAAATACTATTTTAATCTTACCAGTTGCCAGTATTCGAAGACAGCTACGATTCGTACTCGATATTTTAAATTATTATGTAATCGATTTTTCAGTACAAATGTAAATAACCAACGACACTAATAATGTACTACCACAGATAATATAATATTACATACAGATACCCCATCCCATACAAGAAAATGGTTCCTTCCTAACTCGGGCTATTCTTCGGGCTATTTTATTTCGCCGCCGTAGGCGCTAGATGTCGCTATATCTGAAGCAGTTCGGATTACTAGTGGGTGATTAGTAATAAAGCATGAAAATAGATGGCAGAGAATTCGGTCTACATGACATCTGTTTTGCAAAGATACGTACATAATAGATATATAACTGTATCGAACTCCTGATTGGGTACAATCGAAAATTCAATGTAGGTATAATATTGTTCGCTGACAGTCTACAGACACGGCTAATGTACCTATGTATCTATGTACTATGTTACAGTTACTTTTTTACATTAGGCATGTGTGGCTTTTTTTCTCCCGACGAAGATATGTCGTAACGCGTCTGCACTAAAATCGGGCTATCGGTTAAGGAGCAATAGCTCCTTAACGAATAGCCCGATTTTAATACGGTTTTTTTTATTTAAATTGTTATGTGATAGTGATAGATTTTAGCTATAATCAATTGATGTGCATATGGGTACCTCATATAATTTTCAGTGTATAATTATTTCTCAATATATAATTAATTATGGTAAACTGGCAATTTGTAAAACTGAAAATAATATCTGCAAACCATCAATCTGTTATATGTATAGGTTCTTTCAGGGATACTACATCGGTGCTAATGACATGTAGGTACTTATTTTGATGTTATACCTATTTGTAGAACCTTCGATATCTACAAACTACGCCTTTACTGCTAGTTTTTTTGTATTTATGTAAGTTGCTATTCAGGTAAAATTAAGCTGCGAAATTACAGGATATTTGGACATAACATCTATGTTCTCCGGAATGATAACGTATGCGGGATATAGCGGGCACGACATGATGACGTAATGCTGTTTAATAATATATGTGTATGTATGTACGTCGGATAGCGTCGTGGTTGGATGGATCGTCAGCTTATTTACCATTTCAGTTAATAATAGTAGGTAGTAACTTTTGACAATATGGATGAGGGAGGGTAACGGTGATGATGATGAGATCAATAATGACTGTTGACGATAGTGACGATGGTATTTATTTATGACCACCATAAAATTCATCATGGCAGTATTCTCAACATTATCATCATTGTTCATCATGATGATTGAGATCAAATTAATTAATTGATTAAAAAAGTAGCAAGTATTAGGTAGGTACTACGTCCTTATATGACTTAAATACAAGGTTCTGGGATGCTGTGATATACTAGTCTCTAGATTTAGTTTCTTATTAGTATTCCACAACCAGTCTATAGACAGAGAAATATAGATTTACACAAAGTTTTTTGATGTAAATGGGAATTATTATACACATTGCATTAAAAAATATATATGATTACCATCTAATACAAAATCATTATGTAGTAAATAATTCCTGACATTTTAAATCGAATGAGGTGAAACTAACATTGCATGAACACAACACTTGAAGATCATAAAATTTTTATTTCAGGTAACAAAACACTTTTAAATAATTTATTAATCACAGAATAAACAAATGTTGTTAATAATTTACAATAATATTTCTTTCACTGCTTGTCTGTTATACCACTAAAACTTCAAACACTTCTGTTATTTTTATATTATATTCCAATCATTTCATAATTAATTCCTGGTACACAAAATATTCCTGGATTTGTTGATGAAGCAATATAATAATAATCATGTGTTTAAATCATAAACTTATTTGCAGTCGGTTACACATAATATAATTACTTGGAATTTCTTCTCATCACTAGTGCATTGCTTTCTTACTTATTTAATTATATCATTAATTGCATTGTGATTAATAATTTACAGATTTTTCTTCTGCTTTTTTCTCTTATTTTTACTTGCATTATTATTTTATACAGTAAAATGTTCATATGTATATACATATATATTTCTTATTCTTTTGAACTCCTGTTCTTCACAGTAAAAATGTTATTTATCTTCATCTGAATGACTAGGAGATTTAGAATATCATCTCTTATTTGTTTAAACTTTGTTCAGTATTAAGTTGTTGATGTCAGGAAAATCTGAAAACAATATCATATACCTATGTTACATTTTCATGAACTTACATGAATGAATTTACATGAAAGTAACTAAACTGTAACCTTATTAGCACAATAAACATATTATTCATACATCATATTCATTCAGTTCTAATAAAATATAAAAATAATACTACTGTTTAGTACTTTATTTTGATTAATAATTTTCAGTATTTTCTCAATCAATCAAAAATTATAAAATCAGTGTTAGTTTTTTGAAGTTACATTCATAACAATAATAAAAACATAATAATACCACATTAAAGCGGTCACCAAGTACATATGTTTATTATATTTTAATATGAAAGATACACACGCTACATATGCAAGTTTTTAACAACTTATAGTTATACCTGGTATAAGATAATCCTCAAAGACACGATAGTTTACTAAATATTTGTAGTATTTCTTAGACACATTTAAATTATTGAGTTTGACAAAAAAATAAGAAGTTCAATGAACTCTGAACAGGAACAATTCAAAAGTTGAATTGTTCAGTACCTACTTAACTTAAATGATGAAAAAAGAGAAAAAATCCAATACTAGTGAAAATATGTTTTAAGCATTTGACTTAAAGTCGTTTATCCTATTCTTTTATTCCTATATTTTATATTTTTAACCTTTCATTTATGTTGCCAGTACTTGTTGTCATTTCGATATAATAAAAAAATATGGACCAACCTACGATTTTAAATCGATATTTTTATTTGTGATGAAATCTAATAATATAAATTATGAATAACCTACACTCGAATGGAGATATTAAAAAACTAATTATCATGAATAGTAGGTATTAGGATAAGTAATATATCATAGTATTATGAATGATTATCGTTTCAAAACCTTGTACAATTTAGTAAGGTTGAAAATATCCTTCTACAAAAGCAAAATTCGAGTATTTGTAAAGTTTCTTATGAGTATTTGTAAAAATTCGAGGATCCTCATATTTAGCTATCAATGTCAGTAATTTAGATACCATATAACACTTGTTTATTGAGGTTTCATAAAGGTATAGCTGACCTTATATACTCTATACCACATTCAATTCTCATTCATTAAATTACAATAAGTAGGTATTTATTTTTTTAATAGAAAAACAATGTCACTAAAGTCATTAATTGCTATAATTACCAGGGTGACCGCGTGGAGGTTGATATAATAGAGTACACTTGTATCAGATCAATCTAATTAATATTTCCCTCTTCAAGTTTTGAAGTTATGAGCGAACAGATAAATGTATAGTACTTGCATACCTGTCAAAATCTCTCTATTTTGCCGTCGTCGAGTAAAAATTACGCATTGCAATTCGTTCCAAATAAGAGTATAATACAAAATGATGAAATTTTACTGTTTGCAAAGACTAATTAAAAGCACCATTGAATAATGCGTTGTAATATCCTGTTATCGATTATTCGAAAAAATCGGTAATCTATGCATTTATTTTTGATATGGCAACACTTTCTAAATAAGTATTACTGGCATAATATGGTTTTCTTGTTTAGCTGTTTTATATTTACTTAAACTTTTTTTATGTTTAATTTATCATAATAATATAGTAAGTACTTATTATTTGAAAATATAAAATAAACATTTAAAATACGGTGATACAAATGAAAACAGCGCCATCTATGAAAGTCTTTTGGAAACAATAAGCCCCAATTAGCAATGATTAAATTGTAAACAAATACAGGGCAACAACAAAATGAGTAAATATATGAAAATTACTTTTTAAAACGCATTATTTCATTTTAACATCTATATATGACTTTTTAAAAATAGATTAAACCTTTTTAAAAACATAGTTTTGGGTTTTAAACGATTACAAAACAATGTTGAATTCCATTCGATACCAATGACGCCATCTAAATCCGTTTTTCGAACTAAAAATGGCTACTATGCCATTGTTCCCCACTGGTACTACTATATTCCGTTCTTTGAAACGGAACACTGCTATAATACAAAATAATGAAAATTTACTGTTCACAACGACTCATTAAAAGCATCATCGAATAATGCACTGTAATAAAATCCTGTTATCGATTATTCAAAAAAATCGATAATACATGTATTTATTTTTAATATGACAACACTTCATACATAAGTATTATTGGAAATAGTATTACTTGCTTGTTCGGCTATTTTTAATTTACTTAAAAAAATTTTATATGTTTAATTTACAATAATAATATATTAAGTGCTTATTATTGGAAAATATAAAAAAGACATTTAATTAGGCCGATACTAATGACGACAATGCCATCTATGAAAGCATTTTGAAAACATTGAGCCCCATATTAGCACTGATTAAAGTGTAATTAAGTACTGGAAAATAACAAAATGAGTAAATATATGAAAATTACTTTTCTAAACGCATTATTTCATTTTAACATGTATATATAACTTTTTAAAAATTGATTAAACATTTTTGAAAACATAGTTTTGTTTTTTAAAACGTTTGCAAAACTATGAAGAATTCCATCGATACCAATCACGCCATCTATAGTAGCAATAATAATGGCTACTTCCTCATTGAGTGCCACTGGTAGTACAGAATAACCATGTTTAAACCAACCTGGCTTTTGCTAGGAATACAAATAAAACTAACCACTTTTATATCAAATTGATAACGTGATATCTCAGTTTATAGGTAATTGAAAATATTTTTAATTTTCTTGGGCAAATATGTTCAGCATTATGTGTACTAACCCTAAGTTTCGTCGTGGTATACTCTAATACAGCTAATCTTATACATATAAAATTGTGTTATAATATATGATTTAATTATTATTGTGATTTTGGTTTCCTTGAAAATAGATATATTACGATTATTTAAAGTAAAACTTCTTTAATAAAGTCTATTCTGCGACGACCTTTTCTAAAGCTATTTTTAAGCTTAAGCTTTACTTTAACAGCATATATAATTTAAAATTATAATTTGACAAAAGACCAATATTAAATGACAATTATACAATCTTTAAACTATTAAAAATAGCTTTAGAAAAGGTTTCGTTTCGTAATAGACGTGAGTATGTTTGGTCCTTTGCTGCATTTGTAACCTAGTATGCCCTCTACAGATTACTCCGTTATTGATTTTGACGGGCGCAAGTCATTCATAATATCGACGACGTCCCTGCTCGGTGGCAAGAATCCTTTCCTGGGCGTAGCGTATGTCGTCGTGGGCACGCTGTGTCTCCTGCTTGGCATCGTGCTGCTAGTCATACATGTGCGCTGCTCCAAGAGGTGAATATATTATCTTTCTTATTTATTTCAGCTATTATTAGCTGAAATCGCAAACAACAGTCCATTTGATGATACTTTACAAGGATATTACATAATAACAATAACACTGGACAATTCACACAACGCCATCTAGTGTCATGGTAAACAGAGCTTATATTTTGAGTACTAGACAACTGATATAAATACTATATATATTGTAAATACATGCGTAATATATTTAGTAAACACGCAGACAAACAATAATACTCATGAATACAGATGTTTGTATCATGCAAGGAATAGAACCTGCGTCCATCGGAAGTAAAGCGGTAAATCATTGAGCCAGTCATGAACAGCACAGTGCCGTTCTTACGCCTCGTATATTAACCACCCAGAGGACAGGTGTTATCTCTTCATACTCTGTAATTTTACTGCCGTATCTCATTATTCAACTGAAACACAACTTACGAAGCAAGCTACTTGGCGTCTGAAGTAGACGGTGCGTAGGAAGCCGCGCAGCCGAATCTTTATAAAATGTAGATCGCCGTTAGCACACACTGCGTAGACTTTTTTTGTGGGCGTGCATAGTAAAACTGACGCTGGTCTCTTAACGAACCCATGCGTACCGCACCCAATATATAAAACCCTTATATATATAAAATATACTTGTATGTTAGATACCCACCTCCTATCGCCTCTTCTTGTTTCCTCGATGAAGAAACTAATTCCCAAAACGCAACTGTGAGCTCGTAAGTTAAAACTACTGGTACATAATTATGTAGAATTGTAGTGCTGGTCCTAATGTTTTAATGTAATTCTACATTGAAATTGGACACCGCTTGTATTTAGAACTACCTACTATGTATTAAGATCACCATCTTCTGATTGATCTGATCACAATTTTCTTCATTCAGAAGATGGTAATCGTGTAGTTTAAATTATTTAACATTAAGTGACGTATTTCTTCTTATCCTGTATTTTCACTGCTTAATCTGCACCTTACAACCGAAACATAGCCTGCAAAGCAAGCTGTTTGATGGCTGAAATAGGTGAAACTAAGGTATCCACGCAAATGACTTCACGGTCTATCTCTGGTTACTCTTATTCGTTAGAAGTTAGCTTTCAGCAGCTCCATATAAACGGAGTTTGAAGTGCCTCCTTCAATCGTTAAATCGTCCATTCGTCCGGTAAAGCTGTAAATGACACCTACAAAAGTATAGCATTAGAATAGGTAAAAAAAGCAATAAAGTATGTATGAACCCAGTAAAATATGAAAAGTACATAATATATTTTCAAATCCCTGCTTTGTTTCTTTTTAAAAGTTATTTCAGTATTCTATCTGACCTTAGGCTTGGTAAAACAGACAGGTTACATGGAAGTTATTTAATATTTTAGATTCTCAGTAAGTACTAATGATAATGTTTTTGTTACAGCACTACAGAAATGATCAACGTCAATCCTCGTACACCATACTCCTAATTTATAGGAACATAATTGTACAATATAAACAGTACTGTGGGCTTAAAAAGCCTATGTCGTTATTACCAACCAAGATAAATAGGCCTCTGGTGCATAGAGCGTTAAATTATTAGCGGACTGATACATTTTGAACGGTAGACATTTCAAAATAAAGTTCTTATTCGTGTAATTTGGAGTTTCAGCCCTCTGTCGTTAATATTATGCACACCCAATATAATGTAGGTAAGTGAGTTAGACATTTTCTTAACATTTTTCACTATTTTAATTAGATAAAAAACTATTATTATTATAGCGTATTTGGTAAGCACCCTACTGAAAATAAATTGTTATGTTCATGTTAAAATTGTTTTACTTTATAATAATATTATATTTGTTATAAAACAAACAAAATCTTTACATAAAATAATTATGTAAAGTAACCCATGAAATTTGTTTAAAACTCTGTACATTGAGGCATGAGTACCGATTGTTGCTGTACACATGCTATGCTAGAAGCTAAAACTCGCTATCTGTTTGCATTTATTATGACTAGTTTTATGCGAAACATTTAAAAATACTATGAATATGTAATAATAATTCAGTAGACTGTTGAGAGTAATTCCACTCGATCTCCATTAGAACGCCATATCTAGCTATTCAATATCTACATCAATTAACCGACATAGTACTCTATTTACCACAGATATTATTGCAAAACACCGGTGCGACGAACAACATTGTATTGGATTGATATTGAGATTAAATACTTAAGTAGATCGGCTAGTCAATGAACGAAAGCTACAATAGCTTGATTATATATCATAATTGTTATACATCAAACCTGCGTATAATCGTACTTGACAATTACATACAATTCAGCTTGTTACTGTACATTATAGCGAGGGAAATGTAATAAATAATTGCTATTTATTACTTTAGCTTTGTTTTTTCATAAAACTGATAAATAACGAAGTAATTTAACTTTGCAACAAAATTGATGAGAACTGATACCTATTGTATCCGAAGAACATGAATATGTGATAATCTTTCGAATTCAGTAGATTAAATTATTGTATAAGACAGTATTTTATTATTGTAATAATTTTTGATCTATTAGTGTACTTATGTACACCATTATATTTCATTGTTAGTTAGTTTTACTGATGTCTGTGTTAAACTATGATTAAAGTTTATTAGTGTTTTTGCATTACAAAATTCACTTATATTGTACTATTATATAAATTTAGAGTTAGTTGCTAGACTTTTATATCGCAGCACATTTACATATTTATTCCTTAAATAATTTTTCGTCGCCTCAGTCGCTCCTTCAATCACCAGTTAAATTCCAACGGAAATTACAACCTCCCGGAGCGTAGGTTTGAACCTCTAGCGATGCTCTTTGACAGGAGGCAGGCAGGAGTTGATCTTCAGCCACTCCATAAGTTCTCCTGTGGGTTTGTAGTAACCTACAGATACTACGCACACACTCGACATCTTAATCAGATGAACCATAGAAAAAAGGCTCCTACCGGAATCTTTACAAAAGTTTAGCAACGCGTTATTAATATTGACAACTGGACTATAATAATATACTAGTATACATATTTAAGAAATTAATATTAATTATTAATCTCAAAGTCCGCATTTGTTAACACCTTTATAATGTTTATTTAACTTATGTGAATCATATAAATTTATATATACATGTATATAGTGAAAGCATTTTCTTTTCGTATTTTATATAGTTGTATCATTATTACAACTTCACTATGTCATAATTTTATTATTTTCACAAATATATTTATATTTACACAGTATTGTGAACAGCCTTTGGTAACTTCTCAGTTAATATTTTTTTCTATTTTCTATGTCTTTGCTGCATATATAGGTATTTTGCTTGTAATTTGATATTCTGTAAACACTTGTTGTAATTATTCTTAAAATGTGCCTTCTAGAATTAAAATCTCTTCAATATTCTTATATTATTACAATACATGATATATTTATTATTATAACGTTATGTTTATCTACGAATATTATTTCTGTATAATAATAACATTATATATATATACATGAATATATATAAGCTTTTGTACAAGCTCTGTTCGTCTTATATAAGGATAATTGACCGTTTTTGATTTATTTCATAAATAAAAGCACAGTACCTGTTTATGTTATGTAATTTGCATTTTATTGGTATGTAATAATATTTTTGCTAATTAGATATTAAAGTGTTTAAAAATTTAGATCATGTTAAACGTAATAAATTTTAAAAGTATTCACAGTTATTGTTTTATTATGTTATTTGTACACTACCTGGTGTAAATATATGCCTCCATATGATCGATCTCCCGTCCAATTCATGCGGGGACGACGGCCTGAACCGAGGCTCAAACCCCTAGCGGTGCCCTCAGACTAAGTCGTATCCGTTAGGCTGGAGTTAGCCTTCAACGGCTCCGTAAGTCCTTCCGCGGGTTTGGAGTGCCATCTGCACTCGCCCCCTTTCGTCAGGTAAAGCTGTAAAGGCTAGCTGCGTCCAACAGCATTATAGTAGTCCGAAAAAAGATAGTATTCTGTATAATTAAAAAAATATTTATTAATTTCGACTATGTCGAGAAATTCCCATGAGTCTATTTCAAAATATCCTAATTTTAGTCACTTATGCAAGTAAGTTTTTGTATTAAGTTTTGAATGAGTTACGATTACAGTATATATTTGGAGTATCGACTGTTTTTTTTCCCTATAATAATGGAATATTATTGTAGGGAAAAAAACAGTACAATATACTATAGATATAACTAAAATAAACTAAGCTCGCAGTACCTATATAGCTCTTAACATTAATGCTAAGTAGGTACCTACACCAAAAGCAGCAGAACGCAGTTTCGGTGCATGGCTCTGATTTTAAGTATGACCCGCATTGAGATTTATTACCGACTAGCAATACCCGCGGTTTCACCCGCATGAAATTTTTAGCCTATATGTATAAGCTATATATAAGCTATGTATAAGCTATATTACTGTAAAGTTTCAATAAAATAAGTTCAGTAGTTTTTGTGTAAAAGAGTAACACATTCATCCATAGTCATAAACTTTCGCGTTTATAATATTAATAACTAGCTGTTCCGGCGACTTCGTCCGCGTCGAATTTAACTTTATTTTTCTAAAATAAAGATAGCCTAAGTTACCTACTCCTTATTACATCAGCTACTTGCCAATAAAAGTCCCGTCAAAATCGGTCTAACCATTTCAGAGATTAGCCGGAACAGACAGACCAAAATTGTAAAAAATGTCTTTTTGGTGTATGGTACATACTTATTTATATTCATATGATTAATGCAGTAAAAAATTATTATTTTAATATTACAAACTGACACTCCAATTTAATTTATGTGTAGATAATTCGACAAATGTGGGTATTTATAATAGAATTGGAATTCATGGTCTTGGTGGTCTAGCGGTTTAGCTCACCGCTTTACATCCGATGGTTGCGGGTTCGATTCGTCGCACAGTACAAACATTTGTATTACTGAGTATGATTGTTTGTATTGACCTGGGTTGTTTTCTATGTATATTATGTATGTATTTACAAAATACATACAGCACACCACCAACCTCATAAGATGACAATGTGTGAATTGTCCAGGGGTATTATTATCATTATTCCTAAATGTACCTACAGGTGTAAACTATTTAGTTTTCCCTTGTCTACGCTCTTTCACCAAGACTTCTTCATACTACCCAACTTTGGTTTCATCGCTTCTTCTCCTCGATTTAACGCCTTTATTTTATCATGTAGGCATAAAGGCGTAAAATTTTTGGAATATTGTATTGCATTGCAGCTTGTCTTACACTCAGTTCTTTTGACATAACTTTATCAATAGCAGTTTGTAAGCTCTATGTCTCCCACGATCCTTTCTTTTTCTTCTCTTCCATTTCAATTCTCTTTGTTCTTCTATACTCTAAAACAAAATTAAATAATTAGAATAAATAACGTAAATTCTCACAAGAAATGTCAATATGTTTACTATCCGGTGCTAAAGGACGGACAATTTCGTACATTGAGTGGTACCTACCAAAATTGTTTGAAAAATCTAATAATACCTATTCTACCAGTTTAAGAATAACAATCAAGTCCTACTTTTATTTTTTAATATCACTTAAATGTAAATGCTTAATATACCAGAATTGCTAACATGAATATTTAGGTGACGCCGTGATTTCTCGCCAAAAACAGCGAAAAATCGCTCCTGCCGTGGCCTTGTGTACCTATCACTGGCGAGCCTAAAATTTAAAATCAACTGTTCCAGCATAGAAGTAAATGTCAATTTTGTCACTAAACTGAAAAGGAAATGTAGTAGATGAGTTTCGTAAGTATCTTGTTTTACCTAAGTATCGTTTGACGAAAGTCAGTTATTCGTTTTATAGAAATTGCATAAATTTTACAACAAACTACCAGAGTCTGTACTCAATTTGCTGGAAAAAAATTCATGTGTCATAAAATATATTTTTTTAAGCTTATTATAAAATTGAAGAATTTATAAATGATAATAATGTTTTTGTAGAAAATATCTAACTTAAAATTCATAGCGCTGACAATGTTATCTGATTGAACAGAGATTAAGTGCGTGCGTTCTATGTTGATTATCGCAAGCCTAATCCTTGTTGTTAATTAAATATAAGTAAATCAATATTCATTTAAAAGAGCAACACACAAGTTTCTTGCTTATTCTTCTTGTGATGAATCTGCATGCCGAATAAGCGGTAGAATAAAAAAACTTGACTATTCAAAAGTGCGTATATTAAGTTTATTTGAATAAAGATTATTTCTATTTCTCTAAAACTTGGCGCATTTAATAAGGAATCCAAAATATGTACTATGACACTTGTTAATTTATAATCTTTCCGGCAGATTTTATCGTAATACCTACCTACCTCGCCAAATTCCTCGTCTGGTTTAGATATAGAAAATTACCGTGTAGCTTGTACCTATACGAAAAAAGCGACATTCCTTTGTATTATTTATAGATAAATTGTTATTGTTGCTAACAAAAGGGAATTTGTATTATTGTAATTTATTATGAGATTGTTAATGTATGATTATGAGCGAAATATTAGGCTAATAGTATTTAATATTATTTTATCTGTAATGTATGTAATTATTGTGTGTTATCATCTTATCATTTATGAATACCATTTTGATTATGAACATTTGTCGAATTTCAGGCTAGAGTACATTATAAGACGATAAGATACTCGGTTACCCGTAGATTAAATTGATGCTAGATATTTTGTCTATAGCGACATGCGGCTGTGGCCACAGTTTGCATATTCGACACACACATAAAACTGTGAGCTCATGATTTGCGGACTTATATTAACATAAATTTGTTGCATGAATTTTCGAAATGCAACGCGTGGTTTTGTTTGTAATGTTCCTGGGAGCAGCAGTATCACAAAACAACAACGAATTGTTTGAGCTGAATATTATACACTACAATGATTTCCATGCTCAGTATGTATTTCCAATTAATATAGCACTTTTTTATTGGGTTATTATGCAATTGTGCGCCCGTCTGCACCATCGGTATAAGCTGGCGAGGCACTTAGTATTGTTAGGAATAGGGCCCCATTACTAAAAACGGCTGTACATATATTGAACATTATTTTAATATTAACATTTACAATCAACTTTAAAAAAATGGCAGCGTCGTAGTTTAGTTATTACTCTTTCCACTTAGGTATACCTACCTACTACACTTTGTGTGCCAATTGAAATGGTTGAATAACTGTCCAATTATGGAAAAAAACACAACAATTGAAAACGCTTGTGAATTACTTCCTGCCACGAGAATTTGAGCATTTTTAAACTATGTGTCTGTGATATACGATTACAGGAATTCCATACATTACATTTTTACATCATTTTTTTATGTTGTTTACATATATTTCCTTACAGGTTGTTGTTTATAGATATTTAAATCTTATCCTTTTATATTGTTCTATTGTTTCTTCTATGTTTTGTTTAAAAAAAGGATACAAACCATCATTTACCATAACAATTAAATATTATTTTATATTTTTCTCAGTTACAGTTTCAACATGAAATTTTACATAAATGTATTTGAGATAAAGAAGGTAGCAGGCTACTTAGGTACTCTACTTTTATATCATTCAATCATGCTCATGCAAACATTGCCAACCTATGCAATAATGAAAACGTTGTTAAGGGTGTTTAATATGTTTGTTTCACGGACAGTTTCGACGAAGTCAGCCCGACGGGAACGGCCTGCAATCCCACAGTGAGCCCCTGTATTGGAGGATTCGCCCGTCTATATACAGCTGTGAACCAGGTGCTAGAGGATGAACCTGACTCGCTGCTACTTAATGGGGGGGACACCTTCCAAGGCACCATTTGGTACAATTTCCTCACGTGGAATGTAACACAGCACTTCATGAATATGCTCCCGCACGATGCTCATGTTAGTATTTTAATTTTTTTTCAATTGGTATTATGATGATATATATGATGGTAAGCGGTAACCATCGTCCAAATCGTTGCTATTCCAGACAACTAACATACTAAATAACCCTGGACAATTAACACATCGTCATCTAGTCCCACGTTAGAGCTTCTGTTATAGGTACTAGACAACTGTTATTTATATATTATATATGTACCTACTTATAAAAAAATCTAAATATTTAATTCGATTTTTTTTTGTAAATATAGTACATACATAATATACATAGAAAACACTCAGACCGATACAAACAATCATACATTTGTATTTATAAATGTTTGTAGCGTGCGAAGAATCGAACCCCGCGACTATCGGAAGTAAAGCGGTGTGCTAAACCGTTAGACAGCCGAGGCTAAAGATGTTGTACTTCTTATCTCGGAACTAATATGGAATTAATATAATTTCCCAATAAGGTACCCGATTCCACTAAAATATTTACATGTGTACGATATGCTCCAATTGCATTAGTAGGTAATTATGCTATATAATGTTTTTTTTATCCATTGTCGATCAATTTGTCTCATAATTCAAAGGATTTGATTTGAAGAGGATTCAAATTATTATTTTGAATGTTATTAATATTTATATAAGGCTCAAAATCACCAAGGTGGCAAATTCCAAGTTCTGTTTTATGATGAATTTACCTAGCAGCTATTACTTTGATGATCAGCCTAAATGATCCATAAACTTATGTTTAAACAATATTTACGTTGGCAGAGCATGGAATTGATTACAACTCTTGTAATTTTATTTTTAAAGAGACCTATCGCTGAAAAAAATCATTACGGGAACGTTTTTGTAAGGTTTATAATAATATTAAAATATAACATAAGTATTTATTTTTTTCCTTATTCAATAGCGGATATATGTTACCTATACATAGAAATTAAAGAAATCTAATGAAATTGCCAATAAAGACGTTAGAAAGCAAAATATTGTGCAAATGGGTGATATTATGACTATTTTTTAGTCTAAATTATCTAAATATGAGAAATAGATGTGTCTTGTATATTAATTAACATGCTCTAGGTATGAGAAGTTCGTCATATTTTAATATTATTAGAGCTTTTTTTTAAATATCTAAAATAATCATATATTATCTGCGAGTTTGGTGATGTTCCCGTGTGTTCCTTAAATGACGATATAGATACAATTTAGGGTTAAAAATCATGAGCAATGTTTTTGGAACATCGTACCTATTTAATAATATTACCAAAAACTGCAACTTAAAATATATCTTTTAATAACCTGTACACAGCTGATTAGAAAGTTTTAATAATCATATTAAACTTTTATTACAATGGCAATAATCTTTTATTCCAATGTAAATAAATCAAACCATCTAAACATTATACTTATTATTTTTTAGTCATTATATACACGAATTTTGATATCGGTCTTCAGAATCAATGTACTGGTTCTTTCTTTGGCATAAAAGTCTTAGCCATACGAATCAGTTTATATTTCTTTGCTATCGCTAACACATTTTTGGAAGACTTCCCTCTCTTTGGAATTTTTTCATAAAATACAGGCCTTTTCTTTTAATTGCGCTGTCAGTACTTCGTTGAATAAGAGATTTTTGCGCACTTTAGGTGGCATTTTAAATCAATGCGTCAACTTTGCTGTTAAGAGTCGTTGTTGGTACCTGAACTAATTCCTGTTCTTTTTTTTCTTTTCTTCTTAGTCTTTTCTTTACATTTTATGTTAGGAATTGTTTTCTCTTGTTGTTTTATTTTATGCTTTGGCTCTATCCTTCCGAACAATTTTTCTTTCCGTTGTTTTTCTCCCTAAAAACCGTTCTGCATTTAATTCATCATTCGAATCTGGCAAAGTATTGTTTACTATACCTGATATTGCCTTCCTTTCTTCCCTGTATTTTTCTAATGCAAGGGGCATTAGAAAAATACAGGGAAGAATCCATCCCTATTTCCTAATTTTTCTAAAAATAGGCTCTATCCTTAGCCCTTTTTATTTCTCTCTCTTTCACCATCATCTTATCTAAAAAATTTTTTTTCCTGGCATTGGATTCTCCCATTGTCGCAAGTAAGCCGAACTATTCTTATTAACTTGCTATTTCGGACGTTTCTTTATTTTTTTCAGCCATATGAGACTCCATATTGCTAAATAACATTAAACATATATTAAACAATATGTTAGCACAACATACACTGAATTGATTAACCGTTAGTAATAATAACAGGGTGCGTTTATTTAAAAAGTCATTTCGGGAACCCTCCGTCAACTTCAAACGGTCCCGAAATGACCGTTCCAGAAATGACTTTTTTAAATAAGCGTGCCTTTTTTAGATCGCAGTAATCTTTGACATCATGTTTGGTTTTATTATTGTAAAATATTTGAGATTACTATTTGCTATAAAGTACTACAAAACTTATATTTCAATTTCCCGAGTTTAGAAACGCATTCCCGGTATGATGACGTATTGATGTACGCTCTATAAATATTGAATTGAAAGATACGTACCTCTTATTTTCAATTGTTTTGGCAAAAACGAAAGACGACAACCGTTTGTTTACATCGTTCACATCACTGTACCATAGAAAACTAAGGGTTGCGATAAAAAACAAAATTTTTATTGAGAATCAAAATTGCGTTCACTGAAATGATGCTTACACTGCGGGACACAATATATTGACTTGATTTTCTTTAATTTCGTTTCTTTCTTTAGTAATAACAATAATTAATTGATTTATGATAAAATTGTAGGCTATTGAGTAAGAAAAACATTTAAAACTTATTTAATTTTATTAATATTTTCGACGTTAGTTTTTGAAGATACCAATCTTCAAAAACTAACGTCGAAAATATTGGGACGCGTTCCCGAAATGATTTTTGAAGTTATTTCTTTAGATATTAATAAATGTGCTTTACTTTTTCAGTAAAAAATATTAGGTACAGTTAATATGAACATAGTTAAGTAATATTTACAATATCAATTTGTTTAAAAACACCAAATTTAGACTTTTATTTGCTGATAAAGCTAATTCTCCACCTTGGTGATTTTGAGCCATAAACAATAATTTATTGGCTATTTTTTAATACGCTGTACCTACCTCTGTTACCTTCATTAATTTAACCAACGCAAGTAATAAATATGTTTCCTTCTTCTACACTGTTACCTGTGACTTTTTAACTAGTATGATATTTTTTTTTTTCTGGTTTATATGTGTAATATTTGATTATGTATAATTATTTGATGTATACTATATTATTATATTATATTATTGTGTATTCGTATGTATGTATATATATGTAAATTTGTGTATGTACTATATTTTATTTTGTTTACATAAGTGTATACAATTTTTATGTTTCCACTAATGCGCCACCTACTCTATTTTTTTTTTTTGTAAATACTCTCTTTCCAAAGGTTGTCTGTAAGAGATTGCATTAGCGATAAGACCGCCTTTTGTACTTAGTTTTTTTTTTTTTTGTTTTTAATTCGTTCATGTCCTTTATATGTTGGTGCAATAAAGTGTTATAATAATAATAATAATAATAGTGGAATTTACATTTGAGTGTCGTAGCCCGAAGGTCGTGAGTTCAAGTCTGGATGATACAAATATAATAATTTAGCCTACGACTAAAAATATGAGCTTGCAAATATATATTTTTAAAAAATTACAGGTATTGGGTAACCACGAATTTGATCATGGCGTGGCGGGGTTGCTACCATATTTGAAGCACTTAAAGTCTAATATGTTAGGAGCCAATGTAAATACGACTCTGGAGCCCACGTTAACGCCGTACATCAAGAATCACGTGGAGGTGACGCGCAAAGGAAGAAAGATAGGCATTATCGGAGTACTACTGAAAACGGTGCGTTAATTGCAATTACCAATTTTTCATTGTTTTATTATATTTATGTCTATGAAAATACAAAATTTATATGTTTATATTTTTTTGTTATTGCATGGCAAATAAGCTGACGATCCACCTGATTGTCTTGAACAGCACGTCCGTTTGTAGGTTACCGTGCACACCAGAGATACCACTCATGCTGTCCTGAGGATTTGCATACTTCTTAACCTGTAATTTCTACGGTTTACTCACTTTTCAATCGAAATACATTTTTTTTTCGGACTACTCTAATGCTGTTGGCCGCAGCTGTTTACAGCTTTAGCGGACAAAGGGGGCGAGTGCACATGGCACTCCAAACCCGCGGAAGGACTTACGAGCCGCTGAAGGCCAATCCCACCTGACGGATACGACTTTAGTCTGAGGGCACCGCTAGGGTTTCGAACCTCGTCTCAGGCTGTCGTTTGAATTGGACGGGAGATCCAATCCCCCGTCCAATTCATCTAGACCCAAGTTAAGCTAGCTAAAGATTATGTTATGGATAACTGATACAAGTAGGTACATAGATATATTTTTTTCGTAAATACATACATATTATACCTACATAGAAAACACCCAGACCGATACCAACAATCGTATTCATAAATACAAATGTTTGTGCCGTGCGGGGAATCCTACCCGCTACCATAGGAAGTAAAGCAGTGAGCTTAACCGCTAGATCACCGAGGCCGTCTAATTTTTTTTTTAACAAAAATTAATTAAATCATGAAAGTTGTTAGTTTTCAGCACCCATCGGTAATGTGATAATGGAAGACGAGATAGAGGCCATAAATCGGGAGGCAGCCATTCTGAAGGAACGGGGAATTGATATCATCATTGTGCTTTCGCATGTCGGTTACACTAGTGATATGTTAGTATTATTATTTATGTTTTGGTTTAACTAAAATTTTGTATTCTTTTTAGTTGCAGTCGTCAAATTAACACGGGTTTTGTTACCTAAATTTGTAGGGCACAGTCAATAGTACATAATCATTGAATTCGTTGAATATGAAATTCTCGTGTCGTGATATTTGTTATCTCTCCAAAACGGTTTTACTGCTTTTTATAAAATTTAGTGTGCATATAGTAGGTAGGTCTAAGAATCGACCAACATCTATTTTGTCATACCCCTCATTGATAAGGTTGACCCACATCAATTTTTTTATTTCACTCTTCTACAATCAACCTTTACGAGCATGCCATGAAAAAATGTCTTGCCTCTTATCGTATTAATTTCACTGTCTTTCCTCACCCTACGAGTATATATAGTATACAAAGCAAATTGCTTGGGGGCTTAAATTGGTGATCCAGAGGTACCCACGTAGATTACTTATTTACGAAGTTTAGGTACCTCGTAACTTTAGTCATAATTAAAAATATAAATAGAATAGAAAATTCTTTATTCAAATAAACTGAATTTATGCCTTTCTGAATAGTCTTCTCAATTTTTTTAACCTACCGCTCATTCGGAAAGCTGTCTCATCACAAGAAGAATGCACAAGAAACTTGTGTGTTGCTCTTTTAAATATTCAGTGGAGTTTAAGTATTTTTACGTCAAACCGTGTGAATACAAAATACCAACTAGCACTAGTTTATTAGAATCAAATATAAATACACAATACAATTTAATCTTACATTAGTTGTAGTGGTTAGAGCAGACTAGTCCCTACAAGCTGCACTCGTTCAGTATGATGTATGAATAAACTAAAGCGTAATTTGTTGTAAAGGAATATGGCAAGACATATATCGTCAGACGTGGATATCATCGTGGGCGCACATTCTCACACTTTACTCTACAATGGCGAAACACCAAGCGGTCAGAACCCCATTGGAGAATACCCAACAGTCGTCACTCAGCAAAATGGCCATAGGGTAAGATTTACAATGGCAGATTAAAGCGAAGGTAATGGGATGGAAGGAGCGATTTGACACGGCCTCCATTCCTAAGGAGATCAAGTCTAGTTCCATAGTTTAAAAGGTAAATCAAGAGGCGTATACATCCTCTTATACATCTATCCTAATAGTGATGTAGAGATTCGCCTATATCCTTTCTAAAGTCCATGTATATGAGGTGCATGGTGATGCATAGAGAGATACACATATTCGCATCAATTATTCTTTTATTTTAAGATGTATCTCTGTAATTATAGGAATGATTATAGAACATCCATTTAAATAATCCAGTGGAATGTGGACAGGGGAGGGAGAGGGCTGACCGCCCTCCATCCAACTGAAAATTGTGTTTGTTACAATATTTTATATATTTGCTTTGAAAAACCATATTCCGGACTAAAATAATCTGACTCATCTCCCCTAGGTCAGATGCTGGAGTTGTGAAAGGTCTTTTAACAGATTTAGACTAAACAAAAATTAGAGTAAGCACAGGAAAAAGAAAACGTAAATGAGGAAAAATCTTAAGCATACTTAAATTTCTACTTTTGATATTCAATAGATTCCAGTAGTGCAGGCCTACTGTTACACACGTTACTTGGGCAATATCAAGTTATTCATCGACGATAAGGGCATAGTCCAGAGTTGGGAGGGCAGCCCCATATACTTGGGAACTAGCATTGTGCCAGGTAAGATAAAACGAACGTCATAGTCATACACACTGACTACGACGTTCACTATTTACCCATTTATTATTGTTTTGCAAATATCGTAAAATAATATTGTGATTTATTATATTTTGTATAATACGCCGATGAAAATATGTATACTAGTCCGCTAATGTTAATGAAAACTGCGAAATATTTATACCGCAGATTTTTCTTATTAATTACAGCAGTAATATATTAAACTAAATATTACCCGCAATTTCGTCTAACTAATAAAAGGTTTTCTTATATATCCATCCTTGTGGTGAAATCTATCTGTCAAATTTCGTTAGGCCATTTAGTAATAAAAAGATAACAAAGACTGAACCTTACATATGTAGAATATCAATGTCTTTCAGTTATCTATACGAATATGTTGTAATATGATAAATTAATCATATTATTTTAGACCCGAAAATTGTGAAAGAATTAGAACCCTGGAAGCAAGTGGTAGATGCGATCGGAAAAGAGGTTCTCGGCACTTCACTCGCAACACTAGATCGAAGTTGCACGCAACGGGAATGTGCTCTAGGCTCTTGGGCCTGCGACGGCTTTCTAGAGGAAGTGAGTTTTTTTAATGTATACACTTTCAGTTCTCCATTGCAAAACGAGTCAAGTTAGTCCATTGTGGCGAATTCATCAAGAATTAAATATTCTAGTTATTTTAGTTTCTAGTTTCTAATTCAGGTTGACCAGTTGACGTGGAGATCGCGTAAAGGTTGATATGATAGGTTAGCGTGTTTCGTTTTCACTAATTCTGGGTCGCGTATACATGTCATTAGTCAGTCACTAACAACCCTTTTATATTTTTGTTCATGGTTTATTCGTTTTTATCAGATAATTATAAATAGGGTTTCTAAGAGACCCTATAGTTGACAACAATGTATTATTGATTATAGCTATTGTTGAAAACAGAAGGTCCCGGTTGGCATAACGTTCACGTGTGTATGATCAATTCTGGTGGATTGCGTGTACAGATAGACCCCGGCAGTGAGTATATATTCATCTCTAGATATAGTATTTATAATTTTATTATTAAATATCATCAGCAGTTTTATTATAGTTATTAGGTATAACTTTAATGTATTACAATTACGTGAGAAGTAATTTCAATAGCCAAGAAAGAATCGCATCTTGGGGGAGCAACACGGTGCCCGTGCCCCGGGCGGCAATTTCTGGGGCAAAAAATTCTTGGCAATCTTGGCAGATCTCATCATTAATACACCTTTGACAACTTGACCTCTGACAGACGGATGTCAAGACATACAAAGTTATATCTATAACTGTAAAAAAACCACAATAATTAACAGTAAAAGTAATTGGACAAATTGTATGGGGGAAAGCGGGGGAGTCTTAGGGAGAAAACATTTTTAAGTTTTTGATATGAAATGAAGATCTGGGGGTGAATATATCAGGTAATGTCTAACCTACAGACACAAAGGTTACATCGGTCGAATTGAGAAACTTTTTACTTCAGAGGTCTTCCTTATATTTTTTCTAAATCCAAATTTGAAATAAATAGAAATATGAAAAAGGAATAATAACCAAGGCATATTCCTTCAATTTTTCCTTTTTCTATACCATATACCTGTTGTATTGTATCGCAGACGAATTCTATGGCTGTGACAATATTTTGATTTCCATATATGTATACCTAATAGTTATAAATATAAGCGGTATTGCCCGCGTAAGTAAAAATCAAATCCTCTTTAGAACATCAATAGGATAGATAGAAATATATCTACTCAGACAGTGAGTTATTATTAGGTAGTATACATGTTATTAGTTATTTAAACATAAATATGTCATTAATTTACTTATTTATGTATAAATCTTTACAGACGTAACGACAGAAGCGTTGTTGATGGCTATGCCATTTGAAAACTACGTTCAAGTGTATGACCTGAAGGGAAAATACTTATTAGAAGCACTGGAATTCTCCGTAGGCGTGAATGTATCTGGCTCCTTTAACAGTGGCAGGATGCTGCAGATTGGCGGTATTATATGATAATAATTTAAAATTTTGTACCAATAAACGAGATAATTATTTAAATGCACTTAGCAAATAATCGCTACGTTGTAAGAGCATAGGTACATTCTTATCCAAGCGCGAATCAAATTATGTGAGAACAAATCAAAATATATGACAAATGCAAAAGTTTGTGAGTGTGGATGGATGGATGTTTGTTACTCTTCACATTACACTTTAAAACTACTGAATAGATTTTAATGAAATAATAATTCTACATAAAGCTTATACATTAGAATAACACATACCTATCCTATAAATTTAATTTATCATTTTTGCACTACTAATAATAAAATATTTAAGAAATTAAAATGAGTTTAATGCAAACAAATTTAACTCGATTTCAAAATTTTAAGGCATTAAAAGTAGCAAATTCCATTTCAGTTAGTTTCAAATAATCTCCCAGCATAATTTTTTTAGTAAGATATCTACATAATTATATAAGATTAGTTGATTTGCGACACTTTGTCTGTGTTAATTTTCATTGATGTTCGCTCCCATTTTCTGTTGCAAGTATGATGTTATAAAACAATCCTAGATAAATAGACTTTCCAATATTAAAGAAATTTTGCAAATAAAACCAGTAGTTCCAACCTCTCAAATACTTGTCTTTTTATTCGTAAGTAGGTAAAATATACTAGCTACATACCTAGTGGATTGTTGAATTACACTCAAGAGGTCTTGGGTTCTAAACTGGCCGACATAAAAAGAAATGGAAATGAACTTAATATTCTGGTGAAGGAAACATCGCATCGATAGAAACCGAATAATAAGTGCTTATATATGAAATTGGCGTTTTGTCGTATTGGCCACTTTGATCTCAAATATCTCCTCTTTGGTTAGGAATTCCAATTTCAAATTCATACAGCTATTCGGGCATTTATTTTTCGAATATCGCAATCTATATGTTTTTTCCATATTTTGTTTTTTTTTGCGTCACTCAGTTGAGAGTAAATATGGAGTTAAATAAAGTACGAGTTTCGCCGTGCAACTAGTGCTGCAGAAACGATTCGAATGATTAATGATGTGTAATAATAAAACACAAACACATAAAACACAGTGCGTTTTTAGTTCCAACATTTTTTTATAAAAACATATATTAGTTAGATAGAAAACACCCAAACCAAAACAATGGTTCTGACTACCCCATTTAGTATAACAGGCGTAACGAGAACTATTTTGCATGTCTATAAAATATTTATAATTTGCAGGTATGCGCAACGTGTATAACGTCTCGAACCCGGTAGGTTCCCGCGTGTCGTCCACAATCCGCTGCATCGAGTGCGACGTGCCCCGCTACGAGCCACTCGACCCCGACGCCACCTACCGCGTAGTTACGCAAAACTATATCGGCGATGGCGGCGGTGGATACACGGTAAACTTAAATCGACGCGACGCGGCGATGCCAATGCCTCGGTGGACTAACCATTTAGCACAGCGCTTTACTTCCGATGGTCGCTGGTTATTAGATAACACCCAGACCCATACAGAAAAGCATACAAATCTTTCGAGTTTCATACTCGCACAGTATGAAACTCGAAAGATTTGTATGCTTTTCTGTATGGGTCTGGGTGTTATCTATGTGTATTATGTATGTATGTATCTACAAAAACATATATATATATATATATATATATATATATATATATGTATCAGTTGTGACCCTGTGTATTACTTATATATATATTTTTTTATGCAACTTCAATAGTAAACATGTTGATGACCACCTAATGGAATGTCGCTTAACAGTTAGTGGTAGTACAGTTATCTATATCTATTAAGAACAATTTAACCGAGTTCGATTGTGTCAAAGTCGTCTGCGTCAGTACCTCTGTCTACATACTTCAGCCGTCAAGCAGCTCGCTTTGTAACTATGATTCAACTGAACGATGAGATATGAATAGAATAGAAAATAATTTATTCAGATAAACTTACATTGAAGTACTTTTGAAGTCATCACATTTTTTTCAAACTACTACTCATTATGAAAGCTGTTTCATTACACTGAGGCAATGAAATTACAAGACAAGAGGTATGATTCATCTTAGTTCTCTGAAATGGTGACGCAGAGTGGTATCACGGGTGTCACGTAATAATTAATAAAATTCGTAGTGTTAAAATTTTTGTCGCCGGTTATCTACCACCTACCATCAGGTAGCCCGTATGTTTGTTTAGTATTATTACAAATTATACAAGAAAAATCAACACCACTACAGAACATTATACCTAACAGTGCAATTATTGTTCCCTACAATAATTAACCCTTGAATCTTATCAATCCCTTGAAAATAAAATAGAGCCAATATTATTAAGCCCCTTACAGAATTAGGTATGAATTTGTTTTTGCATTGCAAAGAAAAAATCTAATAGATATATACAAGTTTATAAATTGTAGGTAGGTATGTACCAGTTGCAAACTCAACATTTCTATATATTTATTTTTGTACCAAATTTGAATGTCTTTTCCTTAAAGTTTTTAGAATTGTCATTTTTTTGTCACTTTTGCCTTGATTCATTCTTTGATTAATATCATACAGACGGTCCATTTATTTTATCGCCTACAGTACCAGCGTATGTTGTAATGCTAAAATACACACATATGCCCTTGTAACTATTTTTAATTTTCGCCAGATGCTAGCAGATAACAAAGAAAACCAGGTGGTGTTACCTCGCGTAGACTACGTGATACTGCAGAAGTACATGCGCAGACAGAGAACAGTCCTCCGTGACCTCGACCAAAGGATAAAGATCGTATATTAATGGCTGCAAATATTGCCCACATCTGCCTTGTTCTTACGTTGTTTTAATATTTACCTGCTGATAATGTACAATAGGAAGATATTGCTTATATAGAAAATAAACCTGATAACATGTTTTCTTTTTCTGTATCTTCATGTGTATTTTTCGAATGGTTACAAATTTTCAATTAGACTGTATTTTTACCATAATTCATGTATATCGGTGTTTAATTAGGTTACCCAATTAGTGGTACGCGTACCCCCAGGAGTACGTGAAGTTGTATCAAGGGATATGTGCGGCTATCAGTAAAAACAAGAACAATTTCCAAAATATTATTTTATAACAATCGTCATAGTGAAAGCATGAAGCATCGAGCACTATGACCGACCGTGCGCTATCCCGCGCTTGCCGCATCTCGTCATTCGGCTATCCCCGTCACTCGTACCCGCTTCGTTTCGTTCCCGAAGGCATTTGAGCGTATTAAATTTAATAATATTTAACAAACATATACACACTCCAAAACTTTCACATTTATAATATTAGTGTGATTGCTACAATCTGGGTTACGCAAGTTTTGAGATCTTTTTTGAAGTAGTACACAGCAAAAACTAATTGGGAACTACTGATGTATATGATATTACCTATCGCCAAAACAAAGCATTTCCAATAAGGTTGGTGGAAAATTCAAAAACTGATTGTGACAGCAACTCTTCCCAGCTCTGAATTTGTTAACATTGTACGAAAAATAAAACAATATTTAAACACAAATCTCATTTATTTTGTTCGCGTCACCAAAATTGAATTTATACATTCTTTTGCGAATAAAATTGTATATTAGTTACAATATTTCTATAGTCAACAAAACTACAGCTCACAATAGAAAAATAGCTCTATCTATATGCGCATAAATGGATACATACGTATCATTTGGAACAATATATAATATAAGGTTTTGGGTAGAATCATTGTTTTGTCATCATGAACGCAATAGGAAATTTATTCGACCTATTCATCCATGTCTTTACGTGGTCGTATATTTTTATACATTACCACTAAAATTAAATCATTCTATAACAATATTAATTAACAATTTTTTCCAGTTATGGAAGCTGAAATAAAATTTAATTATGATACAAAAGTCTATAAATAAGTATACACTAACGTTATTGATAACTATTTGTGGAACATAATCTATTTTATTCCCTGTGTATATTTCTCTAGTAACATATCATTTATTATACTATTATTATTCAATAAAGTGAGTGTAACATTTTGTAATAATGAACTATTTAGGAACAAATTAGGTCAATATATAAACTAATAAAGAAACTAAAATATTAAAAATAAAATAAATTTCATAATTTCAATATGTTAAAACAGAGACTATCTATTAGGTAGTAATCGTAGGTATATCACACGTTGATTTAAATTCTAACATTGGGCTAATTCTATTTCGGGGACGGCTATAATAGGTAAATCTTTCTTAAAGGTCTCTATATTTTTGATGAAGTCAATATTGCTCTCCGTCGTGTCACCAACGGGGTCGTCCGCATCCAAATATGTGAGCTCGTAGTTGTCAGTTTCATTGTCGTTTATCGATGTGACGCTCTCATTTGATTTATGACCCATTATCTAAAATATTAGAAATACAAAATCGTTACATCCATACATAATATATAATCGTACGTTATGTATGTATGTCTATTTATTTGTTATCTTTTCATACCACAATCTTTATGTAGTTACCATAGCGACATTGTTTAAGGGGCGGAAAAATATATGGAATGGTTATATAATGGCTATTCTATTGATATATTATTATTTTTATTAAGTAAAAAATATGATAAGGTTATAAGGTTGCCTGTAAGAAATCGCTATTTAGCGATAAAGCCGCTCATTGTTACCTCTGTATTGTAATTGTTTTATATATATATATTTGGTGTACATAGTTATTTATGTAATTGCTAATTTCTTTCTGTGAGAGGAACAAAAAAGTGTTTTTCATTCATTTCATTCATTCATACTTTCTCGTCATTCCACTCGGCAATAACAAAACACTTTTTAGCTATGTATATAGCTCATCATGGCTAGTTAGATACATACGTCGCACTATACATAACGTGAAAGATGGAATATTTTCTGTATTTTTAAAAGAGAAAATTGTATTTGTTAATTCAAGTCGTATAATATGGATTGTAATTTTAGTTTAACTGTCTGTCGCCTGTTCCACATAATTTCTTGTGCGTGTTAGCATGGGTGCTTGATTTTCGCCCACACATTTCTTCACCCAATTGCCATAAATTTTTTATAATGTAAAAGCAATACCTGAATTGACAATTTTCTGAACTGCGTCCTGTTGCCAGTGGTGAAATGATTATCTACCCAGCCCCTGATGTCCGACAGTTTAATTTTTTCTATTGCATCCGCCTGTAACATAACATTAACAAGTCAATCATGCTTTACACTCATATTTATAATAACAGAATAAGCAAAATATTTGTAATGAACAATATCAAATAAAAATCATACGTAAAAACGCGTAAACGCGAAAATGTCTGTTACTCTTTCGCTCAAAAACTACTAAACTTTTTATTTTAATAAAAATTTACAGTATTACTAACTTATACATCAGAATAACACAACTTAAAAAGGTATTATGTAAATTGGGCGACATATATTGATGAATGTCAAGTCAGATGCAGTCGCAAGAATAGCTAGTTCATAATATCATACATATGTATGTAAATATAAGGTGATGATACAGACTCCTAAAAATGATTAAGACGACCTCGGTGGTCCAGCGGTTTTGTACACCGCCTCACTTCCGATGGATTCGTTTCCTGCCACAGCACATACATTTGTTTTCATGAGCATGTATGTATGAACAAATCTTGGTATTTGTATCAGTTTTCTAGCACCCACAACACAAACTTTAGCTAGTCTATATGGCGCTGTGTGAATTGTCCTGAGTTTATTATTATTAAGTACAAGTGTTTACCCATTATTGACTGAGACTGTACATACCTCTATAAACAACCTTTGGAATTGATATTCCCTGCTCACAATTTCTCTCCAATTTCTTTCCACCTGAAATAAAAGTCGCGAATACAGCACTACAGATGCCTAATATATACTTATAAAATCGATAATCTTGACTGTACTATGAATAAATAGTCAAAAAAACTAAATTTAGAATATATGTTATTTTATAATGTAAACATGCGGTAAAAAATGTTTATAGTACGATGTGGTTTAAATGTATAAGTTGTCGATAAACAAATTGACGGTCTGGTCTAGCGATTTAGCAACACAGCATTAGTTCCGAAGGCCGCGGTAATCGAATGGATGTGAAGGAATTGGAATCGATCCATTCGATTCCTATAGTCACGGCACATACATTTGCATTCATGAATATATTTTCTATGTACATAGGTAATTACAAAAATATCATAGTATTTATTTTATTTATATATTAAAATTACAGATACAGATATAGTGCATATGGCGGACTCTAACACCAAGAGGTATCATTGGGCAAATAGAGATTCTACTAGTTGTCTATTATGCCAGTTGTCTACCCATTACAAAAGCACTGCTGAGCTTGAGACTAGATGGCGCTGTGTTATTAGGGTTATTACATATATAGAGTATGTATGTCAAATACTATGTATTATTGATAAATTGGATATGTGTGTGTGTGAGTTATGACATAAGTTACCATGTACCATGTAAGGTATTTTTGTAAACTATAATGCATCGCTTACTAATTTCTCAGTTTACCTTATGGTTGACTGGTTGAGAACGTCCTTTTGTGTTAAGTTCTCCATATGTACATTTATATACTGTATTTGTTCATTAAAGTTAAAATAAATAAATCATTATTACTAATTACCTCCTCCTTGAGCTCGTAGTCTGTGGTATGCTTGAGTTGTACAAGCGATGTCTTAGTAGTCTGCAGCGCCTTCTCGCTGAGACGACGCATGTCCCTCGCGAACTTCTTCAGGAAGGCCTCTACTCGCGTATCCACGTGAGATACACTGCGAATTTATTTATTCATGTTACGACTGTATACGACCATGGGCGTAGCCAGCTATGTCATTAGAGTGGAGCAACAGTCTAAAATATTATGTAACTAGCAAACTATACCCGCGGTGCGACAAGCCCCCACCCTGCCCCATCGTACCTACGTCCATGTATAAGAGCACTATGCCGTTTATAGTTAGTTTTTTTGTGTCAAATACCACAACGATATAATTATAGAATTAGAGAAATATACAATTCTATTCTACACATGTGAATATTATTTATTTCACCATACCAAGTGTTACATAAGTAATCCTTTTTTTAATAACAACGGGCCAAATATTGACTAATTGTTAAGTTCACTACGACGACGATAGTTGACTGAAAGAGAAGAGAACTGAACTGACTGAAAGATTTTTCTGAAAGAGAGTAAAAAAGAAAGTGCCAAAAATGGAATTTTTAAATCGGTTCATAAATAATGGAGTTCTAAGGTAACAAACATTAATTAATCTATATCAATTTTGCCTCCTCTGTGCAGGCTGAATACATTGGACTAACAAACAACGTACTATTTCTAATATATAATATCACTGCTTTACTTTCAATGATCGCGAGTTCCATCCTCGAACGATATAAACATGTTGTATTTATTAGCATAATTGTAATTAGCATTATAACTGTCTTGGTGTTTTCTATGTATATTATGTACGTATTTACAATAAAAATTGTATCTCAGTATTTATAACATTTGTCTAGTACCCTCTACTTAGCTTCGTACTAGATGGAGTTATGTGTGTTGTGCAGGGTTATTATTAATATTATTATACCATATGCGGTGCTACTATGATTCTTACCTGAACTTGTCGACCTGTGTATTCACGGTGACGGAGAACCCGAGCACGCCGAAAGTATACCGCATGCGGCTGAACACCGAGTAGCCGAGTTGTTCTTTAGTACGGAGTATATTGAACACCGGCTCTTCCATCATCATCTATAAATACGTACCAAACATTATAAAGACGGTCAATAAGGGTAACGTGGACTATCAAGAAATTTCTCACGTGAAACCTTTTTATACGTGTGGAAAATTCTTCAAGGATCATTCGTTTCATCAAGTTGGACAAATTTTAGTTCCATTGACTAAAACTGACACGAAATCCTCCATCGGCCGGAGAATGGCCATGCTAGTACAGTACCCAATCAGGCGCCAAAATAACTAGAAACTACCCACGTAATAGCCAAGCTAATTTACTGCCAATTTTATCTTGTGTGTCGTGTCTTTATGTAGTGAAGCGTATAGATAATGGTATCGATGGTCTAGCAGTTTAGCATACCGTTTTAACTTCCTAGCAGGTTCGATTTCTCGCACGGTAACATTTGCATTCATGAATATGATTATTTGTATTGATCTGGGTATAGATCACTTTGTTTATTATGTATTTAAAAAATGTGTCTATGTACATATATCAGTTGTTTAGTACCAATAACACAAGCTCTGCTTTAGCTTGGTACTAGATGGCGCTGTGTGAATTGGTCAAGGACATCATTATTGTTTCTACATATAATAAAATCGTAAACGAGTTATGAGTCTATATTAAATATTGCTTTGTAAGCTGTATTCCTAAGTTTTGTTCGAAGTTGAGATATAGCAGTGAAATTAGAGGTACGAAGACATGACTAACTTAGTGTAACAACGCTTGTAAACTATATCCGTGGTGCTGTTCACGTATAATGTTACAACAACGGTTACGTTTTTCCATTAGGTTGCCGTCAATTTGTTCTCCATTCTGATGAAATAATGCCACCAAGAAGCAGGACGACTATATCCGGACCAAAAGTAACCTGATATTGAGGACAACGCAGCTGGAATCGAGTCATAACACGAGCATCAAAGCGTTCCTGGCCTGGGTTCCCAACGACATGAAGGAGGACTACTGGCCGAAGGGTGTGGTGTATCGGCACTATCGTAGCAGATTGCCGTTGTCAGTGCCGTGACAAATAATAAAATATAAATTCAAATTGTCTCTATTACAATTTGAATTTATATTTTATTATTTCTTATGTATGTTCGTCTATAAGGTATTTAAAATATGGGCCCCGTAGCCCGAATTAAATAAAATTAATTAAAAAATATAAAAGATAAAAGTTGAGTTGAGAGATACCATGAGGGCTTCCAGCGTGGCGGTGTCCTTCGGAGTCGCCACTTCGGCTTGATAATAATTAGTGACGATACTGTTCGGCGACTGTGGGTTTAGATTCAGTACGCGGATCTTGCGTTCGCCCAGTGGCAGCTCGTGCACTAATAACTGATAAACATACAACCCAATTATTTACAGTCATTACGGGTTTCTTCGGGACATTTTTCTAACTTAATCTTAAGGCAGTTATTCGGAATTGATTAAATAATTTTGCATACTCATTTAATTTGAAGTGATGTCATTATAAATTCATTACATATAATACTATAAGAGTCTGTAATAGACCTACTTGAATAAAGATGTTTTGATTCGATTTTTTTTTATTTGAATATGGCAGATCAAGATGTATGGCGGTCTACTTATTTTTAATGTACTTCCATTATATGTAAAAATAATATTATATTTAGACTGTTGAGAAAATTTCGAAAAAAAAAGGCAATCAAAGATTAGACGTGCATTGACTGCCTTTTTATTTTTCGAATTTGCATTCATTTGCATATTTTGTCACATCCATATTTTCAATATAACTTATATTGAAACTTACTTTAGGTATTTCTGCTTCAGAAAGTCCATCCCACTTGATATTATTCAATACACTCTCCGATATATTGATGGCTTCATACCATGGCAAGTTACCTTGCACTAGTACCTGGCAAAATTAACATACAACAATACATAAATGCATTTACATATATAGCAACCGACCCTCAACATACGGTACATATGTATGTGTACAACAAAAAATCGTATTATTACATATTAGAACATGTTAATGACAGAAACAAAGTGTTCTAGCACTCTTTTTATGTAATTAGAATAGCAACCCAGCTGACGGGCCACTTAGTAGAAAATGGTAACCATTGCCTACATAAATGAATAGACCCCTCCTATCGATCCTCCGTACAATTCAAACGGGGATTCAAATTACGAGGGCCTGAGCCGAGGTTCGAACCCCTAAAAGTGCGTCAGGCGGAAGTTGGCCTTCAGCCGCTCCATAATGCACTCACCCCCTGTCGTCCAGTATAGGCGTAAAAGCCAACTGCGGCCAACAACATTAGAGTAATCCGAAAAAAAATATGAATAACATTACGGACATGATGTTATCATGTGACACCTGTATCACCACTAATGTGTTGCCATTCCGGAGAACTAAAATTACTTCATTCCCTGTAATTAAGGCCCTCACCCATCTCACCCATTATTACCCATATTAACCAAAATTGTTCATACAAAGCTTGGCGCCCAATATAGGTGAGACATAGGTATCCCCGACTTTCTAATCGGCATTGATCGTCTAACACTGTTTTATTAACAAGAAAAACCGTACGAATATTGCATAGTAGGTGTATATATCTGTCAGTTATCTTTTCACGACTAACGTGCCTAAAAGACACAGTAAACACAAAAAGTCGCGGGTTACATATAGTAATATATACGTTAATGGTATGTATGACGTAATAACATCTACTTATAATAGATGTTATTATAATTGTTGTCTATGACCTGAATAAAAAAATCAAGAAAAACCGACGATTAAAACGATACAATCAAACGCCGCATAATATAACCGTATGTACCGCATCGATATTCCCTAATAAAATAAATATGCAAACATAAGCGTAGGTAGGTTGGTTAGAGACATTTCGAAAATTATGTAAGAACACTGTTTAAAACTATGTTATTCACATTTTTGAAGTTTGTATTATTATTGTAAATATCTCGTTAATGTAATATGTACAATATGTACCTATTGTACTGACCTGTAGGTACATCTTGTTGAGTAGTCTCTTACTGAACGCTTGCAATTCCTCTAGCGTGATATCCTGTATCTCCATGGCCTTGTCTCGCGGCGATATATACGGCTCCAACAGTATATTCATGCGGACATCTCTGTATATTGAAATAAAATATAGCTTTTGCATTTTAAGCAGGTTTTAGAAGATGAAAATTATGTATAGGGAACCTAAAATTTTTATCTGATTCCGATTGAGTCACTCACTCGCGTCTTTACATTAATTAGCTTATAGGTACAATGGAATTTAGAAGCTGTTTTAATGTATGTATTCAGTTAATCCAAAAAGCATTTTTTTGTATAATACAGTTGTTTCTATAATCACAATCAAGGTATTTAGGTAAGACATATCTATTTAAATGTTAAGTCTTGTCTAATCTAGGGTTATTTGTTATTACTAGTGGTCGCCAAGCCAAAATGCAACAATAATGCCAAACAATGCCAAAATAAATAATAATATAATATAAAAGAAATAATAGAATTACACCAGGGAGGTATTCAAATAAACGGAGAAAGGATACATTTTATAAGATTTGCTGACGACATAGCTGCCCTAGCTGAAGATTACACACAGCTTCATACACTTTTGGACATAATGAATAAAATATTTAAAACATATGGACTAAATATAAATACCAAGAAAACTAAAATGATGACAGTAGCAAAACATAAACCCCATAACAGAAATACTACAAGAATAAAAAATATATAATTTGAAAATGTAGATACATTTAAATATTTAGGTAGTTTGATTACCAGTGACTCCAGATGTACTAAGGACATTAATATCAGAATAGTTATAGCGAAAACAGCATTTAATGATAAAAACATCTTTTGAGAGCTAATATATCAAAGTCCTCTCGGAAACAACTTATCAAGACCTACATCTGGAGTATAACCTTGTATGCCAGTGAGACGTGAACATTGACACAATAGGAAAGAGACAAACTGGAAGCCTTTGAAATGTGGTGTTGGAGAAGAATGGAAAGAATTAGCTGGAAAGATAAAATAAGGAATGAAGAAGTGCTTGAGAGGATTAAAGAAAAGAGACAGATCATAGATATTATTGAGAATAGGCGGGGAAAAATGTTGGGGCACTTGATACGACACGACGAACTAATTAACAGCATTATAGAAGGAAAAATAGATGGAAAGAGAGGAAGGGGAAGACCAAGACACAGCTATATCAAGCAAGTTAAAGAAAAAGTTGGAGTCGTGTCGTATCAACAGCTAAAGGGACTGATAGAAGATCGTGGAAGGTGGCGGGAGCTCCACCGACAAGAGCACAGCTCTTAAATTATGAATGAAGCAATAAATAAAAGACTATATATACTTGTGTGTCAAATACATACATGTTAGTATGTGTAATGGTTATTACAATTATTTATATATTTTTTATGTATTATTACATTTAAACTGCTTTTTTAAAATTATATTAATAAAAATATTACCATTCTGAGCATTCTCTATATAAACTATAAGCGAAATTTCATACTCCTCCGTCAGCGCAATTTTCGTAAAGAGGGCTAAAAAGTTTTTGCTATGTGAAACAAAAATTTTGTACCTCTTTTTACGAAATCGAATATAATGATTAGTGAAGTAAACGTACTTGGCGAGCTTGTGCGGCTTGATGAGCACGTTGTGGTAGGAGCGCGAGCGAGCCTCCCGTACTGCGTCGAACAACGCCTCCGTCACCGCACCACTCGCAGCCGCGCCCATCTCGCGGGATATAAGCTCCACCAGCAACTAACAACGTATTTATTATATTACTATTACCTTCTACAACCACAGTGAATATTACATGCATATAAGGCTCGAGTGTCTTATTAATAATAATAACCCAAGACAATTCACACAGCGCCATCTAGTTCCAATCATATTTCCGGGCATACATATTTGCACAAATCACAAATCTACCTTGGTAAAATTATTATTTGATTTGTTTTTTATTGAAATAGTAGTATAGTAGAAAATATTTTTATATTGAAAATAAAACTTACGTGGAGATTTTGATTGTATCCGCTAACTTTCAATGTCAATCCTTTGTCTACTATATACAGCGAATGTGACAAATCCGCCATACTCGCCGGATACACTTCTTCCTAAAAAAACGTAAAACGAATAAAGTGGTAATAAAATGTTTTGAAGACTGCCATTCCTTCCTTTGTGATCGTTTTTCGTCATAACTGCCCCAAATCGCTTTCTTTATACCTAAAGGTTATCTGGTGGGGAATGCCATACTGCATTAAGCTCGCCTTTGTACAAGTTATATTGTGCTTTAAAGAATAAATAAATAAATAATTCCAGATGAGACAGTTGGATATATATACATATATGAGGACTCATATCAATCATACAGCGTGATCTAATCCCAAGTTAAGCAGCTTGTGTTACGGATTCAAACACTGATACAAATTAAATACATTATTCCTGTAGACACATACATAATTTATATATATGTGTCTACTGTATGGGTGTTTTCTATTATTGTTTTCTACTATTATTTTATTGTCAGTAACAATCATACTTATGAATACAAATCTTTACACTATGCGAGGAATCGAACGCGCACAATCTAACCTGAAGTGGTAGCTAGCAAGCTAAACCACTAGACCACCGAGGTTGAACTGCCGACGTTATGGTGAAAGGGACTTTTGACATGGTCGCATTTAGCTGGTTATAATAGAAGACAATGCGTCAGACAGTAGACCTACCGCTTCTTCAAGGAATAATATGATTCGTTATTCGTATCTCCACCGAACAGTGTCATCACCATAATTTGATATATAAACTAATTGGGATGTCGGCCAGGTTTTAATTTATGACCTTTCAGAAGGAAACTACTACCTAGTAGTATACACTACTAGGTCATGTTACGTTAAGAAACGGAGAACTTTACAGAAGTAAAGTTTGACGTTAATCTTTGAATAAGAAAGTCACATGCATAATATATTATTAAAAATGACAAACATACCTTCAACCCTTGATGTAATACATCCGTCCATAGGTCTAGAAGGCAAGATCTGTAACAGATATACTGACATGCTTTTAATATTGCTAAATATAGTGTAATACAATTGCTACAATAACTTGACACAATATTTATTTGACACACTACTTTAAATAGTGACAAAAATTGTATAGCACTAACGCGGAAATGCACTTAGTAGACTGCAAAAACAGTTAATGATAACAATTATATTATGTAAAGTATATACAACCAATATACATTTAGAGCATACTATATTCCTTTTGTATATTTGTTACAATATTACTTGTTACTTTATAGACAAACTGTTTAATTTCGAGTTTTAACTATACCTAATTATTATAAAGTCGCCGCGTCTATCTATCACACAAAAACTACTGAACGGATTTTGATGAAACTTTAACGATAATATATCTTATGCATCTGGCACACACATAGGCTATATTTTTTATTGAAATTTAACATGGGTGAAATCGCAGTCACAGCTTCATATACAATATAATTTTCATTAATAATTTCGACAAAAAATAAGAGATTTCGCAGCGACCTCGTCACGACTAAACAGTGTTATTAAACAGTATAATGCGGTATACTCACTCCCTGGGCGATTTGAGGCTAAGCGGCGTGATAAAGTAGAAGTACAACAGCGCGGTCGGGAACCGGAACTTGAAATCGGGCTTGTACCACAGTTCCATATGACGGTTCTTGCGTAGTAAGTTTGGCTGATCCAATCTATGTAAAATTTAAGAATTTCATTGTCAATTTTTTTATCCTTTCAACTATTAGCTGTCAAAATGATATTAACGCTGCATTCGTGAAGCCAATTACAGGACTTCTCACAGAGAGACACAGCTATAGTGTCCGAGTCCAATAATTGGCTTCTTCTAATTTGCTTCTTATGTAATCGGCACGTCAAACAAGCTGGCGTTCACCTAATTTAACCGTCGTTTTTTCGCTACTATACCAAATGTCGTGTTGTGTCGTGTCGTGGAGTATTTTTTATGAGGAGCATCCCAATTAGTTTATATTTATAAATTACATGTATGTACAGGTATATCATTAACTTAAACACACTTTTGCGTTTATAGTATTGTACAATCAGTAGTTTAATGAATACACAATATTTCATATATTTTTGTTATTTATATAAATAGGTCCTTATTATTGCCAATATTAAACATTATTTTTTAAAGTAATTTCTTTAACTAAATTAACAATAAGAACAAATTGTAATAATGAAAATGTTAAAAAGTAGCGTGTTATTTCTAACTCTATGTACCTAAAAAACACTAATGGGAGAATCGATGCACTTGTTGAGTAGCGCAGACTGGTGTATTATTTTTTTTAATGACTGTATTACACTACTACAAATGCAAAACCGTCTATAAATTCATTTTCCTGTAAGTAGTGTATTACGAGTTATTTTTATATTCAATCTGGTGACGGCAGAAAAAAAAACTGCTGGCACCTAACTACATTGACATCGCTGTTACTCGAGTCAGCTCGTAATCACGGCTAGTGCAGCCAATCAAAATGTCGAGAGAGGTAAATACCTTTATTTGCCATAAAATTGTTCGTGTTAATAATATAAGTAGTGGACGAACCTGAAATTATTGATAGTGGCTATAAGTTCGCCATGTTCCAACACCTTAGTGTCGTGAGTGCTGACCGCGACCTTTTTATGTATATCTTTCACGGTGCTGTTGGTGAGGTCAATACCCAGCCTCTCTGCTTCATCGAGGTACGCTTGGTCCGGAGGTAGCAGGTCGAAGTTGGTGGTTATGTAGATATTCTTGTCGGGAAGGTGGAAATCGGGATATGGCTCCGCTTTCATCCAACGTTGTAGCCAGTTTTCAGGTATTTCTACAAGTAATATACTTCTGTAGTTATGGTCCCGTGATGGCGTAATCGAGTATAGTATAATAATTATTATACGTATAACTATATTACATGTTTTTATACAAAACAGATATAAATCAAATAAAACTAGTAAAGTGCAACTCTCTCTCGCACGCCGAGTATTTCTAATGTACGGTACCCAGACACCATAACACAACTTTATAAATATATAGGACTCCATATTTGTTATTATGGTATATTAAACTGCAATGCTGTGATAGTGTTTATGTTCAGTTTCAACCACAGAGAAAGATGAAATACATTAAATATTATATCATGGTTTACAAATCTTAGTCTGTTGTTGTTTATTTGTTTCATTCTGTTATCTTCTGTTACTGTTAGTTATACATTACCTTGTCGCTTGTATTCGGTACCGAACCACTGCTCCTTCGCATCGAAGTCGATAGGCTTAGAATGTCTATTCGACAGGACCATTATGTTCACCAATTCCGGGCGCATGCAATCCAATAAGTCAGTGATACCCTGTTTAAATAATATGTTTAAGTTTTTATTAAAAAAATCATTGTTGTCAATATTATTGTTGGTATTTAGATTTTTACAATTACCACTTACATTACATTGTATATATATATGCTTAGTGGTATATAATAAAAAAAATCTAATTGTGTGGGAGTTACTACCACATTTATTTTATATTATTTTAATCATATAAAATAAATGTGACCATCAAAACCAATCTCCATTAAATCTCCGTTAAATTTCATCCAACTGAAATAACATCATAAATTGTTCAATACTTAGATAAAATATGTATGTTATTTTCAGAATAAAGAGTCAGTCATCAGTACAGCGAATATGATTCTTATACAAAGAATCATATTCGCTAAACTGATTCAAAGAAGTAAGTTTAAGTTAGATTTTCCATATAACCCTTTTATTATCAAACAGTTAGTAACGGCAATTAAGCTCATTAAGTTTTAGATAAGTGTGTGTTGATTTATCTATTCGGTTTTTGTGTGCCTGCCTATCTACTAAGCGCCATGGCGTGGAAATACATAGATGACTGTTACCTTAGGGTCATATTTGTAATAGAGTCTATCACCGGTGATGTAATGCTCAGGCGGGTAGTAGCGCATATTCTCCACCAGTGACTCAACGTAGTCTGATGGCTGAGACTCCTCTTCGAAGCGGAAACTCGTTTCCTCTATTGTCTAAAAACATGGAGAATTGTTATTCAACATTATGTAAATAGTATAAAGCAGTTGCTATTGTGGTATGACTTACTTTTTCTAAAGCACGCAACTACTCTTAGTACAGTTTTTACAATGGTTTCGAGACTTTTTTCCAAATAGTTTATATACACGCATAATCGAGAATATAGGTATTAATACAAGAAAATCAATCCATTCAAGCGGATTGATGTATATAATACAACTAATTATATAATTCTTTGTTCTAAAGATACCACACAATTACCATTTTAATTTTAACTCTCTTAATATTAGACCAGCTTATACTTTACATACATATCCATACATATAAATAAAATTGGAGAGTCTGTAATATTAAAATAACCGATTTTTACTACACGCATATGAATATATATATATATACGGTACATATACTAAAATATCATTTTATACAATTTTAGTCTGTCTGTCCGTCTGTTTGTTCCGGCTAATTTCTGAAATGGCTGGACCGATTTTGACGGGACTTTTTTGGCAGGCAGCTGATGTAATAAGGAGTAACTTAGACTACTTTTATTTTGGAAAAAAAAGTTAAAAACCACGCGGACGGGTGTCGCGGGTACCGCTAGTATACAATAAATTGTATACTAGCTGTATATATATATTTTAATATATACTTCAAATAAAGTCGTCTCCGTGGATATTTCAGTCCCACCTATTTTAGCCGCGAAACAGCTGGCTTAGTAAGCTGTGTTTCAGTTTTAGGTCGAGGCAAAGCAATGAATTTCATTTACAATAACGGTAACTGCTTCGCAACACACGAATTTATTATACGAATTTATATTAAGAATAATTATAAGAATAAATAAAATATTTGTGTGTATATATGTATATAAATTGTATTATATATATATATATGTAAGTAGTATATGTAAACTATTATAATTTAGTATTAATATGCCTTTTTTATTTCTCTAGTCCATTCTTGCGCCATCTACCACTTTCTGCCTTCTCTCCTCTACACAAAGGTTGTCTGGAAGAGATTGATTAAGCGATAAGACCGCCTTTTGTACCTTATTACTTATTACTTGTTTTTTCTTTGTTTAATTGTTTGTCTTTTTGGTGCAATAAAGTGTTAATAAATAATAAATAAAACAAATCAATATCTTTTTGAAAGATGATCTTACTTTTATTTCTTCGTATATACGTTCTGATGGTCCCAACTTCTTTAGCAGACTTATGTATGAGAATATAGCTTCTAGAACCTGAAAAGATAAATTAACAACCAGTAGAACATATATTTAATTTTGATAAAGCAATTAATACACAATATAATCCATATATTAATTTATTATTGTCCTATAGTCGTATTTTTAATTAGACGAAGTCAACTGACGTTTACTGTGTTGTCAGTATTTGATGAAATAAAAATAGTGTTGTGACAAAGTGAATAATTGAAAAAACTCCTGAATTAATGGAATTGCCTCGAGTGTCTAGTGAATAGTTAGTGTGCCGAACTGCCGATATCGGGTACGGGGTTCGAATTTTAGCCGTGCTTTATACATACCAACGAGTTTACGACGACTATGTTCCTATAGTATCTACCTATACTGAATACCGAGTATTTTAAACATAAAGAAAAAATTGCGTGGAAACTTTTAAGACTGTTCTATTTACAATTCATCATGTAATTGAAACTATAGATGTATAAAATATAACAATATATAACATAATATAGTTAGGTAATAAAAATAAAAAACTTCGCTTATTACAAAAATTTGTTTTTATTCATCATCAGATAAAAAATCATTGTCGCTTTCAGTGACATTAATTATAAATCTGTCTAAAAATTGACAATAATTTATCTTTGAAACAGTGTTTCGGTCCACGTTTCTCCGGAGACTTTGTATTATTTTAATACATTGTAGACTGAGGTCACACCAATTCCCAAAATGTCAGCTGTTTTCGAAATACATTTGTTTTTTGGGAGCCTCAATAGGTAATAGTGAAGCAGCTTTCTCCTCAATAACGTATTTGTAGACGTTTTTTATTATAAGTTTTTCGGTAACGTCTTGGAGACAAGTTTTGGCTTGACGTGCTTGGTTGAGAATTCATATTGTTTGTATGAAACAACATAGTACATACATATATAATATATAGTAAATATACAATATACCCAACAATTACCACAAACACAACATGAGGAAAAACTTAACAAAACAGCGTGAGCGCAAAAAAAACATTGGTGCTCTCAGACCAGAGGGTAGAAGCCGAATTACGAACAAAATGGCGACCGACGCTCGAGGCGTTGATTTGTGTTGGCACTAGTAGCCGCGCGCTTTGTAATAAGCCATCAAAAAACTGATTGTAGTTACTAGTAACGTATATCAGAGCACTTTTATACAATTTTATTGTAAAATAGAAATAATATTCTTTTGTAGTTTGAAATGATTAACTATTCACACTCATTGTTCATTCATCTAACTGAGAACTGAACGCAACACTATTACTTTAAATATGGCAACATTATTTTACAAAGTGACATTACCTACTGTCAGCTAGCTTCGTCTAATTAAAAATACGACTATAATTGTGTAATGTCTGTAAAATTACCCTTTTTTTTAAAATACTGTGACTATTACACTTTTTCGATTAATATATAATAATAAATTTTAGTCCATTTTATATTTAAATAAGTAACATTAATAAAAGATACAAAGAATCAGAATATAAATTAAACGTACCACAAGATGTGCTGAGTGTTATATCAGTACTCATTTGACAATTTTTTTATACCAAACTAGCATATAATAATTTACTATAACAACTTACTATACGCCATTGCGTGGTAAGTGTTGGTTACCTGATCAAGATGGTCGAGTCCGTCCTGCGTGAGGACGACCTGCACAGGGAACAAGCTGTGCATGGTGGTATAGTCGTAGCCGTTCTCAGACGTGCCCGTGTAGATGTCCAGCGCCCACACCCTGTACACAACCACGAATTACAACTATCACTGTGTCATCATTGTAAATAACCAACAAATAAATAAATTATTATTATTAACCTTGGATTATTTACACAGTGGTTTCTAGTAATAAGTACATTAAATAAATAATATAAAATAACTGTAGACAATTAATACAGCGCCGTCTAGCCCCACTGTAAGCAGAGCTTGTGTGCAGGTACTAGACAACTGATATAAATACTTAATAATAATAATACGTTTTCCTTTGGTAAATACATACATAAAATACATAGAAATCACACAGACTGATACTAACAGTCTGACTCACGAATACGAATGTTTGCACCGTGCGAGGAATCGAACCCGCGACATCGGGAATAAAGAGATGTGCTAAACCGCTAGACCACCCAAGGCCGTTAATTAAACATTAACATTACTAGATACAAGTTGTCTTACTTCTTCCTCAGATACGAGAGTAAGCTGCCTTTTCCTTCGTGTCCGAGAAGATATGAGATGTACTGGTGTGGTTTAGATTCGTACTCTGATATTAAAGATCGCATACACCAAGTTAAATGAACCTGAAGAGATAAGATCATTATTGATTGATGTTGTTTAGCTAAAACTGCAGTTAAATTGAGTTCCTCCAAAGAGTTTTTATTAAAATTTGATGTTTTGTCAACATATTGTAGTAAATAATAATAGTTAGTGTAAAATAATAAGACATAGGAGTCTCTATTATTTTTTTATAGTGACTAATTTGAAACCAGTTTATGGTACGACTGGCCGTCCTTACTTGGTAAGGAACAATGCTATATATGTAATCTCTGGAATTATATGTGATCACTAACGTGCATATTTGTTTTATTACATTATCGAGAAAGGTCTAAATTTGGCAGTGGCTTACATATATATCGCGACATTCTGGCAATATTGTATTTGTTAATTATTTTTTTAATTAACATGAATGATGAAATTGACATGTTTGTTCTAATAACATTAATTTCATAACGCTTAAAAGTTACAGTTCAACTGTTTTATGTCTTAAATATCTAACATAAATTAATTTACCTCAGTGACGTCACTAATTGGACTGATATAGTACATGCTCTTGAACTCTGGCGTGATGTTATTCAACTTAAATGAGTATGAAGTAAAATCATCGGAGGGTAACTTATTGGTCGGGATCCTGCCGAATGTATTCACTACGTACTGCTCTAGCGCCGCGAGTTCCATACGGGCCTGATAAGGAAATAACATGCTTATTACTTTAACATAAGGTTTTCTTATTTATTCACTATACATCTCATCATAACAATATTAACATCAAATTAGTTTTCTTAAAAATTTTACAATGTTTTCAGAACATTGTATGTTTCTTTGGACACTAATTTCAGAAATAGCTTAATCTAATCTAATATTGCAGTAGAACATTATGAACATTTAATGTTTGTTTCATGCCCTCTGGTTCAAGTTCAAACAGGTAATATAATTGAAATAGTACGCGTTATTCTAATAGTACGCGTTAGACACAGCGTTTGAAGTCGTGGGCTCAGCTATTTCTATAAATAGTAGTTATGTAGTTTGAGTGTACATTTGTAGATCGTGATCAAATGGCAACAATATTTAAGAGTTAATTTATAATATTATAGGTTTCATATTGAAAACTTACATAACTTACCTGTACAGCTACCGTCATTCTGTGTGCACTGTAATGTCTCCTGCGGAACTCATGCGCAGCCTGGTATAGTTTCTCATCGTCGTTGATGTCATCTCGAAGACTGCGCAGATTGCCCCATGTGAATGTACGCATTGGGTGTCCTTCGGGGAACAGACCTGACAGCAACTGGTCTTTGCGATTCGAATCAGAGGGGGATGCAAGTGAAAATTCTGCAAATAAACAGTAGGCCATTTTAAACAGATTGTAAAACAATATATACAACAACAACAACAATATTAATGTAACAATATTATGTAATGTATTACTTCAATATTTTCTTAGAGAGGAATACGATGATCCCGGCAGTTTAGCGATTTATATATTTCTATGAAATTACAAAAAAATGTAAGTATGTCTATTATTACTAGCACATGTTCTGCTTAGTATGTAACCCAATAACATTTTGTGAATTGTCCAGTATTATGCAATATTTATTATTAACACATAATTACAATACACTTTCCAACCAAATTCAAATTAAATGTAATTATCTACTCCACTGTATTTGAAAATAAAGTTTCGTTGGTAAATTCTGAACCACTAATGGAGCATTCAGTCGTTTTTGTTTTGAAAACAAAAACGTTTTAATGCTGCGAACACACCATGTAAATGAAATAACAATAAATCATTCACTTACACTACCACTAATTGATTAGTACCTTTAATAATTAAAATAAATATTAATGAACCAAAGTTAATTTCTTTCATTTTAAACAAATTTTGGACTTTTCATGTTAAGTTTATCATGTGACCGCGTAGTTTCTGTGAAGGTTTCCAAATATTTTTGTTTTTACACTGTGTTACCTCATAATTCATTTAAATGTATTATTTAGATAACTTTTGGTTTGTTATATCCTTTTGCGACTAACCCCTATAGCGATTATAAAATATTCACCAGACTCGATGGCTTCCCGTTCACGCTGCATGGCCTCCTTCTTCATGAGAGGACTGACGAAAAACTGGCTGAACATGTCCATCGCTTGGGGCAAGTATTTCTCCTGTATCTCAAAATAGAATGTTGTCTCCTCGCAGCTAGTGTATGCGTTGTCAGAACCGCCTTTTTTCTAATGATAATAATAGACAATATTACAATTAAATTAAATAATATAACATCATCTTAGAAGACTGCTATTTCTTGGATCCTCTGTTTGTGTGCAATTTGAAGTTAACCAGTTGATTTAGTCAGCAATTAATGAAAGAAATAAATGTTAATTTATAATTGCTCCAAAAACAATTAATTTCTAGACCATCTAAACTTGACTGGTAGATTATGTCGCATAATTTTAAGACCGCCAAATTTACTATTATTGTTTTTTTTTTTATAACACAGGAGACAAACGAGCATGCGGCTCACCTGATGGTAAGTGATTACCGCCACCCATGAGCACCCGTAACATGATGGGAATTGCAAGTACGTTGTCGGCCTTTTAAAAAGGAATAAGCTCTTTTCTTGAAGGTTTCAATATCGTATCGGTTCGGAAATACCATTGCTGGAAGGTGATTCCACAATGTGGTTGTGCGAGGCAAAAAAATTCTAGAAAACCGCACTGTGGAAGACCGCCATTCATCCAGATGATCAGGATGGTATTTCAGTTTCTGGCGGGTGGTACGGTGGTGAAACTCAGCAGCTGGTATTAATCCGAACAATTCCTCAGAACAGTAGCTGGTATTGTGGTGCTCCCGCCCAGAGATGAGAACAGTATTCCATGTGCGGCCGGATCTGCGCCTTGTATAATTGCAAGCGATGGGCCGCCGTGAAATACCGTCTCACTCTACTGAGCACACCAAGCTTTTTTGAGGCTATTTAAGCCTTGTCGTCCAAATAACCGCAAAACTGAACGTCACTGGATATATCAACGCCTTGGACCTCGAGATTTGGCTTCACATCAAGAGGAGTGTCTTGAAACTGGACATACGATAAATGGATTCTTTTTAGCGGTAAACGCGCAAACTTGTGTCTTCTTGGGGTTGAATTGAACACAATTTTCCTGACCCCAAACCGAAACTTGATGGAGTGAAGTTTCGATTTCGGACACAAGTTTGTTCCGGTACTCTACAGCTTTTGCCTGCTTTTGCCTCACAGCAATGAATGTTGTTGATTTGTAACATGTTATTGATATGCAGAAGGAACAGAGTCGGAGACAGCACACAGCCTTGTGGAACACCAGCATTCACAGAGTGTGGGTCGGAGCAAGCACCATCGATAACGATCTTGATGCTCCGATCAGCGAGAAAGCTGGCGACCCATTTGCATAACTTCGCAGGCAACCCGAAGGATGGTAGCTTTGAAAGAAGAGCTTTGTGCCAAACCCGGTCAAAGGCCTTCGCATTATCCAGACTAACAGATAGGGCCTCCCCCTTACTCTCAATATCCTCTGCCCATCGATGTGTCAAATACACTAGAAGATCACCAGATGAGCGACCCTGGCGAAAGCCATACTGACGATCAGAAATCAACTGGTTCACTTCTAGGTATCGTAGGAGTTGACGATTGACAATCGACTACATAATCTTTGAGAATAAGGAGGTGATCGCTATGGGCCTATAGTTAGCTGGATCTGAACGATCTCCCTTCTTAGGGATCGAATGAACCAAAGCCGTCTTCCAAAGTTTCGGGACTACACCTGTAGAATAGCAGTACCAGAAGACGCATTAGTACCGGAGCCAACTCCGGTGCACACGTCCTGAGCACAATAGCAGGAATACCGTCAGGCCCACCCGACTTTTGGATATCAAGGGAGAAAAGAGACTTACGTACCAGCTTTTGGGTAAATTTTACCTCTGGCATAAAAGTCTCACATCGCGAGACGATCGGCTCCCTATCGTCCAGCGTCGATGCAAAAAGAGACCCAAGGAGATCGGCCTTCTCTTTAGCATGTTGGACCAACGAGTTATCCTCTCTGTGCAGTGGTGGAAAAGATGGCTGACAGAAATTTCCCTGAGCAGCTTTGGCAAGAGACCAAAAAGCCCGGGATCCAGATGGAAGACTGTTTAGTCTCTTACCAATTCTGCTGATGTGCCCCGACTTTGCTGTGGCTATAACTCTTTTGAAGGACCTGGAAGCGGATTTATACTTCCTTTTATGGGCACTGGTATCTGGATCACTCGACTTCACAGCTGCAATCCAGGTACGGATGCATTCCTGCCTATGGCGAGACGTAGATCTACAGGATCCGCCATACCAGGAATGAGATCTACCACCGACAGGTTCCTGGGAATTTGGAATAAACATCTCCATTCCCTGAAGTACTACATCGGTGAAAGATTCAGCTATTACATCGGGATCGTCCAGTGCAAAGCAAACTCGCTCCCATGGATAAGATGCAAAAAAAACCTCGCATCTCATCCCAATCTGCCGACTTAAAATGCCAAACACGACGAGTAGATCGCGGCAAAGAAGAACGCGTGAGAGGCACTTCGTCAGACAATGATCAGAAGATCCCAGTGGGGCTTCCACAGAGATCTGATATCCGTCCGGATGAGAAGTCAGCAGAAGGTCCAACAGTGAAGGTATATGGTCAACAACATCAGGAATTCGCGTAGGCCAGGATACCAGTTGCGTCGAACCATATGCCAAAGCAAAGCCATGAACAGATCTCCCCGCATAGTCGGTGAATGGCTCGGTACGTGAACCGAGCCATTCAGCGTGATGGGCGTTAAAGTCACCTAGAATCACGACCTCAGCGGAGGGAATCTGTTGGAGCAAAAAATCTGTAGCCATTTGGACGTGTTCAATGAGTCGGTCAGTTTCGGTGTTACCGCTATGGGACCTGTATAAGCATGCATAGATGCGGGGGTGGTCATCGCAATCTACACGCAACCATAAAATGGACAGGTCAGTACCTTCAAGTGTACCAAGACGGCGACAGCAAATATCCTCTCTGACATAAGCGCACACACCGGCCTGTGGAATAAAATGGTGTTCCAATTTATATCCAGGGTAGGTCAAGTACGAAATTTCGTCGGGACAGGATATTTGCGTCTCCGTAAGGAAGAGCAAAGCCGGCCTCGCCGTCTCTAGGTGGTGGTGGACGGCGTTGGGATTGGAATGAATTCCCCTGATGTTGCAAAAACTGACTCTGAGCAAGGGAAATGTCGATGGAGATTTGCTCACCCCAGAATACGCAGGGCAGCCTGAGTGTGATATCTCATCCCTGGGGTAAAAATCTCTTATATTCTGCTGCCATGGTATGTAAGAAAGGGGTGGGTAGAGGAAGGAAGTAGGAAAGGAATGGATAGGGGGAGGGGGAGGGGAATCCGGAACCTACAAAATTGTGTGCATTAAAGTTACATAAATAAAATAGAAGTAGTTATACTTTGATAAATGCGTCAAATTCATTCTCCTTAGGATATTTCTCGCTGCCCATGAACACCATATGTTCAACAAAGTGAGCAAGGCCTTGAATGTCGGAAGGATCGCTGAAGCTGCCCACGCCGACGGACAGCGCGCACGCAGCCTGAAACAAGAAAAAGCTAAAATTATGATTTGTCCTAATAAACTTTTAAATTACATGGTACGATGGCCTTAGTCTTTAGAAAGGCAACGCTTAAGGCTGTACTTCCCGCCTGCGGTATATTAACCAAAGTTCGTGGTGCTATTCATGTATACAGGCTTAATTTTGATATCTCTTTAAATCCACAGTACACAATCCCATATAACTAAGTCAATAGAAGAATATCATACTTAAAACCTTTATACAAACTGTGCGGTTAAGTAATCAACTTAAGATAAAAGTTTAATCAATTAATTTCAGATTTTCATGGTAAAAATTATTCTTGGTATAGTGGTCCAGTAAATCCAAGTATTCTATCTGGATTTATAATAATTTACCATATTGATACCATACCTTAAATTAGTTTTATAATCCTTTAGAACTAACCCTGTATGTAAGCTGTTGCCACCAACCATAAGATTACCAGCTTGTTTGCCATTTCGGTTACATTATATACAGGTACATTAAAACAACGAGGAAGACTTGTATTTTTGTGGTATAGTGGCATCTACCGAAGAAACTCCGCATCCACTATTATACCTTAACACACCAGGCCTCAGTGGTCCAGAGGTTTAACATGTCGCCATATATTTGATGGTGCGGATTCGAGTCCTCGCTTAATGCAAAATTTTGTATTCATTAATGTGATTGTTTGTATTGGTCTGAGTGTATTCTATGTACACATGATGTACATAGAACTACTATACTATGTATTTAGTTTCTCTCAGATGTTTAGTGTGCATAACACAAGCTTTGCGTAACTTGTGACTAAAGGGCGTTGTGTTGTCCAGTTTTATTATTATCTTGATAATATTATGAACGCAAAAGTTTGTGAGTATGGATGGATGTTTGTTATTCTTTCAAGTAAAAACTACTGTGATTAAACATTTCAGTAATATAGCTTATGCATCGGAATAAGACAGGCTACTATTTTAAAATATGTACATTGGGCGAAATTTAATGATAAATACCATGTAGACGAAGTTACGCGGGTCAGCTAGTTATTAATATTTGGACGGCATGCCTGATGATATTTGGCAACACCACTTCCACTTGTCATTCGGTAGGCCAGTTTGTCTATCATTTCAATAAATCTGAACTCAGATATGTTCGAAGAGTAGAATGATAAGATATCTTTTAATTAATGATTATCATTAATTAAAAGATATCATGATGTGGTGCACCAGTGGAGGATAACAAAATAAGAATGAGATCAGGTTAGTTACCCATCGCGGTGAATCCACCAAGAATTTATCACGATCACGTCATTAGTCCACATTACTAACAAAATCCTCCCCCCAACCCTTCCAAAGGTTAGATGTTATGTTTTAATTCGAGTTTCCCTATTTTTCCGTTACTACATGATGGATCATGAAATACGACATTCCATTATGAATAAGTAATTTGTTACCTAAGAAATAGGAAATTACGTATACAGTGTAAATTATTTACTAGTTAATATTTTCAATAATATTCTTTTAAGTATATTGAAAGTATTAACAAGTAAAAACTAATTGTGCTCTCGACCTAGTATAATTTTTTGTTTTGTTTGAACAAAACAAACTGAAAATTTTAATAACAATAAGTGAAAACCGCACCCAAATGGGTAAAGCAGTTTCCGAAATGAGCATGCAAGTTACAAACGCACAGAAAAATAATTAAATTCTAAAAATCATTTTTATGTGTTCTATGGCTTTGATAAAGTCTTTAAATACCAAGTTTTTTTCATAAATCTAACATCTACAGAAAATTATCTGTTACTAATAAATCAATAACAACGATACCAGGCATTCCGACTTGCCAATTGGGTTCGGACACCTAATTTTTTATTTAAGTAAATATTTTAATTACTCTAAGTAAATCCGTAAGTAACACCATCGTTATCATGTTTATTGCAAATTAAATGTAGAACGAATAGTCGTAAATTTATATAAAGCTGAAGAGATTAATTGAACGCGAGAATCTCAGCGACTGAAAAATGTTGTAGTGTTGACCTATCCAACACTATCTTATCAAGAAAGGCAACTAGGAGTAACAGAAGTGAAGCATTAATGAAAAATATTGGAAAAAGTAGCAAAATGTGGCGCAGTCAGTCAGGGTCAGTTAATATGAGATAATACTTCTTTTTGAACAGCTCATAACTAAACTATACGATTGTGTCCGAGAAGATCAAACGAAATACAGCTACCGGTGATATGGAACTGGTTTTCTATTTATAGTCGGTTAATCTGCACATAAAATTAGCATAACTGCGAAAACGATTTCAATAATATCTTATGTAAGACTAATATATGAATACATAATGCACTTTTATGAGTGGTTTTATACGACATATTTGTAAATGTTATATACACATAACGTGTCAATTAAATTTACTTTTAAAAAATTAAACACATAGTAAGTTTTTTTTTAACTATTGACAAAATTGATAACCATTATGTATCTAAATAGAACACCCCTTTTCCATTTTTTACGAACTACTGTTTATAAGTACTATTTTTGAATCCAGTAGGAAAGAATTTCAATAAAATACTATGCGTGCATTGCTAGCATATTTCTGAATCTGCATTTTTGAATTCTATGTCTAATTCACTGATAATGTTATAATTACTGGCTAAAACTTCATTATATAAATTTTGCACTGCGTATTATTAAAATTGTTTGCATTTAGTATTTTAAATAAGAGAATATAAATATTATTTTTCTAATACTCGTACTTAGCGGAAGGTTTTCAAATGTAAATTAATATTAAATTTTCTATATTGGTTATGCCACAACTATAAACCGGGTCATACCGTGTCGAGTGAAAGCTCGCTTGTTAACAACTTGCATCGTTTTCTAGATATTTTCCCGCATGCATTCTTGACAATTCTAAGTATATTTCGTCGGTAGCGACTACCCTGTCGAAGGTGTTTATGTATTACTTATATTTAGATATTACCAAACTAACTAGTCTTCTAGTCTAACTAGTCTTCTAGTAGTAACTGATCTAGTCTTCATGAGTATGATTGTTTATATGGGTCTAGATGTTTTCAATGTATAATATGTAGGTATATATTTAAAAAAAAAAATCTACGTATTTGTATCAATTATCTACTATCCATAACTCAAGCTTTAGCTAGCTTAATTTCTACGGTAAACTCTTATAGGTCTTGATGACAATGCCCTGAAATAAAAACACACATACACTAAAATAATTCCACGTATTGAAACGTAATATAATATCTAACCATCTACTAAAACATCCGAACATAATTTTATTTATTTATATTAAGCCATTGTCAATTTTTCTAGAATGAATCAATTAGTCATAGATTTTAATACTTATGCTATAATAATGAAGGAAACTTTCGAGAACTGCATTACATTACATAATACACGCTAAGCAAGTTCATAACACTTGTTTATTTTAGAAGTATCTACATATAATCGTTGTTTTTGCGCATCAGTATTGTTAAGCCCAACACATGGTTCGTGGCAAATTGGCCAGGAATTTACCACGTTGGATTTCAAGTAAGACTGCGTGGAGACCGACCTAACTATTCCTTCCCTTCTTAGGTTCTATCGGCATTAACTTATGTAGAATGTGATTTTTTTTTCCAAATTTATATATTTACAGTAACGTAATTTGGTACATCGTTGTATATGCAACAATGAATTCAATTTTAGTCAAATATTATAAAGAGTAGAATTTATAACTATTAGACAATTTATAGGTGCTTGTAAAACCACTATAAAAACTAAAAACATAATAAAACTATGTATTGTACGTCTATATCTCTTTGATTACTGCATATAATAACTCTTAGGAAATATTATTTGCAATGAATTCCGTTTCCATTATGGGTTATGAAATTATAGTGGCGGTAGTGCGTGATTGCATTTCGCTACTTAGGTAGTTGATTTCAAGTAAACATTCTTAAACGGAACAGCCAACCGTGACATAATGAATGTATATTAGGTGTCTTAAACTATTCACTATGACTACACACTATTATAGAGGATTTCCGGAGAAATTAGCATAAGATTAAAAATCTTAATTTTTTTTTTAAAAAAGACACTAATAGACATGTTTTTTATTACATAAAAATTTTTGAGAGCCAACAATTTTAATTTACCTTCCAGACGAGAAAAAGAAAAGCTTTACAAGGAATTTTTTTGTGTAAAATATTTTTTATGAATTTCAACATAGCAAGGAAAAGTTTTCGTATGCTATGTATAAAATTAAGAATAAAGAAAGTAATTAAACAAGATTTATATATGTACTTGTAATTTCCAATCAACGAATAATGTTATATATAGTGTTTTTATCACCCTTGTAAGTAAAACGTACCAACTGATGTTTTTTAGAAATCATCTAATATTTTCATCGTCTAATTAGATTCAAATTGCATGCATACGCAATGTTTTAAGCCTTATAATATAAATGTATTTAGGATATTTAATAAAAAAGTTATTATTCTTTGTTTTATAAAGTGATCCGTTTTGCCTTATTATTTTAATACTGTACTGGCTCTTTCCTTCTACTTTGTATGCTTTTGCGCGATTTTCTTATATAATTCATGATGCTTGCCACATTCTAGAAAAAGAATCTTTGTATGTTTCCATACACATTGTAAATAATACCTTTTTATAAGTACAAAGTTTAACTAAGTCACGGTCCATTTCGAAATTTTATAACAATATTAAAATAATACAAAAAAAATACAATTGCATTGATTATTAAGCCCACAATAGAGACCATATTGTCCATTTTTTAACATTCGTCAAGCGGTAATAGCCGAAATTGAAGGTCTGAGGTCAGGGCCGGAATGGATAGTTACATGGTATCTCAACCACAATAGCTATTTGAAAACAGATGAATTTAAAACGTCATTTATTTACTATAAATAGAATTGGCGAAGTCAGAGTCGGACTCGCATATGGTATCGATTTTTTTTTTATTAATATACTATATAAATAAAATAAAATCAAGTTAGGTGTCGTGAATATTGGATTGTTAGATGCCTCTACGATCCGAATAGCTACTTAACTGTTAAAACATACATATTCTTCATTGCACCAATAATACTTTGATACTATAATTTAGAGACAATGTGAGCTATAAATATTATATTATGACTAAAATGTATTTGCTATTCATATTAAAATTAAATGGATATCTTATTATGGATATGTATCCATAATATAATAATAGTATGAGCATAATAATGTTATTATGCTCATACTATTATTTAGAATTATTATAATATATATTATCTTACCAATTTTTCTTCATTAAATTCATTTCTTCGGGTGCTACCATGGTGATCACTGGCTGCTGATTGTACAGATCCACTCCCATCACTCTCTGGCCCACTTGACTCATCAGAGCCACTACTCTCTTCTTCACTGGAACTGTTCTCCTCATTCACAGCAGGATGGCTTGGGTCTGATATTAATAGAGCTGTCAGACCATTCTCCAGTCTTATTGTTCTAAAAATGAAAGAAGAACTTTAATTTACAAAATATATTATATGAATATTAATTAAATAATAGGATAGAACATAGACAGTACTGACTTTATATAATCCTAAATAACAGACAATACATAAAAATCATAGGACTCCAACATTTGTTTAAAATTATATATTAATTAAAGAACTGTCTATTGGAAGTGTGTTAAAGTCAAATACTATATAAACATTATCCAAAGGGCACAATATATTATTGGATACTCCATTCTCAGTTCACACACTCAAAAGATCTGCTTATATAATTCAAGTACTGATTGTAGATAGGAGAGGAATAAAAATATCAATTGATTTATATTTTGTTGTCCATCTTAAAGTAGATATATACAATAAATATGTAACAAAAAATATGAAACTAAGTAACCTTGCCCATGGTTTTTTGTTAATTTCAAATAATAGATAATATTTGTATGCAACATTTTTTGTGACATGATATCATGGTAATTACATATCTACCTCCTGAATGAAATTATAGTTACAATAGATTTTAAAGGAGATTAATAATTTGGAATAACACAATGCTTTCTGTACATCTATCTTTTGTTAACAGACTCATAATTATAATCTGTATCTAAGAGGGAAGAGGTTTGTTAGTAATGGGTATTAGAGCTTACATTGCAGTATTTAATTTAGTTATTTCATATTCACTTCATACTTCGCCCGCTAGATTTTATTATTATTTTTGTCACAGTGGTGGCAACCATCATGGTTAATTCCTGGTTATGTCGGCATGATCTAGATTATAGATATTGTCTGTTACTAAATAAGTTCAGGGTGCTAACTGGAACCCAAAAAGAATTTCCTCCAACAATATATATGAAGTGTATAGGGTGGATGTCAATGGCAGACCTTTAATTTTCTTAGAAGTAATATCCTGGATATTATGTGTATATACATTTTTTTTATTTACTTATATATCTGCAAACAGCTACTATAGTTACATATAGATTTATTTATACTATGGATGTAGTCATGGGCCACATCAAGCAAAGTGTAGTCCTTAATATTTAATTCAAAAGGCTAGTGAAGTGAGGCGAAGGGAGTCCTTTTGAATTTGTATTAGTCACGGAATTATTCTCTGTATCCATTTATAAATTAAATTTACCCAAGCATATTTTAAATATACATACATAAATTTAGATTAATAAACTGCATAATATAATCTCACCCCATGTACTTAAAATAAAAGGCATGACTTAGTCCAAATAATTATACAGTAATATTATTGGATATATTTTTACTCTAAAAATATTATACTAATAATAGTATTAAAAGAAAGGCTTAATATATTATTTTGCAAAATGTGATCTGTGATACCATACCATACATGCAGCAAACGAAGTACAAGTTCTAATTTATAATAAAATCTGGATTATAAATAATATGTATTATTTTAAACATACAAATGTGAGAAGAAAAAAGGTGAATACATAATACTAACTTATAATTTTTCTTATCCGATTCTGATTTGATGGGTCCAGGTAGAACCTCAACTTTCTCTTTCCTGCTGGGCATTAACACTGACTGTTTTGATCTACTACTTAAATTCTTTACTTCAGGTTTGAATTTAGGTGCCCTATGAAAACCACTTCTTTTAGACATTTTAACAAAAAATATAATATGGTTAGCTAGTAGAGAGACTGAAGTTTTTTGAATAAACACAGACAAAAATTTTGACATTTATTGACATTTGGCAGAAGAGTTGCCAGATACACGCCAGCACAATTCGCTAAGTACCAAAGTAGCCCAAATTGCCGGACCAGACGGTTCAAATCTGTAAATTGTACAATAGGCATATGTCTCTCCCCGCAATAATACAATATAAATATTAGTTAAATCAAAATAGTCAATTATGAAAATCTAGTTTACATGTACTATCATTCACCCAAAACTATGAATGAAAGAAATAAATTCCAAAGAACTCTAAAAAGTCCATCTCTGCTATAAAGTTAATAAAGTCTAGTAATAAGTGTAGTAAATAGCACACATTTTTTTACAATTATGTTAATCGTGTCTATAGACTATAGTAGAACCCTATCCCTCAAATATATATATGTTTTTAATAGGAGGCTCTTTGATAATACGTAAACATAATTTTAGCACTATTTATAAATAATTCACCACATTTTCTTTTTAGTCGAGAATTCATCATTATTACGGACTAACTTTGGTCACATCGATATAAATGATGATTTTCATTAATAGAAATAGAAATAATCTTTATTCAATTAAACTTAATATAAGCACTTTTGAATAGTCAAGTTTTTTTATTCTACCGCTCATTCGGAATGCAGACTCATCACAAGAAGAATAAACAAGAAACTTGTGTGTTGCTCTTTAAAATAAATATTGATTTACTTATATTTAATTAACAACAAGGATTAGGCTTGCGACAATCAACATAGAAACCGCTACGCACTTAATCTCTGTTCAATTAGATAACATTGTCAGCGCTTTGAATTTTAAGTTAGATATTTTCTACAAAAACATTATTATCATTTATAAATTCTTCAATTTTATAATAAGCTTTTTTACAAAGAAACTCAATTTGCCAGAAAAATGTGTTTAAAATATATAACACATTTTTCTGGCAAATTGAGTACAGACTCTGGGAGTTTGTTGTAAAACATTACGCATTCCCCAACACGTTCAAAATTTAATTTTAATTAATTATTATTTAAGGTGTAAGCTTACATAATGATTTATTTATAACTTTAAATGTTCATATTATTTGTTAAAAATGCATTCGAAGGACTTGTATCCATGGTCATGAATAAATTAAAAAAAACCTTGCTTTTTTTTTTGTTGACAGTTATTTTTTTGACAAATTTTCAAAACTTTTGATATCGTTTAATTTATTTCATTAGCTAATGTATATTATATGTAAATTTAAATGAATTGTGTTATTTTGTAATACTTTGAGTACAATGGATAAATCTTACTCAGAAAATGATGTTTCTTTATCGCCTTCACAAATTTTGGAACGCCTGCGAGTTCTAAGGCAATTGCAGTTGTTGCAAAGAGAAAAGTTAGAAAAACAACAATCAGAATATCAAGACACAAATGAAAATTCTTCAAGCATCACAGAAATGGTTAGTCATTTCAGCAATAGTACTAGTTACAATACATTTCACGGATTATTGCAATTATCGCATGATGTTTCGCACGACGCTGGCCCGCGTAATGATTTGACACCCAATGTAAAAGAATGTGATCTCTTAGAAGGAGTTTCGATATTAAATTTATCACGAGAATCTGAATTTATAGTTAGCTCACCAAATTCTATAATAAGTAAACGAAGTTCCATGAAAGAAAATGAGACGATTACAACTGATAGCTTAAAAACTATAGAATCATCTAAAAAACAAATATCACTGGATGAAATGCCTGTACTAGCCCCTAAGAAGGGGTTTGAACAATTGGTTTTGGAAAAATTGCAAAAGGAAAATACAATACCTAAAGTAAAGAATACAGTAAGGGATAAGTTATTAACAGTACAGCCAAAGCCATTTCTTAAAAGAGGTGAAGGCATGGCGAGATTTGGCTTAGATAGGACGGATTTAAAAATACAAAATACCAAATCATTACCCTGGCGGCAGAAAAAATTAACTAAGGATGTAAATATGAAAAAATCTGTTATGAACAGTCTTCATGAAACATCAAGAAACAGTAAAAAAGAATTGCCAGTACAAATTGTAGTTAGTGAATTAGACTCTATTTCACTTAACTTTAATAAAAAGCAGGAAGTACTAAATGTGCAAATTGATCCAGGAAAGATAACACCTACTTGTGTCAAACCTAATGAGGTAAATAATAAGCAAATATTAGAAACATTTTCAGTGTTATCACATCATAATAATAGTAATAAGAACCCTAAAATAATAGTAGAACAAATTAATAGACAAAAATTTGTTAAATGTAATGATAATTCACTACACCTTAAAAGCAAACATCCATTACAAACTAATAAAGTACAAACATGGGGTTCTGTGTTTTCTAAAGAACAAAATGATTTTCTTATGCAGTTAAAAAAAAGTAATTACTATAAAAACTTTTCTTCACCTGCTAAAAGTACTGTTTCTGATATTAGCTGTGAAGAAAGTGAATTAAAACAAGAAAAAGAGAAAGCTGAACAAAATCTGTTTGAATTACTGGAAAATAAGGTATCTCATGAAAGTTTTAATTTAGAAAATTCTTTTTTCAATAGATTTCTAAGGAAACACAATCTTGAATGTTCTGGAGAGAGCACACCATTAATTATGCAAAAATGTCTAGTAAATAATCCGGACTTATTGCATATTTCATCACATCTAAGTTGTGAAAGGAATATTGGTCAAAACAGTGAAACATGTAACAGTGAATATACTGAATGCACTAGTGACGCCTGTTCCTCAGTCTCTAGCTGCTGTTCATGCAGGACTATTGAACCATTAAATGAGGATTCTGTAATTAATAAAGAAAAAAATAAAAGTGAAATAAACACTGTAAACACAAAGAAGGTTGAAAAAGTAATTAAAGAAAGACATCAAGATGACACTGACATAATGAAAGCTAATATGGTAGAAATGAATGCAAAATTAATTGCCACCAGTGATCTTTTGAAGGATAGACTACATGAACTTGAAGATGAAATAGAAACATTTAGAAAAGAAAATGCAAATTTATCAAAAATGCGAGAAGAAATTGATACAGAAAAGCAAAAATTTTATGAAGAAAAAATATCATTTGAACAAAAATTCAATGAAGAAAAGATCTTGTCCGAGTATTATATAGCGGAAGAAAAAGAAAAACTCAACAAACAAAAGCTAATGTATGAGAGGTATGTTAGGGAAATAAGAGGAAAACTAAATAAGAAAGAAAAAGATGAAGTACAAAATCTAAGGAAAGAGATACATGATCTCAAAGAAGAGATTAGAATAAAAGATGCAAAGTCTACTTCAACTATAGCAAGGCTTCGGAATCAAATTAAAATTGTAGATAAAGAAAATAAAGAATTACTGGCTCAAGTAGAGAAATTGAAAAAGGAAAATAAACGCATACAACACAGTAATGAAGTAACTAGAAGATTAACAAATATTAAATATCTTGAGCAAATCAATAAGAAGCTTTCGCATATGACCTCAAAAACAACCCAATCTGAAGTAGAAGTGGATAAGAGCATGAAATATAAATCTTTTGAAATAGAAAGACAAAGTAGAAGTAGAAGAATTCAACCCTCTACAAACATAAATGTTAGACCTAGAGCAAAAAGTGTACCTAATCTAAATGTTACATCTAGATATGCTAAATATTTCAGTCAAAGAGATGCCATCAGTCAAATGGATAAAAAACACATCTTAAATGTGGAACATATTGAGTACAGCTCAGATAATGAAGATGTAGAGTATACCCATAATGAGCCAGTTTCTTTAGATGAATCAGGTTCTATTACAGATAAACAACTTGATGACAGTGGGGATGAAAATAATTTAGAAAAAATATATTTGGAAACATTTCGAACTATATCACCTAAAAGCAACAGATCTAGTTTGGATAATCCTAGAAGTGACAGTGATAATAGGGAACAAAACTCTAATTTTTCAAATAGAAAATTATGTAAGTCTCCTATTATGAATACTAGTATATTGAATTGGCAGAAGAATTCAATACCACCTAATAAAATGTCCCATGATAATATCCAAAACAGATCAAAATCACCACCTTCCTGTTTTAGTAATTCTTCATCACATAGTTTAAAATCTGCAACAGTTATCACTACAAATCACAATCAAAAAGAAATAACACTAAGCCCTGAATCATCTAGAAGTAAAAAAAGCGTAACAAAAACAAAGTTGACCCCAACCGAAATAAAAAAACCAGATGGATCTAGAGAACTTCGTTTTCCAAATGGGAACATTAAATATATATCACATGATGGATGTTATAGCAAGTTTGTTTATTACAATGGTGACATAAAAGAAAATTTCTATAAAGAGGGTAGGATTAAGTATTTCTATGCTGAAACAAAAACATTTCATACAACACATAGTGATGGATTAGAAGTACTAGAATTTTCAGAGTAAGTGGATTAATATTTTATTTATTGGATATAATTATAAAAATCAAATTTAGTTATTATAAATGAGACATTAAATATCTCTAAAAAATAGCCTATTAGACAAACTACATCTGCTTTGTTATATAAAATAGAAGAGTAAGTATGTGTTATCCTCATTATATATTTTATCTTCATTATAAATTTCATTAAGATTGGTATAGCCTAGCCCAGTGATTCCCAAAGTGGTCTATATCAACCCCCAGGGGTCTATGATGAACTGCAAGGAATCTACGACAGTGGTCATCTTGTTATTTTTACTTTGTTTTTACACTGAACTATACTAGTTAGAAATTTACAGAAAAATCAATACCATGTAAGAATGGGGGGTCTACCCAAATCCGAGAAATATGGCAAGGGGTCTACGTCACAAGTAAACAAAGTCTTTATAATATTAGTATGGCTTGACATTTTACAATAATTTTATTCGAAAGCTACTATATATATTTTCTGTATATATTTATTTAAATATAAAAAATGAAATTGTTTTTAGTGGTCAAGTAGAAAAGCGATATAAAGATGGATCGTCGGAGATACGTTTGCCAAATGGCAGCATACGGTATTTTGATCCTAAGAATGAGCATGTCAGAGAAGAATGGAGGTTTCCGGATGGTGCGGCGCTGACCGTGGCCGCTAATGGAGAGCAACGCATTGTATTCGGCAATGGTCAGATCGAGGTACACACTAATGATCATAAGGTAAATAAATTGTCTTTTCTTGTAGTTTTTGTATAAGGAGAAACCAAATAATTAGGTCTATGACACAATATTATAGGTATAATACAAATAAAGTAAGAACTTATTAAATGTTAAAATGTTAAAAAGTAACTATCTCAACCATCATTGTTAGCATTACTGACTGGAAAAATGTTTTGTTATCTCTTTCAGACCTAAGATTCATTTTCTTTTCATTACAGCGTCGTGAGTTCCCAGATGGCACAGTGAAACTTGTATACAATGATGGTACCTCAGAAACACGATATGCATCAGGGCGTATAAGAATTAAAGACAAACATGGGAACCTCATAATGGATTCAGCGCCTGGATGAAAATATTAGTATTGTACATTAGTTAAATAATTAGTGAAATTCATTATGTGATGTAATGTGCCTTACTCACTGTTACGAACTGCATATATAAATAATATTTATGTATAAATTAGTATGATTGTTGTATTTTTGATTATTTTTGCAGTATTTTAATAATTTATACAGTGAATTTTCACTAAGTTTTAATGTTAAAATTAAATTTGATAAGGACAGTTATAATTAACAATAGATAATATATTTGTAATATATTGTTTTATTGAAAATGTGGCAGCTAGTTATACTATTATAATTCTTAAACTACACTACATAAATATTATATTTAACTGGCCGATATTTGATAGCGTTTGTGGGATTGTGCCTTTGGTATTCCATTTATTTTGAAATTAATGGGTTTCATATGATCCTCAGTGCCAAATAACTTTTTCAGGGCCTCTCTTGCAGCCATTTCTTTAGCAATCGCCACTGTTTCTCCAAAACCTGAAATACATAAATATTAATACTAATAAGCTTGGTTTGGTTGATTATTGGTCAATAAAATATACTAAAAACCGAATTAAATGCTTAACACGTTGACGGACAGTAGGAACAAGCGAAGTTCGAAAATTGACACTATATGTTTTTGTGATTTTTAGAATGTTAGAAGTATAGTTTTACTCTTTCTGCTTAAATAAACTTATATATTATATTATATATATAATATATATTTATCATTTACATTATCATTATTTATTTATATTTCAAATGTAAAACCAAAAAAAAAAAAAGTAAACAGTATAACCTATAGTATCGTTAACCTAACCTAAAATGCTAAATTTTGTTTTTTTATTTATGTTTAAAGTATAAAATGAATAATAAACAAATACATACCAGTATAGTTTTATAAATAATAATAAATCGATCGCACTACTCCCTTCACAACCACGTGCATAATGAATCTGCAACTCGTATAACAGGTGAAATATGAACTTCAACCTAAAAAGATGTTTTCAAAACACGACACTATGCTTCTACGTATACGCCAGTAAGTGCACATTTGTGCTGCTATAGCCGTAGTGTCTCGTTTTGGACGGCTATAGCAGTCATGCCACATTGTGAACTTCGCTTTGACGGCTATAGCCGCAATTGTCCGTCAACGTGTTAATAAATAAATAAATTATTTATCCAATGTTGCATGTATGTATGTTATTCATCAACTGTGATCTCATATAGGCTTTTATTTTTTTTACTAATTCTGTTGGCCGCAGCTAGCCTTTACAACTTCACTGGACGATAGGGGTGAGGGCAGATTGGAGTGCCCAAACCCACAGAAGGACAGCTGAAGGCTAACTAACTCCCGCCTGACTGATCTGAGGGCACTGCTAAGGGTTCGAACCTCGGCTCAGGCCATCGTAATTTCGATCCCGTAATTCAATTTCGGTCTTTTAATCTAGGGAGAGGAAGGGGTTGTTAGGAATAGATGATGAGATACATGAGTGACACTTGTAGCCTTAAACTACCCCTACCTATATATTATATATATAATATTATCAATGTAGTTACCGGTAGAGATTATTCTCTTCTCAATGTATAATCCTACTCTGTAACAAGCTAGTAGCGTGCCTTTACCAGTCTCGCCTATTAATCTTGGTTCTATTATGGTTTGATCTTTCTTTAGCATCCCAATTAACATTGCCCATGGATCTTCTATGTGCCAATATTCATTTACATCTTTTCCTGTGAATGGAAAAGGAAAACAATGTTTTACTTAAAAAACAATTAAGTATTATACAAGAAACATTGAGGAATCTTAAAATATATATTGTCATCTGAGCAGGAGTGCAAATATCACTATATACATTATATCTTGAGTTATAGCTGGGCTCAAAGAATGGATCTTGAGCATATTAAGTATACATATATTCTTCTAATATATACAATTCTCCTGTTGCAGTGTTTGTTACCAACTCCCTCCTTCTGAAATTACTTTACCAATTTTTATGAAATTTTGTGTCCATATTGGGTAGGACTGAGAACAATCATCAAGGCCAACAATCTATTTTTTACCATCAACCCCCATTTTTTATCTTATATATAAAATTCTCGTGTCACAGTTTTCATTCCCATACTCCTCTGAAACGGATTGACCGATTCTCATGAAATTTTGTGAGCATATTGAGTAGATCTGAGAATCGGCCAACATGTATTTTTCATCCCCCTAAATGTTATGGGTAGTCCACCCCTAAATATTTTTTTTATTTTAAGGCAAAACAATGTTTGCCGGGACAGCTTGTAGTAATATAAGTTTATATTGCAAACCAATGTTTACTGGGACAGCTAGTATATATATATACATGCACATAAAAAACCATGGAAATCATCTGTTAACCTTGTAGCTGGGTAATAATGAAATCACGCACAAAATGAGCAGTCCTTTCTTCACCCGATGAGTTTAATAGAACACCCACAATAGCTTTAAATGTATTTGCTAAAATAGACTCGTCCACAGGGTATTGCTGTAAGATAAAATTATATTATGAAGTTATGATGTTAAAACCTTAAATATTGTATCTTTATTTACATTTTAATATATAAATTTTTATAATATATCAAACAAATTTTTTAAATATATTAACAACTAGCTTGGCTTTGGTCCTATATGTTCTTTTATTAAAAGTAAAATATCTCCTAAATTGGTTGTGGAAATGAAAAATGTAGCAAATATGTTTTGAAACAAGAACAATTTTCATTATAAACATATTTCATTACTGCTCCTCTCCTATAGGCTGTATCGTAATGTTATATATAACATTACACTAATAAGCTATAGCTTAAAGCCTCGACAAATGGACTATCCAACACAAAAGAATTTTTCAATTCAAACCAGTAGTTCCTGATAGTTGCACTTTCAAATAAAATAAACAATCAAGCTTTATAATATTAGCACAGATAACATATAATAGTATAGATTTAGAGAAAAACTTGATACCTGTCTCATAGAATTTTTAGTTTATCTAATTAAGTGCTTTACTAAAAATTGTATATTTTTTTATTAAAATAATTTAATGTTTTTTTTTTTCCAAGAACAAATGCTGATAAAAATTCTCTTGCAGTATATATTGCATAAAATTTATTTTGTGATCACAATTTCGAGGTAGAACTAGAATTGCCTGCCATACAGCCTGTTTTACTAACTTGTTCTTAAATAGTTTAGTATTTTTTAATATGCTAAGGTGCACATGCTCTTGCAAATGGTATCTGGCACCGGAGAAAATAATATGTGGATTAAGTAAGATCAGTCGATGTTCGTTCTATGCATAAAATACAAATAAAATAACAAGTAAATTATACCGCAGCTAGAATGATATCCTTGGTGCCAATATGCTGTGATACATGAGCAAGTAATTCTTCTGTGGTGAGATATCTTCTAATTCCTGCTATACCTTCTAGTGGAAACTTTGGTAGGGCTGTTTCTAAGTACATTTGGATGTATTCATTCAGAAATTTTTCACCTGTAATAGGTTTTATCATAAAGAATATTTTTATATATTTTATTACATCTACTGCTTTTAAATTGATACTAACCTTGTTCAGCTAGTTCCCTGTTGTCCTTCACTTTTATATCAAATTCCATTTCTTTTTGCTTCATTTCTTCCTTAATAACATATGACCTATCAGTGAAAGCTTGTAATAACAAATCTGAATCAAAATCTTCATTCAGACGCTTGCCAAATGCATACAATTCTGCCTCCAAGTTCCATTCCAAAAACGTATTACGGGGATTTGTTTTCTTTCCTCCGAGTTTCTTTTCACGTACTTTTAACTGTATTAGAGTAGGCGCTACCCATCTATGAATATTTTTAACTGAAATTATAAGAATAAGTTCAAATAAAATATTCAGTTTTGTAAATTTTTAACATCACTATAGAAATGTTATTACCTGGTGTTGTACTAGGAACATTTTTAAAAGTTTTCAAATACAAAGGTACAAATCTTCTAGACAGAAACATGGTTTTAATATTAATTGTTAATACAAAAACAAATACAACCTATTAGTTTAAAACCAATGACCAATCATTTTAGCTAGACAATACGAAGCAATGGTTTAAAATATAATCTAGTAGAAAAATTATTGAATATATAAAAACAGCGAAGTTTGTATTATGTATATGGCTATATTTTAGAATTAAGAAGAAAAATAGACATTACATTTGCTTTAAGGTTAGAATTTCTGACTGATGGACAGACAATCACTATCAGTACTAACAGTCATTCAAAGTAACATTTGACATTTCAAAATAAAATAGTGATTATTTGCTCAGTGGTAGTAAAGTTAAAATCATAGGTAGAGGTAATTTTACATAGCTCCTGTACCACTAAACATTATTTAATTTTTACGTGAGGCTCCAACATCTTTCCTAGTTTTAGTTAATTTTCTTTAACTCTATCGGTAAACGACCTGGAGGACGTTATAAGCGGTAACTGTCGCCTATATTCTTGAACATTTGGACATTATGTTCACATGATGTCCGTGATGAAACGACTCAAGCGTTACCATTGCAGAGGTCTAAGATATCATTTCTACTTATAAGGTAACTTCACTGGCTTATTGCAACTTTATAACCGAAGTACAGTATATCCTTTGAGCTTGCCAACTATTTATCTCTAAATATTAGAAAGTTCTCCCTCTGAGCCACAAATAGAGTCATAGGCGGAAAAAATGGTAAGGCGGGTATTCCTGACTGAGGTTCGGTAATATCGGATTCCATATGTAGAATTACTACTCACTGTAAACGCTTATATTCTCCCATTGTGCATGTCATGTATAACCGCACCATTCGTACCACCGAATATAACTTCATGAGAATGAAACTCTACGATGTTCGCCTTACAGAAAATACAGTTATACACAATTATGTATAAAAGGATAAAGAAACTCAATAATAAACAAGACAAAGATATAACAACGGGCGGTATTATAGCTAACAAGCGATCTCTTCATATATCAATATATTGCATCGGTACGGTTTTATTAGAGTTAGTTGCGGTTTCTATAAATGCCTATGTGCAGCTAAATAACTACTTACGAGTACTGAAGAATAAAAGGAAAACAACATTATTTCACACCTTTAATAAAATAAAAAATAAAAGTACATGTAAAATAACAATAAAAATATATACATATATATATATATTTCAAAAGAACGTGTCAAATATGTAGTTTAAGAGCCGACTAATTAATCGTCTTCGCACAAATTTTTCAGTGCCATAATTTTCCAGGTCATAGTATGCAGCTGGCATATTACTAAGTATAATCTGTATCTACACCGAGTCTAACTCTTTCTATTTGCTATAAAACCTCGCACTGAGCTTAAAAAGCTTCGTTTCACTTTATTATTAATTGGCAAAATACTGTGGTTAGTGTAGAACGATACTGAAGTGTCGTATATGGACGAACTTACTTCTATTGCCTGAAAATAAGCATAAATTAATAAGTATATAGGCATTTGTTAACGTAAACGACATCTCACCGTATTTGATGGCGTGATAAGCGCCGCCTATATCCATGGTAGAGCCATGGATATAGGCTACGCTTACCTATGAATGACATGAATAAAATTGTAATGCTTGCATTGCAAATCGAGTCACCATTTTTAAAGCTAAGATTTTGATATGTGTGCATATCAAAATCGGTTTATTAAAACAACAAAATGTTGGATATTTAAAGAAAAGGATATGTAAATAAAATGTGCGTAGGTAAGTATCCCGTCAATACCTACTACTGGCATCGGTTTCTATCGTAGAAATTTCTGTGACAGAAATTCAGGGAGATCTATATATACTATATATCTACTGTATAAGTATTCAGTAAGTTATTCTATCACACTATTGACTTATATATTTCAACATTAACCAAAAATGGTATGTACCTAACAATGAGTAAGTGCCAAAGTGCAAAAGTAATATTTAAATTTTACTTGTTACTTTTAAACAGAAACCTCCCAAAACCTATATTATTCGTTTTTTAAAAAACAATAATATATCTAAAATAATTCGTATTAAAAGAAATATTAAAAATGAAAGTAAAGTTTTTTAAAGGTACAAAAGTTAAAATTATTAATTATGATGACTAAGATTTTAGTTCCCTGTCAGGGTAGTCATATTTACAAAACAAAAACTTGTATACTTACATGTTTTACAACATAGCCAAGCAGTAAGTAGGTAAGCAAATCTATACTGTCTATACTTACTAATATTACAAAAAATGACAAAGTGTGTGTCAGTCCGTTAGTTACCTTTCGCAACTAATCTGCTGATACTCTTTAACGTTAAAGTAGCTTGAATGACAAGGATGGACATATTATATTTTATCTCTAATATAATAGACAAAGACTCGCGGAACAATTAGTTATCTATACTTTTTTGAATAATTCATAGATGAAGTGTGCATCAAAAGAAAGGAAGTTACTTGAATACTTACACCAAATGATGTATTGATGTGATATGAGTCAAAAGTACTGTTAAGGCTAGGTGCTTTGCAGACTGGGGGATAGATTTTTGTTTTAGACGCTGCGGCCGTTCGAAGAACAAGGCAAGACATCAGTCTTCTTAGTAATGCTTTCCTCGGTTTTGTAGTGTGTTGCATATTATTTTTTAATGATGCATTTTCATAATGATCTTCAACATCCGAATACAGTGAGCAGGCGGATGTCCCCAGGTTAGGTGTAGGTGATTTCCTATGACCTAATTTAGATTTAGTATCTTGAACATGGGGTAATAATTGGTGTAATCAAAAGCATAGTCAACTGTCGACGTGGTGGTAAACATAGTGTATGCTATTTCGCTAGACATGTTTGAATCCAAAAGAGCAAGGGGCGAACCTATCGCTGCCTCTAGAATTAACTTTGATTTGTTTTTGGTATATCCATCACAGAGAGTACTCATAAATGAAAATTGACAGAAAGTTTTTGGTGTTAGCAGATTTCAATTCTCAACAGAATTTTACTTATTTTATACTTTCTAACTGCCATGTACCTATAGCTTACTATTTATTGAATATGTACAATTTTGACATATTATAATTGCCACAATAATTTTTCTATGTATTAATAAAATAAAATAAAAAAAAAAATAATTTAAAAATTACCTTTAAAAATAGTATGTACAGAACGAGAGACTCTTTCAGATAGTGCAGGTGTAGAACCTACAGCCACGTTGTTGGATGAAAGTGTTACTTGTTTTAATATCGCCATGCTCGCATATCGGACTTCCATATTGGAAACAGCCAGTTGTACTGAATCATTTTCGGAAATCATAGTTGCTTTAGTTTCTTTTGTGAATAATACTAGTGTATTTTTATTATCTATTTTAGTCTTTAAACTATTGGTAGTTCTCATAGTTTCTACAGTCATGTTTCTTCCTTTATCTGTAGTCTTTTCCCTGGTTCTTAAACTTTCAACTCTACTCCTATTACTTTTTTTTGATGAATCAGTTTTAGTAGATATTTTATTAGCTATTTCTTCCGTTTGTATATTTTTGTCATAAAGCCGTTCATTTTCATGTTTGTATTTCTTCCTTATATCCCCGACCGATACAAAGCTGAATTTGCAAATACATTGCTTACGGTGAGTTATCTTTTTCGATATTGTACGCTCTATTGTTCTTTTTACTTTGTTGTATTGTTTCCGTGAAAGTATAATTGGCTTCTGTTTTGTAAACTGTTCTACTTGTAGAAAGACTTGAATATTACGATTTAATATCATTTGCTGATAAACAGAATTCTGTTCTGTGGTAGAAAATTTGGCTCGAATGGGTTTTTTTTCTACCTTTTGCTCGTCGTCTGCATCTGGTTCGACTGGCTTATTAGTTGTTTCATTACTCTCATTTGTCGGATTAGTTTCGTCACTTACGTTGGATTCGATGTGATTATTCTGTATCTCTTGCTTCGTTTTCTTTAATTTCTTACTTTCTATATGATCTAAGAAATTCTGATCACAGCATGCACATGGAGACATCCCGACTAAACTAAGTCCGGTCAGTAAATTTTTTTCGCTGAAATATTTTTTATTATTTCATTACACATTATAAGGAATAGGGAATATAACTGCGTATTATAAAACTTTTATTATTGTCTGCTATCCCGCAAATGCTACTGAAAGACGTAGATAACCTGAGGTCTGCAGGCTTGCGAGTTGAGATTTAAGAATGGAATCGTATCGTAATCGCCCTAATGAATATAAGTAACTAAACGTTTGGACCGCGTGTTTTTCGACCTGTCAAGATACTCGATAGTTGTAGTATACATTAGCAATGTACGAGTATCTTGGATCCATAGTCGCCATCTTAAATAATTGTCTATGTTCGTAATATACGAATCTACACATATGTAAAAAAATAAAATAAAGAAAACAGAAACTGTAAACCATTGTCTTCGGTAGAAACAGTGCATTGGAACTTCTATGCCACTCTTCGGTGCCTAAAAATATGAGTAAAGATAAGTTGTAAATGAAAGATAAGCAGGTACCTACCTAATAAAAAAATGGTGTAAAGGAATGATGATATGACTATAAATATTGCTTATTTCACACGCAGACTGTTTACCATAAGTTGACTTGTTTATCATGTTTAAATAATGGTATAAATTAGTAACCTCATTCAATAAATATGAAATAACACCAACCTGTGGTTTCACAGAGGTCGACGTAGACTGTGTGTATTTATCTATACCAAGGAGTTTCCTGATCTCTTTATCTCGTGTTACAGGGTCGGGGATACAACAATCGTCTCCTCTGTAATGCTTATTAGCTGTTGAAGCAAAATATTATAAACCATTCAATCTGTAATATATACTAAATGTAACAGTACCTATGCATCAAAATTTTAAATAATAAAAAGTCTGTAATATATTTACAAGGGAACCCAAAACCACTTTCAATGTTAGTCTCCTTGTGACGTGATCATGTGAAAATTACTGAACCGAATCAAACGAATTTTAACAATTGCGTAGGTAAACTTAATAACTGGTTTTGTTGGTAGGTGTAAATCAAAGTTGGTCGAGCATGTCATGAGGAGTTTGACCCCTTTATTGCATGAAGTCTAATTGAACAAGTAATTAGCAAACGAATAATATTAAATACTTGAATATAAAATATACATAATTCATTGTTAGGTAGGTAACAACGGGTAATTATTCCATTAGGTGTCTACACACAAATTAACTATTTATCAATATTTCTGGAGTTAAAAACATACATCTAATATTCATTTTGACGGCCTCCGTGGTCTAGAAGTGGAGCATACTAACTTACTTCTGATGGTCGCGGGTTGAGTATGATTGTTTGCATTGGTCTGAATGTTTTCTATGTATAGATATTATGTAAGTATTTACAAAAAGTCTCAGTCGTTTAGTACACATAACACAAGCTTTGCTTAGTTTGAGGCTAGATTGCACTGTGTAAATTGTTCGTAGTTATTGTTATCTGCATGGTTACATCAGTCTTACCTTTTTATTCAGCATTCATATCATTTCAGCCGCCTAGCAGCTTACTTTGTACTTTAGTTGAATGGTTATAAAAAGCAGTGAAATTACAGGATAAGATATATAGAAAACAAAAAGACCAATACAAACAATCATACACATGAATACAAATGTTGGCATCGTGAGAGAAATGGAATCCACGACATCAGGCGGTGTGCAAAACCACTAGACCACTGAGGTGGTCAAGATATTAAAAATATATATTCACCCAACCGATCCTTATTATTATTTTGTGATCCATTATTTTTCATGGTAGAAAATATAGGGCATTTGGTACTTCGATTGTCACGTCTGTAAATTTATTTAATGATTTACTACTTAATATAAGGAGCTTATAAAATGACATACATTAATATCATGTGTATATAATGTGCGTTAATTTCTAATTAGCTTCTTAATTATAATATAATTCAAAATATATTTTATAAGCCGTCCATTGTAACTCTACATTACAATAAACCGCGTCTACTCTACTTGACCAAAATATAGCCTTGAAAAAAATATTGTACAGTTTATACAGGAATTTTTAAGTTATTAAGTAATATTTACAGTACAGTAGCAGACGTAAAATATTGTAGGAGGAGGAATTGTTTGTAAAAGGGACTGGACCCATAGGAGAAATTTCCGTACTGTCACATAGTCTACCCTGTTAAACCGCGTGGAAATCAAGTCGCTTTCTACTAGAAACTACCGTGGTTAATTCTAGATTAATTCACCATGATAGGCCTCCTATTATCTTTCAGTGATGTCCTGCTATCATATATAATAAGTAGGTACAGGAAGGTGCTCATACCATACTATCCGCAAAAAACATGTTATGTAGTAATGTAACTAATTGCTATGATACTAATGTATCTATGGTAAAAACTTATTAACACAGTTTTCGCAAAGTTGTTAATTTAGATCATATCAACGTTGAACAATTATTACTTATTTATATTACTACTTTGCGTACTTTGCGTTATGTATTAGAAGTAACTGGATGTACAAGGTTAAATGACAGTAACACAAAAACTCGTTATTCATACGAATACTTTTTAATATAATACGTAAATTACGGGAAAAATAATCTCTAGGTATGTTATGTACTAGCCTGAAAATACAGGTTGGTAGGATTTCGAGAGTAACCGCTCTCAATCAAATCAACCGGGCAATCTCTAAGCAGAATAGATTTCCAATAAGAATTTTCCCTACGTTATAAATGGATATTCTATATGCTACAATTCTGTACGGGAAACAGCTGATATTTTAGCACATTTTACAATAATATAACTATAATTAATTAAATTTTGCCATTCCTAGTTAATCTAATAATTATAATTGTCAAGTACCGTATTCATTTCAGTATTTCATTTAGCCGTTATAAAAATCGTAATAAACCTATAGTTTCTGCTAATGGTGTACACTAGCAAGACACCAGTAGAGGATGATACCATGATCTGTTTGACCATGTCTTGTTGCCCTCCATGCAGTACCCTTCCGAAACAATAGTAACTAATTGATTTAACTTTACGCTCGTCCAATGCAAAAAGACATGGTACGGTGCTGACAATGGGGCCATAATCCCTATTCCTATTAATCGACTCTCACCCCCTATGGTACTCTATATTGTATGCCTGTCGCCAACTCACGTTGCATGCATTCTGTAAGCAGCAGTAGGTTAAAAAACTGCTTACAAGAGGGTATACTGTATGTCTCATTTCCATCGTCATTGTATAAAACACAGTAGCTATGAACTAACTACGATAAGGGAATGCATGAGAATATACCTGTGACAAATTTCCAAACTATCTCTCACATTCAAACCTGACGTAATTTTATCTAACGTTGGAATGTCATCATTCTGCTGAAATTAAAAAGAATCCTTATCAACGCGCAGACAAAAAGAAGGATCCATTTATCTCAATTACCATTCTTTGTATTACGTGATATCGCTTCTAAAAATCGAATGGAATTCTAAGGTTGTTTTTGTCATCGACATATTTAATTGAAATTGAAAAAAAATAACTATAAATATACAACTATATGCGTCAATTTGAAAACGTTTTTAGTTTTAAGCAGACAAGTAACCGATTTCTGATTCTGTAGTGAACTAATATGCCAATATAAAATAAAACTAGAATAATTTACAAATTACTATTATAATCATTCGTACTAACATCATTTCCATACAAAGTTCGAGAAAGTGATCTTTTCCTTGGTTCTTTTTCGTTTACTACTAACAGTAAATTCTCCATTGAATCCAAATGACTATCATTGGCATAGTCTTGTATGCCCACTGCTTTTAATATCTTCCGTACTCTCAAGTCTGTAGTCAAATTACCTTGTTGAAATAACACATCGTAGTATTCTTTGTCTCCATCTATATTGACAGCCACTCTTGACTCATTATTTTTTAAATTGTCGTGTCCTGTTGCTACCTTCCTTTCCTTGTCTTTCAACAATTGCCTCGTATAAGATTCTATTATTGCCTTTTTCGTTAATATATTGTGATCAGTGTTTGTGCCTTTTGTTTCTGCAAAGTTTGATCGTAATGAATTGTTTTCATTCTCTAACTTATTTCTAGATTTGTTTAATGTGTCAAATTTTGTAACTATTGAATTTGTCGCCGTCTTCTTGAATCTTTCCTGGCGTTGAACAATATTCATATTTTGACCAACTTCCGGGGAAAGTTTTTGTCTCATAAAACCTAGTTTAGATCCAAATTCTTTATTTGCTTTAAGTGGGCTTCTGGACCGTGGAGAAGGTGATCTACTACGACCAATATTACTATTTATTTTTTTATCTTCTGTTTTTTTGTTTCGAACATACCAACTAGTTCCTTTAGTGATTGGATTATTTTTAATTGTTGCAGACTTAGTATTGTTCTTATTTAAAGTATTTGTCATAACTTTAACGTCCGGTAATTCTTGATTTGTATAAACTGATATAACAACAAGAGGACTATGACATTTCTTAACATTACTATTAAATTGTTCCTTAGTTTCAACCACATCAGTATTACTGCTGTTACATTGAGTTATTTTGTCTAAATTCATGCTCTTTTTCAATTTAGTTCTATCGATATTCAACAGATCTGTATTAAAATTGACTTGGGTACCATGCGAAGATTTACTGAAATTAATGTTATAATGCTAAATTATGACATAATGTATATGCTCGTCATTATAGTAATTACTAGATTATGTAAGGACCAAAACATTACTTAGTTTTATAATGTAGCCGTTACCGGTATCTTCAAAATATAATAGAGTCACGTGGGGCAAGTGTGCGCAGCGGGTAAGTGTACGCACTCGAAGTATTTCAAAAACGGTTTATAGGTACGAACTGATAACACCCCTCCTCATTAGCGCACAAAAGGCTATATTTAGTGCAACTTTTTCACTGTCCGCCGGTGAACCATTTTGTTTCCGTAAGTGAGTATTGTTTTTTGCTTGAAATATTGCGATTTTTGTCTTAAATGAGACTCATTCCTTTGTAATATATTTATATTTTGAAATCATGCTTTATACCATCGAACAGTACATTTTATGTAATATAAGCCGTGTTTAATCTTTTGGTGATGACGATTACGTAATATTGCTCAGTTCTGGTTAAATTTTATTTTGATGGTTTGGGGTAAGTGTGCGCATACGAATGTCGGGTAAGTGTGCGCATGCGAATACTTACCCCGCTCCGCTTTGGCGTTGTATTTATGATGCAATTTGTTATTTCAGAGTTTAATTATACATAAAAAATGCCTCGATTATAAAAGAAATGCCGGATAGAAGTGTTGGCACAGAGGAACAGCTAGAAGCTGTTAAAAGATTAATTTCGGAGGTTGGTAGCAAACGACAGTGTGGCACCCGCAATAATGAGTGTACCTTCGTCTAGGAATGAATATGTACGACTGTCATCCATCCAAGAAATATCGAAGTTGGCCTTAGGCATTTCTTGGATGAATGACTGTGATTCAAAATCGGCGAAAGAAAGGCAAAAAGTCAATCATTGATACTGTAAGTCCTTATAAAGTAGAATTGGAAAAACAAAAAACAAGAGGAAGAATAAATTGCCAAAAAAGAAGATACGACTTGATCTGAAAATAAATAAAATGATGAGCAGGAATTATTTTGCCCACTGTGTGGAGAAAAATACATATTTCCACCGAATGAAGACTGGATCCAATACAGCATCTGTAAGAGCTGGTGGCATGAACAATGCAATAACTTTGAAAAGGAATTATTTGAACTGATGTATTATTAGGTTGAGGATATCTATTTTCTGGTTTATCATATGAGTCTTACTCTATTTACTGTATGTTACATGTTGCGTACACTTACCCGCACTACTGCGCACACTTACCCCTATACTTGGGTAAGTGTGCGCATTTAAACAGTTTTGATTTTGTTGATTTCCAAAGAATTTGTGTAAATGATAATTATTTATTTTGCGTTTAAGTTGTTGATTATTAAATATTTTATATAATAAACCTTGTTTTGTTCCAGTTAACTTCAAATATTTTATTATATGATACTTCAAACCTTAAGTGCGCACACTTGCCCCACGTGACTCTATAATAGGTATAAAACAAGACTAATAATTATTGATAAATCCGGTAACATTTTGATATCTAATTACTGAAATTTTTGGATTTCATCAAAATTTTATGCAATAAAATTAAACTATACCTGAGTAAAACATTTCTTTCAATATTTACACCATTGTATTCTTCACTTTTCCACATTTCAGTCTGAATAATAAAATCTCGTTGATTTCTAAAATGAATGAAAATGTCTAAATTTTATTTTATAGTAGGTACCTATAAAATAATAATACTAACTATAAAGAAAAGGTAAATTTTACCCCTTTACTATTTTTAAATTACACATTGCCTAAAATGGTTGTTAGACATAATATGCCCTAAAAATATTATCATTCTCTGCTTAGTTAAAAGATAAATATTCTTATTGTTTTCTAATCAACAAAATACAGTAGATATAAATATACAACTACTTACTTAATTTTATTTTGATGGAAATTTGCATTATATATAGGCGAAGCAACACATTCTGCTGTACAATATTTTGTCGTAACTGGAAAATAATTGAAGTATTTGAACTCACTAATAATATACAGTTAATAAAAATTTGTTTATTAGGTTTTTTTTCTAAAAGTATAAAAAAATTCTTTCATAAAATGATCTTGCATTATATTTGTCGATATTACCCACTCATTGTTACTTGTAATATTATGTTATCTGTGTTGTTACTGACCTGGACTATCGTTGACAGTGGCTGCACATCTAAGAACACATCTCTCATCATCCACCAATCCTAGTTGACCTGTAATTCTGACATGACTTCTCTGAGATCCAATATCAACGACATCGCTTTTACCAAAATCCGGACAATAACAACATCGAAATAGTTTATCATTTTTATAAGTATTACCAATCTTCTGAGACATTTCTAACTTGTTACTGCCAGTTTCATTATTTTTATTATTATCTTTTTTCTTTTTCTTATCCATATTCAAAGAACTTATTACTTGTTTTAAACAATTTATCTGTTCTAAAGATATATTATTGTTTGTATTATCTATCAAATTATTCCTAGAGAATTTCGCGCTTCCTACATTTTTAATGTCATATGTTTTATCTCTGTTTCTTCCAGCAACGTCCAGATAAACGTTCCTTGTTCGTATAGAACTCTCTTGATTGGATAATGTCGCGTGAATATTTTTTCTATAGTTACTACGTCTTTTAAAAACATTTGAAGTCTGAGTTTGAACTGATTTCGGTATCACAGTCACTTTAATAAGAGGTCTTTCTTTAGCGACATTCGATTGCGGAAAGGTTGTAGGACTGATAGAATTATATGGATATAATTGGCTAGTGCGATTCAAGACTGAGTAATGATTGAAAATCTGTAAAAATAAAGGAGCAACATAAAGGAATAAAATTATATCTTATTAATAGTATTATTAGTATTATTTCATGCAAAAACTACTGAACGGATTTTGATGACACTTTACAATAATATAATATAGCTTATACATCAAAATAACATATAGGCTATAAATTTCATGCGGGTGAAGCCGCGGGAACAGCTAGTCTATAATATGGAATGGCTAAAGATATCACATTTGATACTCACCTCTCTTTCAGCAGCTTTCTTTGAAAATGGAGAGGTCTCTCTTCGGAGATGAGAAAATTCGGTCTTCTTAATTATCTTCGTGTCATTAAATGTATATCTAGTATTTTGTTGTCGTGTGAGAGTTCGGTTTGGCACTAAATTATTCCTACATAGTCTTTTAGCTGGATGTCTTAAAATATCCAGCGATTCTAAGAAAACAATAAAAATAAAACATTTTGTGAATACAAAAAAACAAGAAAGATAAAAAAATATAAATAATTTATTACTGACCTATTATTTCAGAATCGATACTGCTGTAATCCATTTTAAGAATTTTGAGAATATAACATTCAGTTAAAATATGTACCGTGATTGTAAGAATATATATAAAATATTATACATACATACCTACTTATTAAGACATTATATTGACATTTGACATTATATTGTGATATGTACAATAAATAGATCAGGTTTTATCATAACATTATCTTTTTCGTATCTAGGTATAATCTGTAGATATTATCCTGTGGTAATAATTTATCTACCGTTAGCAATGCGTTGATATATTTTAGAAATTACAATTAAATTCAAGACTCGAATAATTTTTCAAAATAATTAAATAAAAAAGTAAACATATTGGAAGAATACAAAAATATATAACACAATAATAACTATGTTTAACTAATAAATAAATATAAGTAATTTTCAAAATAAATTCACACACTCGCTTTATGTATACATCATATTGGCAATGACATTAGTTTTGGACGATCGTCTGAGAACTCAAATGGTGATCCCGGTTTCTAAAGAAACATTCTTTAACACCAAGTGGAAGCCTTCTAAGGCGCCATTATGCGCGTACGACATGCTTTACCATCCTCCTGACTACAACCCCAAGTCCGCTAGATCAGACCGTCAAGAACCGAAAATCATCAGGAAAAACATTTGGAACCAAGTAACTGCGTTACATTATATCTAATATATATTATTTTATATTGCCTATTGTTCTCTTAAGTGCCAAGAATTGGACAGAAAAAGATGGTAATTAGTCGTGTGGGCGATAAAGGAAACCAAGGAATTGTCGTAAGATGTACATTATTAAAGAAAAAATACAAATTAGGGACATAAAGGGAAACCGAAATGAACAATATAATGAAGTGTCAATTTAAAATTTTGTATTCGAAATATAAGCTTTATAAATATAACATAGACTAAGTAAGTGGTTTGGACGGCACATGTAGATTATATAATTCTAACTAATGATGGTCAGATACTTTAGTAGATATTTAATTCAGATCGTTTCTAATTTTCTTTATTCAGAACTATTATTAGATACTTACTTCGTAAGTACTTTACCACCCAATTTGTCGCCTGGATTATGAACTTCGAGTAGATATCTATATGTAGATTTAATTGCAATATACTCTTTGTTTTGATAAGAATTTAAACTGAAATATCATAAAAGACATTATACAAATCCTGTCATACTTAACTCATCTATTTTTTATATTAATTTACGCTAATAATCTAAGCTTGTAAAGTTATCGTTAAAAGTGAAAGTACTTAAATTTCCTTATCAAATGGGTATAGCTAGATACATACATTACATACATTTGCATTTAGTTAACCTATGGTGACTGATTACTCTCGGCCATTTTAGTAATTAAGATACCTACTAGTTAATTATTATATACCCAAGTAAAATTCTAGGTATAATTGTTTCTACAATGATAACATATCACCTATATTGTTACGCAAGAAAAATAAAAGGTAACAAATGAAATCTTTTATATTGAAATTTAGGCTGTATTTAAATTAAAAAGTAAAATAAATGAATAGGTTTCTAAGAGATAGGCATTATACAAAGTCAGGAAAATAATATATTATAATTTTGCAATAGAAGTAATAGCTTTAGGAATTGCATACGGATGACTACAAAGACTACAAACCTATACACAAAGGTAAATCTAATAATGAATTAATCAGGTCAAAAAAGATATACCAAAAGTTTAAATAACTATTAGGTATTAGTAATATTTAATATTATGTTATCTGTGGTCGTAATAAGTAAATCGGTAAATGCAAACGGAAAACATATTGATGGCGATCCTAAACGTAACGAAAAAAAACTTTAGTGCCTTACAGATAAAAATATTGCACTATATTGATTACTACTATGAAATAACTACAAATCACAGTAAGCAGCGATAGGCATCATTTATAGGCACACGGTACTTATTTCCAATTTTAATTTGGATTTTATTTTCAATTTTACTTTTTAGTTAATTTTAGTTTTATTATTCCGTCTAGATTATTTTTTATTTTACAAGCTGTTTATATTCAATTTGTTCTCAGGTTAAAATTAATATACATATTTTAATTTTTAGGAATTATATAAAGGAATATCCTCAACAACTCATTTTCGCCTCAGTAGACCTAAATGGAAGCCTTTTGATTTACCAACAAAGGAATTTGTACGGATACAAGGTAATTTGTTTATACTGAAATGAAGACATTTTTTGCTCGATAATTACACCCTGCAAGCAGTCTGTAAAATTCTATATTTTAAATTAAATCACATTGTGTTGTATAGTTAGGTATTTAATCATATACATATAGGTATAATATTTATAGATATATCTACTGCTTGTAGCAAAATCAAATGGGTTTTGGTAAGATGCCAATATTATATCTATAGATAACCTATAAATAACCTATAGCAAATTACGCTAGTCATTCTGAAACTACAAAAAACGTATTGATTTTAACTCAAATTTAATTTTATAATAATATATATCACATTCTAAGTAACTAAAACTATAACACCTTTTTTAGGTGTGACACCGTTCAATTTTTGAACGAATGTATATCAGAATTCATAATGTAAATCACAGTTATCAAAAGAACATAGTTAGAATAGTCCAATTAATACTATCAACCTGCTATTTTGAAATTAGGACACTGCAGCCGTGTTCACTTTTCGGCACGTGCAGATTCTGCTCTTCAGCACTTTTCGTTAGGGCTGTACTGCGTATATACCTAACAACAATATAAATAGACATGGCCAATTTCTAAATTGTTATGACAATAGTGCACATAATTTAAATATTTCTAAAATTTCATTAAATATTTTTTTAATATTTAACTAATAATAATACGTTAGTTAAATTAAATTAAGTTAAATACGTTAGTACCCCATACTTCTCTAGCAATTGATTTATACTTGCCCAATAATTATATAAATCCACAGTCCTATTTTTCTATCAAATTAAAATCTTAAATTTATGTTTTTGATTCCAGTCAAAACCGAGAACCGAATGCGAATTTACAACATTCTGGAATGGGCTGTACTTCTCAGCGATGGAAAACCAAGTTTGTGCGACTAAAACATGAGTAATGGTATTACCTATTGTTAAAAGTTTCCACTAAAACTGAGGAAAATATAATTATTCACCTGATATTAATATACATTCTTTTTAATTTTCAAATGACCCGAATGTGCACTACAAAGGCTATCTGTCTATTTAATACGTATGTTTCAGAAACTTTTAGTTACAGTGTGGGATATGGTATATATATGATATATCTATAATAAATGAGAGAGAATGAGTTATATAATAAATTTAGATATTTTCGTTCCACTCATAATATCTTTACTTCTTTTGTAATATATTCGTACTTATGTCAATTTATATTACTGTTAGAAAATATTTTGTTGTCCGTTAAATTCGAACTCGAGACCGGCGTAGTAAACTACGAGACCACGACGTTCCAACATTTGTTGCTATGTAAAGAATAATAGAGTAAAAAACGTGTAAACGTCATAACGTAATATAATGTATGATTTGAACTTGACTGATTTTTTATTTTACTAATTATTAATATGTAATTGATGCTTATCAGAATCAGTTAACGTAACTAGTGCCTGCAGACCAGAAAGAATACCAGTATAACAAATGCGCGTATTGCAAACAGTTACATATCTTGGCTATTATTTTCATTAACTTCTAAAATACAATTCGTAACATTAAAAAGTGTGGAAATAATTTACAGTGTACTCTGCAAATTAAATTATTATTTTTTTTTTAATTTTATTATATGGATTTAAGATGTCTACTCTACGCTTTTTTCTTCAATATAAACATTTGCGTAAAAAATAAATCAAAGGTAGGAATTATATTGTTTTTTATAATATTTGTATATTATTTGTGAAAGAGTAACACATTCTATTATCTAGATAAATGTTTATGAAAATGTATAACTCTATTGAAAGATAATAGCAATATAACACAATATATTAGTGCTCGAAAGAAAATAAGTAATTTCATTGAAAATATATATGTTTACATATAATACAATTATGATGAATGCATTTGAGATTCATTTGAATTGAATGCTTATCTATATCTTAAAAAGTCTGTGGTGATTGTGTGCAACGGTAAAGTATGATAAATTCACTGCATAATTTATTTTATTATTATTGAGTTAATTTTAACCTTCAAAATTTATTCCACTTAGTGTTCCACCCCTGCTGCTCTAATATTATATTCAATACAACAGATATCACAGAATAAAGAAGAATCTACCTTTTTTTTCTGTAATAGATATCATTTATCAATGGTGAAATCTTTAGCCCTCTAACCATTACTAGTCTGGTGAATTGACCTCAGTCTACCCAGAACAAAAAGGTAGATACTTCTTTGTTCTGTAATTGCATAACTAACCTGACGGCATGCTCATTCCATCATCTTTCACTGTTACTCCGCCATATACTCTTCGTATAAGCGGGTGAACCATTTTATTATCATCTATTTATAAAACCTATTACTTACTATACTTACCTAATACCTAGTACTTACTTGCCTTTATAATATAAAAGTACCAAACTCCTTGCGACAAAGATATCACATTTGATAGTTTTTTTTATGTAGCTATTATAAATAGTATGGCAAGCTGACGGTATATAGTAGCCCTCACCGATATAGGTACATAAACAGCACTACGGATATCAATTTGTCATTCCGGCAGAAAATTAAGATAAGAAAATTAAGAAGATAATAAGAAGAAGATCATACCTCTTATCCTGTAATTTCACTGCTTCACTTAGGTATCCCTTGAACCAAAAGACATGCTTCCTGGCTGAAATAGGTGAGACTAAACTACCCACGCACGCAATATGTTTTTACTAAGTCTACTTCGGTAAATATTATGAAATACCCATCTATTTCATGAATTATCGGAGCAATAAGTATTAGGTATACCTATATCTGTAGCTCTGGATTATATTTAACATTAAGTAGAATTGAACCAAACTTATACAGATTGATTTGTTGTAATATGCGAAATAATGACGATTTGGCAATAAAATTTGTCTGAACACTTCTATGACTGAAACAAACAATTTCGTCCTTCTCTTGACCTCAAAATGTTACACGCAATATGAAGTATTACTATACACCTAAAATTGTAATTCTTTGATTTATGTGTATAATGATTCAATTAGAATTTAATCACTAGGTAGGTATAGTATTTTACTGTTTATATTAGTAGTTAAATATATGTACCTCGACACAATTTATCCTGAAACAATAAACAAAGACACCGGAATGGGTCACTAGTTTACCTTTACATAATAAGACTGTTGTTTATCGATTATTAATTGTTCGAATATCATTACTATAAAACGCAAAAAGGTTCAACAACTGCATTGAAATATATTCCATTAAAGTTGCTTTCAACAGTATGGCCGCTTTATTGTAATTATACATGTGTACTTTAATATATTGTTTATGTCTATACTGTCTGTTACAAATAAAGTATATTTTATCTAACTATCCCTAACTATTGATTACAAATTAATAAGTAATGTTGCTAATAGCACGTAGAGTAGTATGAGTATGAGCAGAGTTAAACTCTGATAATTTACTAATTTATGTTCATTCAGGTATCCACACAGATTAATAACATCTAACTACCCACGGTAGGTAACATTTCGCGTTTAATGTAATTTACCTAATTCTAGTTGACATACATGAAATGCAGGTAACCTCAAATAATGTGTATGGATATTTGATTGTAATCTGATTTCATTTGATAAAAATTTAGGCGGCTAACCATTAGGGAAAACTCTGTTTTTCCTGCAACTATTATCGCTTAACTCAAATATATTGATTGAGAATTATGAAAGTAGTGTGTCCTTCTCCATTCCAATTCTACAATATAAAAACAAATAAAAACCCTTCCTATGAGAAGCAGAACTTGTGTTATGGGTACCAGACAATATAAATACTTAGATCTTTTTGTAAATACTTATACATAATATACATAGAAAACGCCCAGACAGATATAATCATACTCATAAATACAAATGTTTGCACCGTGCGAGGAATCGAACCCGCGACCATCGGAAGTAAAGCGGTGTGCAAAATCGCTTGACCACCGAGGCCGTTAGAGTGATTTCATGAGAAGGACGGAAGTTTATAATAGGAAGTCATGGAAGCGCGCGCTATTTGGTTTTACACGATATAATAATAATGAGTATGTAAATCTACTGATAAGTAAAAAATAGCAAGTAAATATGCTCACGATTGTAATTTTATGCGACCTTTTCTAGACTTTTGTTGTTTTGGTAAATGTAACTCCGAATTATTTTTATTGTTATTTGGCTATATTTCACCAACCAACATTAATTTTATTAGGGGATAAATCTACGTAATAAATCTTGAATTCATTATTACTAATTAATTTAATCAGTTTCTAGCTTTTTTATTTTATTGTTATGCGTATGCTGAATATGCAATGGGATGTCTATCTATTTTTTCAATAATTTGTTAACTATAAACTACGTTCTGTTTAGTTTTCCTTTTGAAAAGAATTGGTAACCAGTGGCCATTAAAAATATATTTATATATATTGACTGAACTTAAATCTTCAAGGTGCACTTACACATACGAAGCATAAGAAAATTACTCACTAAACAGCAAACAACTTCAATATATATTTCAATAATTTCATGCATGTGATTACTTTAATGTTACCTACGGGTACAATAAAACATTGAATAATAATATGATTTCGCCTTTTGATAAAGAAGTTAGTAAGTAATAATATAATAAGAATAAAACCAACATCAAAATTGACAACATCATAACGTGTTGTTTAATATGTCATAGACGGTATTGATATCACAATTATGTATATTGTATAATACAATATTTATAATTGTATTGTAATTGTATGTAATTGTAATTGTATTTATAATACAATATTATTATATAATAACAATACGTTGAAACAAAAATGTATTGTGCCATTGTTTGCTTATCCGAATAAAAAGAAAAAAATATGTACTATAGAGGACTTGTTTAAAAAAAGAAAACATGTTTGTATTGAGTCGGGAGCGTACGAACTTACTGAACTTGTTCACAGAAGAGCTATGAACTAAATTAAGCGATCTCAGTTGCGATCTATAATGTGCAAAACTAGAAACGAGGAAACCTTCAACGCTTGTACTTTAATTCCTATTTATTATTAAAATTTAATTGCACCTGTACCTAATTGATGATATTTTGACGATGGCAAATTCTAAGCAACAGACAGACACACTTGGCATTTATAATTTTAGTATGAATAAGTCAGGGCCACCCACAGTAGTTTAATAACTGTGTCAGTATATTATACACTTAAATTTAAATATGTATATAGTTGTTCTGATTCGCTATATTGTAATTGCATATCGATATACTTGTATTTCGATTATTTTTTATGCCATTATAATTGATTGATACAATAACCCAATTATGTACATATATAATAGTCAATTATATACATATATAATATTTTTTATATTCCTAACCGAAAGTACGTACATAATTTATTTACCATTACCTATATGTATAGTGTTGATTTATTATAAAATGTTTGTTAAGTGCCTACTTTGTAAAGAGCAGTGTCATATGAAGCCATGCATTAATTGTCGATTACGACTATGTGATATTGAAAATAATCAGCGTTTATTTATTTATTTAATGCTTATTGCACCAGATATGTCACAAGAATTATAATAAACAAAGTAAAAGCATACAAAAGAAGATCTTATCCCTTATGCAATCATATGTTTGTAACAGTTATTGACATTTTATTTAAATAAGTTGATATATGTAGATATATAAGATATTATAGTTTAATAAGTGGATTTCCTTAAGGTCTGCATAATTATTTTTTAAAATACGTGGAATAAAAAAATTCTTTTATATTTTTCTTAAAGATCTTATAGAATTATTATGATCTTATAGTTTTATTTTAAAGAAAGTGAAAATGTTTATTCACATATTTGATTTTCATTATCAGTAGGCTAACAGTATCTAAAACTGAAAACTAATTGAAATTTCAATTAATTTCATCAGAAATTACTGAAATGTTGCTTTGTGTTTTATTTTTATTTTTCATATCTAATTTATATTGTTTATGTTTTGATATTTTTTTAATATACTATGTAATTAGTACCTAGGTAATTTATTAATTATAAATTACTAAAGATCTATTTACCTGTAAAGTCATCTGCGTCATCATCAGTCATTGCTGTTTCACCAATAACGGGCGCCAAGGAGCTTGCTTTCTGTGTTTCGGTGGTAGGACATAGGGTAGATAAAGGATAAGAGGCATGACTTTCGTCTCCTAGACACAGCTTTACATAATTAATGTACTTATGTGCGATAGGCGTATAGTCAATAGTATAATTTAAAGAATATATTGCATTTTTTTATTTTTCTGTCTTCATTTTTGGAAAGCAATTAGGTACTTAGGTAGTTTTTTTTGTTAACGGACTTACAAAACTTGAAGTTCTGGATTCAAGTTGTGTTGTTATACAATTAGTCAGGTGGAGGATTAATGAACACAAGGAAAATACCAATAAAATAATTTATCTAAGACATTAATATTACAGTCCCACTCATAACAATAATTCACCATGTTGGAATTATCATCATGGGGAAGACACAGCACATATATATAACGTGTCTATGGCATGTAATTAGTTGTTGTTAAGAATCCGCATTGTAATAGTACTGTTGAGATAAGGCTGCCGAGCTGTTACATATATATAATCTAAAATTAGTGAATTACATTGAAAGTGAAGGACTTTTTAGAGTCTGCACAGGTAAAACTCAATTTTATATACTTACTGAGAACTATCACATATAAAAACATAGAACGCTGTAAAATAATTTGAGTAATCCTAATTACATTGTTATTATAGAGAAGTGAGCGTACATTGTTAATTTTACGATAATATTACAGTTTTCGCTCTCACTGACAAAACACCCCCAAAATCAGCGGTCGTCAACGTAAGAAAACAGTCAATATTCGAAACACTAACAGTAACAGTTCAGAAAACTAATATATTTTTATCACCAATATATTAAATATAAAATGTCACGCGATAATTTTTTGGCGTCAATGACCTTAGGCAGCGTATTTCATTCAAGTTGGCTTTTGAAAATCAGCATCATTTAAGCAAGAGGCCTGTGTACTGAATCGATAGTCAAGTCTAGACGCTCCGTAAAAAAAAGCAAAGGCCTCCGTAGACTGTCAAGTAGCATGAAACAAGTTGACATTCTTTGCCACTTGTAAGTTGTAAACAATGAAGATAAACTTCTACTTACATATAAGCAGCAGTATATCTAACTCCTAGAATCAAAACGATCTAAGACGTCTGTTAAATAGTTAACTGTCGAGTATTATATTTTATCCTACACACTTTCATAGTACCTATTTAGCACAAAACATGGCGTCAATTTCCAATTTCCGTAGTCTTTTTAAATTAAAAAAGTAGTTTTTTATTTACTACTAGTTATTGAGTACATTCATCACCAAAACTCAGTTAAACTTTCTTCTATAATAGCTGTATATTACAGAATATGGCCTGTTCAATCCATACATCGAGTTATGTGTTTCGTTATTGTTCCCAACTGCTGCTGTTTGATCGTCTATGGACTTCCTAAAACTTTGTTTAATTTGAACCTCATAATAGTACAACAATATCGGGGTGTCACCCAAATGACGCACAAGATAAGTTGAGTGAATTTATTCAAGTGCGATTTTTAATCAATATTTCCAGTAAACACATTTTCGTGAGAGTCGCCTTTCTACGTTCTCCTGTATAATTTCATGAAAATCGCACTTAGAGCTTTCTAAGCTATAATTTTATATACGAAACTCAAAAGAACTTAATTAATAGTTTCAGTGGTGTTATTCTGTTTTTAGGTAATTCCAGATACAATACGAGTACAACCCTCCAAAATGGTATTATCACCAGAAGTAAGTAAATTTTATTTTTCCAATAGATTTTATTATCGTCAATATTAAATAGCATAATATATGTGTGTGATAAAGTGATGCAAAATTATAAAGCGATAATCTAAATTAGTCCAAATATGTTGTGCAGATGTTGCAAAAATCACAAATCATAAGATAACGCAAATGTCTGAAATGAAAGTACCATTTAAAGATTGAAGTAGCCTTCCTCCTAATTAAGATATAACAATTACAACGGATTCACTGTCATATAACATAAGAGTACGTATATAACATACAGTAAACACTGTCACTGTCATATAACATACAGTAAACAAGCCTTTCAATACATGTAGGTATCTCTGTCTAATAAAGTATCTCTATCCTAAAATAGTAAATGTTTTCATTATTTTCAGACATGCCAGTGTCCATTAGTAAACGAAGGGCCGTCTATAGTAAATTCACCTATATGCAGTGGAATATTAGTTTTCATGATGCTAATAGAATCTTACTTAAAAAGGCAGTGCGATATCGCAACACCGTGCAACAGAATCGTATCTGAAGAAAAACCTGACCCTGAATATGATTTTATTGTAGTTGGGTCTGGAGCAGGAGGTTCAGTTGTAGCTGGCAGGCTTAGCGAAGTAGACAGGTTCAAAGTAAGTTATGGTGATAGATAAAGTCATTCTGCTCTAAGGTTCGCTAATACCGACTTTTTAAATAAACAAAAGTATTGACTATATGACACCAACATTATTACCTACCAACGAATAAATAAAAACGTAATTTACATATAAAAGAACAGCGCATCATTAAAAACCACTCTTTTTACGGTATGTTACAATTATCTATATATTGCGATGAAACATATGTTATATCTGAGTATATAGGTGGTTGTACTCTGATGTTGTAGATTTGAATTCAACGCGTAAAGATATTATATACCTATAATATTTAGGATTTAGTTATAAAAGTTTAGTATGTGCATACACTATGTATACCTAGTGGTAAGCAAATAAACACGGGATTAAAGACTATACATATCGATTGTGATCTACCTAATAAATAATACCATAAGAACAACCACATTTTAAGATATCTATACTACTAGAATAATTAGAATAAAAATTTGCAAACAGCAAACTCTAGAACATGAAGAACGAAAGAGTTTTCTTCGTTTTTCGTTTTCCAGTTAATAATTATTTACAGGTCTTACTTATAGAGGCTGGAGGGCCAGAACCTATTGGTTCACGGGTACCATCTTTTTATAGAACATTCTGGTATAACGAGCTAGTGGACTGGCGATACCGAACGGTACCCTCAAATTATTGCCTCGACCAAAACGGGCAAGGATGCATGTATCCGAGGGGAAAAGTTCTCGGCAAGTATACTTTTGTAATATGTACATTTGGCAGTCAATAAGGGGGAAGATATTTTTAGTAATGGGACTAGGTATTGTCCCTGTAAAATCATCGTGGTAACCTGCTGCTAGCGACAACGCTAGCTGACCTGTGGGCTAATTATGTAACACGATATGAAATTGTTTCTGTTGAAGTTGTGATGCAATATAAAATCATTTCAATTTAAAAAATGCGATCAAGTAAGGTCGAATGACCGCAACATAAATCATTTCTATCGATAAAACACTACTATGAAGTTGCAGCGGAATATTGTTAATCCGAACAATTTAAAAAGTCAGTACATTAGATAGCTTATACCTTTAGAGGGATACATTTTAAATTATTGGGTTAATACACTAGTTGGTTGATTTGAAACAATTTTTATTGCGTTCAAAAATTACAAAATATACTGCAGCGTTCACTTGTTCTTTTATTTTAATTTTATTAATAGACATTTAATAAAATAAAATAAAGAAAGTCTATTCTATTCTAATGAAAAAATAAGGTTAATAATTTTGAATATAAAAGCATATTTTATACAAACTATTTATAATCATTAATAATATTAATCTAACCTACAAATTAAATTTTCTTTTCTGCTATAGATACCTAGGTAAGTACGTAGGTATCCATATAAATTTAGAATGATATGGGCACATCTTTTTAAATTTGTACATAATTGTAAAAACTTTAAACAAATAAATTTATTTACTTTAAACAAATCACAGAGCATCATAAACGTTGTATTCCGTTCACAGAGCACCGTATTCATTGAAATAGTTTTTTAATTATATTAATATCATAATCAACTCTAATTTTATATTAAACATTTACTCTAGTTAAAACAACATTCTATGTGATTTGGGACGAAAATAAAATATCGAATTGGCAACACTGATGTCTTGTTGTGAGTCGTGACAATTTTCCCATTTTAATAAATTTAAAACCTTTTCACGACTTTCTACGTAATATTTAATATAATAAAAATATATGTAACTGAAAATGTAACTGAAAATTACCAAAACAAGATAAATAATGCTGCTAATGCTGATATTTTAAAGATTGTAACCAAAAGAAACACCTTCTAAATTGTTTCTCATAATGTAAAAACCGTTTCAATTCCACGCTGTCATTTCGGCAAAATAGCGATTACGTGACGTTGCAACGAGGTTACTAAATCGACATTCGATAGAAATAATTTTTATCGATATGTAAAGTTGCGTTTACGTTGCAATGCTAGTTGACAGCGTCAAATGGCGTCAATATGATCGCATTATTGACAGATGACGTCATTTTCACTACGTTACATACGAAAATCGTTGCGCTGATTTCATGATCATCTAATCATCCATCACTTGTGCCTAGCGCAGGCCGTCATTCGTCCGCCATTCTATCATCATCCACAACAACCAAAAATGTATTTTAAAAACACAGAATGTACTTGCATATATCTACGAATATAATACATATAACGTAATATGTATAGAGCGCCATAAACAGTATCTATGACGCCTTCATACATAGTGTAACGCGTTCATATTAATATTGACCCAATATTTTTTACATAAATATAAACGGACTACCATTTCTGACAAAATTAAAATTAAATCAAAACGGAAGAAAATGCTAAAGACGCAACTGAAATAATATCGTTGAATTTATAACCTCGTCATTTCAGAAGTCGGCTAAATATTGTCAAAATAAAGAGACTGATAAATACGCCTATTATTACCGGTACATTACTGAACCATGAATATATTAAACTATTTTTTGCCAGCCGTGTAAACACATTTTATTTGCAATTAAATTCCAAAACTGTATAATAATTAAAAGTAATATGAATGTGTAAATGTAGGTATAAAAGAGAATATATTATACACTACGATTGTGTTATTATTTGATAACAATGATGGCGCCATATTTTTTGGTTATACCTGATCGAGTTTACTTTATTACAAGGTCCGACGTCTGTTCCATCTTTGTAAAGAAAATTATATAAAGCTATCATAATATCAATATACATATTCTAATACACACAAGTATAATAGGTACTCACAGATTTTGCAGTGGTACCTTTTCATGTTTCAGCCGGATTTAAAGTAATTGTCATTTATCTGCGGCTAACATTGAACTCATGAAATCTCATTTACTAGATTCTAAGTCTTAATGAAACTTGGTTAGTTGTTCAGTGTCACCAAGTCAAAAAATAATTAATACCATGGGAACGTTACATTATGATTTTTGTTTCATATTTGTATATGTCCTATCTACAACATTAGGTATATTCGGTGGTTACCACTGTAAAGTGGTCTGTATGCTTGCTGACCTGTACCATAAAAGACATTTCAATATAAAACGTAATAAAAGTAATAAAACTTGTTTATCAGGTGGCTCCACTGTACTAAATGGTATGATGTACCATCGCGGCCATATCGCCGACTACGACGATTGGGTTAAAGCAGGCGCACAGGGCTGGTCGTGGAAAGAGAACTTACCTTATTTCGATATGACTGAAGGAAACAAACAGATCGGATCACTTGTCAGCCAAAAATACCATTCAGCCTCTGGACCTATGCCTGTACAAATGGTTAGTGCCACTTTTTCAATATAGATGATACTGAAGTACCTGCGCTGACGAGTTTTTGCAGATTAATTTTGGTAATTTAATAATTATTTCGCAGTTCAACCACCAACCCAAAGCAGTATTTGAACTACTAAATGCAATCAACGAAACTGGCCTGCCTATTGTAACAGATATGAACGATCCAAGGACTCCTGAAGGATTTGCCATTGCACAGGCATTTAATGAGTTAGTATATTAATATTATATATATTTTTTTAGTTCGCAATTGATTTTTACTATTAGAAATTTAAATACTAACGGACTTTTAGCAGTATAATAACTATGAAGGTATATTGTTGCCAACGTTTTTATTTATTCAAAATGGAAATAGTTTCAAACGAAATAGCTGGAGATTAAATACTAATTCAGTGTGTGATTGTGATGAAGACATGTATGCATAAAATACGAAGACACGTCATAGGTGGTACTTAAAAACAAAAGTAAATTATTAATAAAACAATAATATTAATAATTATTAATAAAATAATAAAATGAAGTACCTACCATACCAACCATTTTCATATCAAAGAAAGAAAGAAAGAAAATTGTTTATTTGGTACATAGCAATACTAAAAATAATTTTAAGTTACATTATATAGGTTTATATTAATTTCATAGTACCAAATAGGTCTCCGCTCAACACATATATATTAGAAGTGGTAGAGCAAGCTGTACGACCACACGTGGTTGTTCAGCTCGATTGGGCCGCTCGAACCGGGAAATACCACACCTCGGCAGAAAACCGGCGTTAAGCGATATCGCGTTTCGCATGGTGAGCTGTAGGTTCCGGACGCCTCTCCTCCTCCCCCTATCCCTTTCCTACTTCCTTCCCCTACCCACCCCTTTCTTACATACCATGGCAGCGGATTATAAGAGATTTTTACCCCAGGGTGGTACCAGTAACCATGTTACTGGAGAATCCACCCCTGAGATATCACACTCAGGCTGCCCTGCGTATTCTGGGGTGGGCAATTCTCCGCTCAATTTGGCCAGAAGGAAACCGAGCAAATCTCCATCGGCGTTTCCCTTGCTTTATAGTCAGTTTTTGCAACATCAGGGGAATTCATTCCAATCTCAACGCCGTTCACCACCATCTTGAGACGGCGAGGCCGGCTTTGCTCTTCCCTACGGAGACGCAAATATCCTGTCCCGACGAAATTTCGTACCTGACCTACCCTGGATATAAATTGGAACACCATTTTATTCCACGGGCCGGTGTGTGCGCTTATGTCAGAGAGGATATTTGTTGTCGCCGTCTTGGTACACTTGAAGGTACTGACCTGTCCATTTTATGGTTGCGTGTAGATTGCGATGACCACCCCCGCATCTATGCATGCTTATACAGGTCCCATAGCGGGAACACCGAAACTGACCGACTCATTGAACACGTCCAAATGGCTACAGATTTTTTGCTCCAACAGATTCCCTCCGCTGAGGTCGTGATTCTAGGTGACTTCAACGCCTATCACGCTGAATGGCTCGGTTCACATACCACCGACTATGCGGGGAGATCTGTTCATGGCTTTGCTTTGGCATATGGTTTGACGCAACTGGTATCCTCGCCTACGCGAATTCCTGATGTTGTTGACCATATACCTTCACTGTTGGACCTTCTGCTGACTTCTCATCCGGACGGATATCAGATCTCTGTGGAAGCCCCACTAGGATCGTCTGATCATTGTCTGATACGAAGCGAAGTGCCTCTCACGCGTCCTTCTTTGCCGCGATCTATTGGTCGACGTCGTGTTTGGCATTTTAAGTCGGCAGATTGGGATGAGATGCGAAGTTTTTTTGCATCTTACCCATGGGGGCGAGTTTGCTTCGCACTGGACGATCCCGATGCAATAGCTGAATCTGTCACCGATGTAGTACTTCAGGGAATGGAGATGTTTATTCCAAATTCCCTGGTACCTGTCGGTGGTAGATCTCAGTCCTGGTATGGCGGATCCTGTAGATCGGCGTCTCGCCATTAGCAGGAATGCTTCCGTGCCTGGATTGCAGCTGTGAAGTCGAGTGATCCAGATACCAGTGCCCATAAAAGGAAGTATAACTCCGCTTCAAGGTCCTTCAAAAGAGTTATAGCCACAGCAAAGTCGGAGCACATCAGCAGAATTGGTAGGAGACTGAACAGTCTTCCATCTGGATCCCGTGCTTTTTGGTCTCTTGCCAAGGCTGCTCAGGGAAATTTCTGTCAGCCATCTTTTCCACCACTGCGCAGAGAGGATAACTCGTTGGCCCAACATGCTAAAGAGAAGGCCGATCTCCTTGGGTCTCTTTTTGCGTCCAACTCGACACTGGACGATAGGGAGCAATCACCGCCGGTCATCTCGCGGTGTGAGACTTCTATGCCAGAGGTAAAATTTACCCAAAAGCTGGTACGTAAGTCTCTTTTCTCCCTAGATATCCACAAGTCGAGTGGGCCTGACGGTATTCCTGCTATTGTGCTCAGGACGTGTGCACCTGAGTTGGCTCCGGTACTAACGCGTCTTTTCCGGTACTGCTACTCTACAGGTGTAGTCCCGAAACTTTGGAAGACGGCTTTGGTTCATCCGATCCCTAAGAAGGGAGAACGCTCAGATCCAGCTAACTATAGGCCCATAGCCATCACCTCCTTATTCTCAAAGATCATGGAGTCGATTGTCAACCGTCAACTCTTACGATACCTAGAAGTGAACCAGTTGATTTCTGATCGTCAATATGGCTTTCGCCAGGGTCGGTCGGCTGGTGATCTTCTAGCGTATTTGACACATCGATGGGCAGAGGCTATTGAGAGTAAGGGGGAGGCCCTATCTGTTAGTCTGGATATTGCGAAGGCCTTTGATCGGGTTTGGCACAAGGCTCTTCTTTCAAAGCTACCATCCTTTGGGTTGCCTGCGAAGTTATGCAAATGGGTCGCCAGCTTTCTCGCTGATCGGAGCATCAAGATCGTTGTCGATGGTGCTTGCTCCGACCCACACTCTGTGAATGCAGGTGTTCCACAAGGCTGTGTGCTATCTCCGACTCTGTTCCTTCTGTATATCAATGACATGTTACAAATCAACAACATTCATTGCTATGCGGATGACAGTACCGGAGATGCCTTGTACAGCGGCCATGCTAATATGTCGCAGGCAAAACTTATAGAGTACCGGAAGAAACTTGTGTCCGAAATCGAAACTTCACTCCATCAAGTTTCGGTCTGGGGTCAGGAAAATTGTGTTCAATTCAACCCCAAGAAAACACAAGTTTGCGCGTTTACCGCTAAAAAGAATCCATTTATCGTATCTCCTCAGTTTCAAGACACTCGAGGTCCTTGGCGTTGATATATCCAGTGACGTTCAGTTTTGCGGTCATTTGGAGGACAAGGCTAAAATAGCCTCAAAGATGCTTGGTGTGCTCAGTAGAGTGAGACGGTATTTCACGGCGGCCCATCGCTTGCAATTATACAAGGCGCAGATCCGGCCGCATATGGAATACTGTTCTCATCTCTGGGCCGGAGCACCACAATACCAGCTACTTCCATTTGACCGCATTCAGAAACGAGCAGCCAGAATCATTGGTAATCAACGTCTATGTGACAGACTCGACCCATTGGCTTTGCGGCGAGATATTGCATCTCTGTGCATTTTCTACCGCATATATCACGGGGAGTGTTCTGAGGAATTGTTCGTATTAATACCAGCTGCTGAGTTTCACCACCGCACCACCCGCCAGAAACTGAAATACCATCCTGATCATCTGGATGAATGGCGGTCTTCCACAGTACGGTTTTCTAGAATCTTTTTGCCTCGCACAACCACATTGTGGAATCACCTTCCAGCAATGGTATTTCCGAACCGATACGATATTGAAACCTTCAAGAAAAGAGCTTATTCCTTTTTAAAAGGCCGACAACGTACTTGCAATTCCCATCATGTTGCGGGTGCTCATGGGCGGCGGTAATCACTTACCATCAGGTGAGCCGCATGCTCGTTTGTCCCCTGTGTTATAAAAAAAAAATATATATATCACTATTAATTTCATTTATAACATACATAATGTGTAATATTATCTAGTTCAAACCTTCAAGAAGCTTAGATGAAGCAACAGACTATGTAAGAATGCAACTGTGCATCGAACCTTTGATATTAAGTTTCTTCTAGCTAGATTCTATAGGCTGTTCTATAGGACCGGAATTGATTAATGGAAAGATAGAGTAAACGAGTTATCAAATAACTTTGTACATATATTTTAGCAATGGACAAAGATACACAACTGCCAGAGCATTCCTCCGAGCTAAGTGGGAGAGGCCTAACCTTAGCGTATTATTAGACTCACATGTATCGAGGGTCCTTTTCAATGAAAAACGTGCAATCGGTGTGGAGTACATTGACAAAAAGGGTAATAAAAAAACTATCCGCGCTTCTAAGGAGGTAAGGACTTTACAGTGCAGTTTTTTATTAATGTTTATGGAATGGTATATCCTTCTGCTCTAATGGACTTCGCTGTCTGAGCACCATTAAATAGTGATAGAATTAGCACGATTCATTTGACGCAACGAATTTTGAATTTCCTGACATGGTTTCCAGAAGGTACCGCGTAGACGTCGACCTGACTTTACTAGCAAGGAATCACTAGATATCATTACTAATAATCCAAAATGTAAATTTCAAATATATTTGACACTCTAAAAAAGAGATCCCATTAAAACCATGAAACAAATTACTTTCTTACCTATATCTATATTCAAATTTTTGCAACGCCTATCTAAAATGTAAATTGTTACACAAAGTAGTCATGTATTTGTGTATTGTAGTATGTATGTAGCTTAAATAATTTATTGTTTGAGTTATAATGATAATGACGCTCTTATGCCTAAGTCGATATACGAAAACATCACTGAAGCCCCACTTCATTCAGGAAAAACTTTCTGCACATGCTTAAAAAATAGTCTCATAATATTTTTCAAGCATGACTAGTCTGATCTTACTCTTCTTATTCATACAAACTTATAAAAGCACTGTTTATAATGTTTGTGGCAAGAAGATAATATTAATATAAATATCGACATAAATAAAAAAAAAAATTAATAAAATTAAAATATTTAGATAAGTTTTATAGAAACTGTATCTATTTACATGATATCGGAACAACACGTATGTTTAAGTAGGCCAAATAAGAAATAAAGAATCTACATACTACTACATAACAATATTTGTTCCGTTCGGAGTCAAGACTCTTGTTGGAATCGGAATTTATATAAATTTTAGGTGATAGTATTAGTATATAATATTATGTTGTCTGTGGTATTAGTTTCATTAACCGAGTAGTTATTTAGTTGCTTGGTTTATTACACTAGGGACCAAAGACCTACCATTTTTCTCGCGCAAAGGTGTCAAACAATTGTCTCACTTTAGCATCCAGTGAGATAAACCAATATTATCTCACTTGATGTTAAAGTGATCAACTTAAGAACACTTCCTTATGGGTAAATTGTATTGACCATATTTGATAATGTGAATTCATAATATATCTTACTATATTTCAGGTGATATTGAGCGCTGGAGCACTCAACACCCCTCAGATTCTAATGCTCTCCGGTGTAGGACCGCGAGAGACTTTGCAAAAATTCAACATCCCTATAGTCGAAGATTTACCGGTTGGCAAAACCTTAAAAAATCATTACGGAGCAACTCTATATTTCACGCTGACTAAATTGGGTAACACACAAGTACTGGATTGGAATGTGTTCACTGAATATTTATTGAGCAGAACTGGACCCATGAGTTCAACAGCAATTACACAGGTCGGTACAAAATTTTTATAAATGACTCTCATTAGGTCTCTTCGCTTATCGGTCCAACTTGTGAATAAAGGTCACCATAAACAATAAGATTTAACAGTAGGCATATCGCACCTACGCCCATATAGTGTCTAGAGTAAAAAAATATTAAAATCATAGTTTTGTAATTGTAATAATGTTAAATAATAATAAATTATATAAACTATAAATATGGACTACAAAATGTGCAATATTTATTTTTCTTTTAACTCAACTAGTTGTTATTTTTTTCGTGAGTTATGTACTTTACTACAACAGTACAAAATTGAAAAATGTAGGTAAGTAGGATAATAGAAGAATTTGAACACTGTTTTTTCTCGCTCACATGCGATTATTAGCTGTGACACTGTTTCAGCGGAAGTACAATGTAAGCTAAAAGTAAGCCTACTAAAGACTCTCCGACACCTACCTATCTATATAATATAAATACTAAATGACTCTCCTTTCCACTAGGTAGCTACTCTGGCCTGTTACTCTACTAAGAAAAGACAAAATATACTACTACTACTATATCTAACTTAATTTATTTACAGGTAACCGGGCTCCTATACTCGAGCTTAGCAGAGAAGCATCGCAATCAGCCCGATATCCAGATTTTCTTTAATGGTTTTTATGCTGAATGTTCTAAGACTGGCAAGATCGATGAACCTATTGGTGGTTGTCTTACTAAGGGTGTGAATATCTCGTGAGTTAAGAATTTATTTGTATAATTAGGTACATATTAGTTAATATTGTGTAGTACGTCTATCTATTGTCTAATGGTTAACTCCACCACACGACCTAGATAGAAAGGTCAAAAATTCTAAATCGAAAAACCGTAATAACATACGCAAATTATCGACGAAAAAAAACAATCAGTTATAATAATTAATCTTAGCAATGACAGTACTTCATACTCATTAACAAAAAATTACATGAAGCAAGAATGAATCCAAATGCCGGTAGGAAACCGGTACCTCGTCGTACGTCAACCAAGACTACATATCGAAAAGGCCAAATAAAAAGTACCCACAATAAGCGAAATTGTGCGAATAGGTTGGAAAATAGCAAAAGAGATGCGTATTAATCTTAGCATTTTGCGTTCCTTAGTCCCAGTCTACCCCAATAGGTGAGAGGCGTGACGAATTGTAAAAATTACAGAGCGAACACGGCTATTCTGCTGCCGCGCAGCGTTGGATACCTTACCCTGAACTCGACAAACCCATTGGATCCGGCTCTCTTTTACCCAGAGTATTTCAGTCATCCCGAAGACTTGGTCATGATAAAGGATGGCATCAAATACCTGAAGAAGATCTATGATAGTGATGTAAGTTGTGTATAGTGCCTAAATAGCTCAACTTCTAATATGTACTATTTTTTGAATAGAATAACTGTAATGGAAACTAAGCTGACAGCCAACTAGTGGCCAGTGGTAGGTGGTAACTGTCGCCTATATACATAAACAACACCACGGACATAACGTAAATATCATATTCTACCGTGTTAGATAAACCTCTCATGGAGCCTATTGCTATCAATGTACGTATCTATATCAGGCCGACCTCTACGCGGTTAGTTCAACCGTCGTAATTAATTCCTGATGAATTCGTCATGATAGCCTAAATAATCTGACTTCATGCTCATTGTATCGTCCTCCATTGATGCTCCGCCAGCGTATACCTAATTTGAAATTAGGTTTTTACAGCGTTTAATTTGTATAAATATCTACTGTGTAAAGACTAGTCTGGTAACGACGCAGAATTAAATTAAATGACAGTAGCTTTTTCTCTTGCAAACTAGTATAAGTAGGTAAAAGCTTACGTACGTTGTGAAATATATAATCTACATTGTAACTTACTTATATGTAAAGAACGAGGAAGGAAGTTTTTGCCGCACATTCTTTTTATTTATATCCAAGCATATGACTAGTACCTATGATGATGAAGATGCCACGCCTCTTATTCTGTAATTTTACAACTTAATCATATATAATAATATACGATTAAGTTGTTAAATTAAGATATGTAATAATATGTAAAATAATAACATATGTAAAATCTTATATACACTTATATAAAATTCTCGTGTCACAATGTTAGTTATCATACTCCTCCCAAACGGCTTCATCGATTTTTATGAATTTTTATATGCATATTCAGTAGGTCTAAGAATCGGCTACTATCTATTTATATTGTATTCTAGTATCTGTAATCTCATCTTTTATTTCAGTTGACACATTTTAATATTTCAGATATTGCAAAAGAAGTATGGTATCAAACTTGATCCGGAGTATGCAAAACCGTGTGCCAATTCAGGCAAGGAGTGGTCGGACAAGTGGATGGAATGCATGGCACGAGTATATACTGACCCACAGAATCACCAACTCGCAACCGCGGCCATTGGTCACGTCGTCGACCCAGACCTAAGGGTCTACAATATTGATGGTAGGTATAAAATTTAACCCATAATTGATATTAATAAAAAAATTACAATAATACAAAAATTATTACTTTTACCTACTACCTACTTGTAAATGTCGTGACGTTCATAGCATCAGTTACTGGCTCACTACTCTTTTGTCATGAAAATGTACTTTGAGGTATATATATATTAGAGTATATTATTTTGTGTTTATTTTTTTGTAGAATTGTGTGTAATTTAAGAAAAAACAGTGTAGGCATGCAAATGAAAAATTGTTTTTTTTTCTGGCAATAAAAAACTTTACATAGTATATAATGAAGTCATTTTCGAAGTCTATCCTCTTAGATCTTTTAAACTACGCAAAGAATTTTAATGCAGTTTTAGCAATTAATAGTGTGATTCTAGATCAAGTTTATATGTAGGTAATATATGTCTACGTCGTCTACGTCTATTGTTACAGGTTTAAGAGTTATAGACGCGTCGGTGATGCCCACACAACCCACCGGTAACCCACAAGCCGCCATTATGATGGTCGCCGAGCGAGGTGTCACCAAAATTAAGGCTAAATGGACATAGAAAACCTCTAATATGTAGAATGTTCAACAGACACAATTACTGCCAAGTATAAAAGATTGCAAAATCTTATTAACACTGATTATATGATAGCAAACGCCAAAAGGAAACAATCAATTCCTAAGTAGCAAAACTAAAATAGTAAGAGTTAATTAAAACTGAAATCACATTTTTAGGACAAGATCAAGGAGTTAAAATTCCTTATTTATAATAATGACATTAAGATTTATTTCGCATAGCTCCTAGATGAAAATTTAGATACGTAACAAGCTATAAAATTTTGTAGTTACAACTATTTAGACATTCAGCTGTATAAACTTAGTTGGGACGTGGTTATAAGAAATTAATTATAATTTCGTTGTAAACATAACGGATCATATATTACTAATAAGAATCGGGACAATTTATACAGTGCCATCTAGTTCCATACTAAGCGGAGCTTGTATGTAATAGTATTACTAAAGAAGTGATAGAAATACTTGAATACATTTTTTGTATATATACATCAAGGTATAAAATAGGTTTATCCAATCTGATACAACCATACTCTAGAATACAAATGTTTACCAACCTTGCGAAAATCGCGGGAATGTAGTCATCAAAAGTAAAGCTGTGCTAAACCGCTAAACTACCGAAACCGTTCAACTTTCACTTGTTGAACATTACAATCAATGATATTTCTTTGGTACACACCATCATATAAGGAATTCAGTATTAGTTCAACAGAACCTTCGGCCTTGGTCGTCATTGCCCAAGATTAAGCTTTAGTTTTCTCGTAAATATGGTAATGTTGACTTTCAGCCAAAAAATGATAATTCAAGTACGGCACCTAAAGAAACTTTACGAGGTCTTTTAAAATTAATAAGACAAAAAATATGTTTAATATTCATGTTTTGCTTTATGACTTTTATATAATAATAAGCGCAAAATAAATTATTTCACGTAGAATAGAATAGAAAAATTGAAGTTTTGTACAGTACAGTGTAAATATAACTTTTCTAAAATTTTTCGTATTTGTGGTACTTCAGAAAACTTATATTTTCCGCTAGATTTATTATTATATACCTACTATTACATGAATCTACTTAAACACCACTTTTACAAAAATGTAAATATTTAGTAATTAAAGAGTGTTGTGATTATTGTAAGAATGAAATCTCAATACCTTCTACTGAATATTTGTATAAAAGTATTACCGCATAGTAATTTTATAAAATAATAAATATTTGCTATTAATATATAGTTTATACTTTACCTAAATGCGTCAGTTTTCTCTCAACGATAACGTAGCCGATACAAATTGCTCATTATAATGACTCTTTACACAGCAAATTACCGAAGCTTGAAATAGATCACCTCATTAATTAAAAACACCCGCTCTGATGTAGATATTTCAAAAACGTAACGTTGTTATATTTTGTTGATGATGACAGAATAGTAAACCCATCTCCAATATGTGTATTAAACGTTGAAGTTTAGTATTGTTCGTAATGGAGTGATGGCTCCTTTATTAGCAATGTACAATGTCAGGTCGAACTCCACGTATGGGCATTTCCCCTGGAAACCGATATTGTTATATCCTGATAAATTCGCCATAGGCCTATTATCTTCCACTGTGCCCCGCCAGCATATACTCTTAGTGCTGGTGCGCTGATGAATTATCATCCATGGTAGCTTTTTGCAGTATAAAATATGTATTCTTTCCATTTAAAGACTTCAAAGACGGAGCAGGGTATTATTTTGGCTTTAAATCTCGTGGAGTTTAGAGGTCTAATATATTAAGTCATGAGAAACAAAAATACTACGAATTAATTTAAAGTACTAATTTAATATATGTATAGATTGATATAACAAATACATACATAAATGATTATTATTACTAAATAACACACACTATGATGAGTTATAAAATTAATGAACTCTATAATAGTCAAAGCAATAGAAAAAAATATTAAAAACTAATCGATTACAACTGTCAATTTCAAGAAAAGCTTATTGAACTACCAAATACAATTAGAATGCATCGATTCTAATCAGAGCCTTATATAATTACGAAACAATATAAATTTCATATTTTAAATTAAATCATTAGATTTGTTTAAACTTAAAATAAGTACTTCATTTAAAATTATTATTATAAAGAGATTTCTACTTGCTTCTAATTGAGGGAATGATCATAAAATACTGTCAGCCAATCACTTATTTTGTACTAAAAATGCGCTATATTCAATGAATCGATATACTACTTTGGCCAATCATCTTACAACATGGAATTCAATACTCAAATGCATACGTATCATTATTAATCAAATGCAACATGGAAGTATGTTTTATTTAGCACCGCTGTGTTCACGGAACTGATACAAAACTAATATCATAATATCATCTTATATATTTCCTATTAATTACCAGATTATCATATAAATATGGCAGACAGGTTGATGTTTGTCTATGTAATTATGCAATAAATTCCAATACTATATTTTACAAATGTATTAAAAGAATAAAAATATTCCAGATAACTGTCCATTGCACAATTTTATCACATTTCCACCTACATATGTTTAGATCGAAATGCACTTTATATACATAGTTGTAAACTTTAGCTTGAACTAAACTATTACTTTAAATACCTCAGAAATACATGTAAAAATGTATGTTTTTTTAATTACAATATTTGTATAAATACTTGGTGGAGACAACAATACAATCTGCCAACATCGACCACTTATTGCTCATCCTTGTCTTTGGCGCCGTGTTTCAATATACGTGTGAACTCCACATAGTCAAAGAGTCCATCACGAATTGGTGCCTCGCGCAGCATTTCGTCGACATCATCATCAGTAAAACGGTCACCCATCGTGGTGAGCAGCTCACGTAAGCGTTCCTCAGCAATGACGCCATTATTTTCTTCGTCGAAACAACTAATGAAATCATATTGTTATTATTATAAGAATTTTGAAGAAAACAAGATTTGTTTTTCGGAAATAAGGTGGATGAATGAAAAGGGCCTTTTGAGGCCTAGAAGATGACGTTGACCCCAAATAATTTAATAAGAGACAAAGGCAACAAATTAATTAATTAATATACATATGCACATGTTGTGTAAATTGATGTTTAAACTTACTAATTTTACAAGTACAGGCCTTTTTATTTTATACCATTCATTATTCAGATATAAAATAACATACATAGAAGTTATATTTAAATTGTTTATATGTATGGAATAGAATATTTACCCAAATGCATTTTTGATAACATCTTCAGGATCGGTGCCTTGAAGTCGTTCACCAAATAAGGTTAAAAACATGGTGAAGTTGATAGGGCCTGGAGCCTCATTCATCATACCTTCAAGGTAGTCTTCTGTTGGATTTTTACCTAAAAATAAATTATACAATTTATTGGAAAGGAATAATTTACTACTCTTATAATATCACCTAGTCCTTAATCACTAGTTGTGATTAACACTTAATAATACAGACAGATACAATGATATTCTTGATATAGCAATATGGGTCATGTACCTATATATAGTCCTGTAGCATATGAAAAACATGTTATGCATGCTTAAGAGTCAGCCCAACAGACATATGTTTACTCACATACCAGATTCTTTCCAAGGTAAGTAGAGAATCAAGTGTGAAAGCCTGTATGTATGTAGACATATGATGCACCTAAAGTTTGATCACAAAATGACATTCGAGTATTATTCAATGACTGTGGTGTTCTAAAAAAATACTACTACCCCTGTATATATTGATTCCTTGATTCACCCACTCTACATATATTTACTCTATTCTATGTAAATAACACAGAATTTAACTAATTGTGATGTGTCTGCCTAGGACTGACTCAGTACAGAACTAAGCAGGATAAGCAGAATATTTGCTAAAGCACTGAGATACCTTGACTAAAGACCAATTTAATGTCAATTAAAGAACAAAGAAATCTATCAGTGTGTTAATTGCTTCATTTATCTATAGGTAAGACAGGACTCTGTCAGTGGTTTAGCATACTTCTTTATTCACACCCCATGTTTGTAGGTTTGATTCTCTTAAAACATTTGTATGTATTACTACAATTGTCTGTATTGGTCTGAGTGTTTTGGTCTATATTTATTTACAAATCCATCCATCCACAGATTATTTACCTAGTGATGCCAACATGTCATGCAGATCATCTTTGTCTACAAAACCATCTCTGTTCTGGTCAATCATATTAAATGCCTCCTTAAACTCTGCAATCTGTGCCTGATCGAACATAGCGAAGACATTGGAGGTGGCTCGTTGGGCACGCTTCTTGTTTGTGCCACGGCGGCCGGCAGTTTTACGAGATGACATTGTTGTTATCTATAATAAAAACTATAATAAATAATAAAGAATGCAAAAGTGCATTAAACAAAAATAACAAATTAATTGGTCAGTACAGTATGCTGAGTCAAATGGAAAGGAGAAAGATATGGAACAACAATATATTGAGAAGAAAAACAAATGGAACAGATGAAAAGATTAGACCCTAGTAATCAATCTTAACTCAAAACAGTTACACAGAAAGGAACTATAGGCCAGTAAGACATAATAGTAAGTTAATAAAAACATATTAGATAAAAAAAGTATAAAACAGTAGGATAAAGTAGCTGAAATCTGTATTTTTTATTTAAAAAAGAAAAAGAAACATTGTTACCAAAACTAAATAGTAACATTAGTTTTAGGCACTATTCTAGCTAAAAAAAATAAAAAACCATAAATATTAGTATAAAAATAAATCTTATATTAATATGCCATAGAGCTTTGTACGATATTTGGTTTAGTGAAAAGAACAGCCTATAAGGAATAAAAGTATTGTCACTGTCCTTAGCCTAATTAGCTAGCCAATGACAAAATTGATAAAGATTCAATTACAACCACAAGAAATTATTTTAGACATTTTAATTATGTTTCAATGATATCAACTTACCTTACTGGTATACCAATAATAATTTATGCCAAGAGTCGTTAACGGATAAAGCTTAACTAAACAGTGACTAGCTAATTTTCCAGATTGAAGGAGGTTAAAAATAAGAGCTTATAGAGTCACTGTTCGCCGACACCTCACCAGTAGTCGGGCGTTAACCAGTATATGATGTGACGCATACTGTAGAAACAACTTTTTCGGTGTTAGGTAGAAGTTATCTGGGACGCGATGTCACAATCACAAAGATTTCCATATAAGGCACCGATTTTATAACACACCATCTGTTTCATTCTCTAATTTACCGATAGGATAAGACGATTTATATACTTACATATTTTAGCTGATTGGTATTATAACAAAAAATATTCCAAAAGTATATTTTTTTAATAAAAAATAAATGCGTTGAAAGCAAAATGACTAATACAGATAGATTTTTAGTTAATCATTTGTCATTCAAACCTAATCAGTCAACTTACTGAACGTCAGTCATATACATCGTGTCAAAGAAACAAAATGCTCGTTAAGTCACTCTCTTTCCGTCATTCATGATTGAATAACGGAAAGAAATAAAAAAGGCACGGCTCTTTCGGATCTGTGTTAACTATTATATTGACTCAGTTGTCACATAAAGTCTGTATCTGTCATTGAACAAATACAAATAAGTACTGCATTTTGTTGCAAAATGAGCAAATTAACAAATAATCATAAATTAATCGTCCCTACTGCTCACTAAATTCTATCAAAACAAATTTGTATGTTTACGAGAAATACCTAATATATAAGTAAGTCATTTATTATTATTAGGTATTACGGTTATCATTTTTATATTAGCAAAATCCATTTAACGAGTCTCCTAATTTTTAGTGAAATGATAGGCTCAACCAAGTCCAGATTGGTGTCTGAAATAGTACGTTCAATTAGCACTTCATCTTGGTTACGCGCCAACCATTATGACGTTCTGGGAGTCACACCGAAAGCCACGCAGTCCGAAATTAAATCTGCTTATTACAAACTGTCAAAAGTCTATCATCCAGATAAATCTTCAGTATGTATGGGTTCATAATTGTTATATCATAACTTAAACAGTCTAAGTCATAAGTAAAGGTATATAAACAGATTTTCCGTTAGATACAGTATGGAATATTTTGTTTGTAGTGAGTTATATAAGATACTAAAATGCATACTTTTATAGTTCTGATAAAATTTTCCTTTGATATTCAATTTTGCAGGAGTAATTGAACTGATAAGGAGTTTGCAGCTTATGGCATACATCTATCATATAATATGTAAATAACACATTTTCAGGATGAAACATCTGCTAAAAAGTTCAGAGCAATCACAGAGGCATATGAAGTTCTTGGAAATATCAAGTTAAAAAAAATTTATGACAAAGGTATTATTAATATAATTTGGTGTACAACAGAGTATAATGATTAAGTATATAAACATTATAATTAAACCGAGTGTGAGACTAAGTTCTATAATTTAGTGTATATTTTTCATTTAAAATTATATTTTATTACTAGCAGTTCCCGCGATTTTGTCTGTGTGGAATTTAACTTTATTTTTCTAAAATAAAAGTAGCCTAAGTTACTCCTATTACATCAACTAACTGCCAAAAAAAAGTTCCATCAAAATCGGTCCATCCATTTCAGAGATTATACGGAACCAACAGACAGACAAAAATTGTAATAAATGTTATTTTGGTGTATGTACCGTATTTATATTCATATGCATGTAGTAAAAAATGGTTATTTCAATATTATAAACAGACACTCCAATTTTATAACATTATAACAAATAAGAATACTCAATTTTTTCCTTGGCTAAACCAAAAATGTATACTCTTAATGTTATCTAGTACCTATATGTTAAAAAATCATTCAATCCTACTTTAGTAACTTATGATACAAAACAAAATAATAATAATAATCATTTCTTCAGCATAAAGTACAGAGTAAAAAAGAAAACTTAAAAACTAATAATTCGCTATGCTGAAAAGGCTTCCACTCAGCTGGTGCCGCAGCTTGTCACTACAGCGCTGATTTTCAGTGGACCCACTTAAAAAAAAAATAGCATTTGTGATGAATTTAAATATCTAAAATGAAGAATCAGTTAAATGGATGAATTATAAGTATGTGTGATAAATATAAGAAAAATATATAAGGATAAAAAAGTGTTGATAGAAAGACTTTTGTGTAATATAAAATAGCTTGAATATATTTATTTATTTAATCAATATATATGTATAACTACTGTATTTATCTGCCACATTTAAGATTTTTGTACTTTTAGTAAATATTTTTTTAAATTATGTTTAAAAGACGAAACTGACTGAAATATAAAGCAAATTGTTTTATTTTATATTATTATTCCAAATCCAAACAATTCACATATCATATAAATGTGAAAACCCTTACAAAAATAAATTTTATACACATTGTAAATCACTGACTAGACTCAGCTATTTCATCTAGCAATCAGCTTGCATTGTAACCTGTGTTTCAATTCTTTGGTAGGCAGTAAACTTTATGCCATTTTAGTGTGTTCATGTTTAAAGCCAATAAATAGTACCAATTGCCATCATCAACTTTGTCATTCCAATAATATGAGAAAAATTAATTTAATTCTATTGTAGGACTGCTGGTTGGTCATGAGAGTGCATCAAGGATGGAATATAAACCTGAACCTGAACCAACAGATCCCACCCTGAAATTTTATAAGTCACATCAACATCGCCATATTACACCAACAATGGATGGGAGAACACCAATATATGACTTTGATGCTTGGTAAAGAAAATTCTTAATTGCTTGACAGATCAATGAACAAAGATAATTTTGATTAATATTTGATTGAGGCTTTTTATTTAACAATCAGGAGTGTAGTGTATTGTCTTCAGAATATAAACTTATGCTTAATTTTTAAATTAGGTAATATTGTAATTTAAAAATAAGAAGTAATCATTATTCTAATAAATTTAAATTAATATAGAGTATAATTCATACATATATAAGATGCCTTTATGAAATAACAAGGACTTCAATTCTGATCTATTACTTTCTTTTATGACATGTTTATTTAATCATCATTAAAAATCAGTTTTATAATGGATAATATTTTAAATATTATCACAATTTATATATAAAAAAAAATGCACTTGCTGTCTAGAAAAACTTGTGGTCTAAATACTCTGTAATAAAAGCTTTATGTATTTACTAAAAATACAAATATTTTTTATCTATCTGTTACAGGTCAAAGAATCATTATGGCAATTTATTTAAAAAATCCCAATATGATAAAGATTTGCTAAGGACCAAACAAGCAAATCGAAAAGCTACTATAGAAGCTACCAAACAGGAAGCATTAATATATTTAGTACTTGCTTTAACTGGTTTCTTTTTTATGCTAGTGATACATGGCAAAGAAGACTATGATCAAGATATGACCATTAGACAAAATGCACAAAAATTAAAAATTGAAACCAAAAGAGATTAGATTAGACAATATTTAGTAGGAAGATATCATTGTTTTGAAAAACATACATAAGAATGCAGGCTGTATGGTTACTGTCATTCATACTTATACAATTATGGTGTATGGAGATGTAACACATCGATTCTCAGTAAATGCAACATATAAGAAAACTTTTATATGTTGTCATATGGTCAGAATGTCTATGTGATATCTTAATCAAAATCGGAGCTAACTTTTTTAAAAATCATGCAGTTATCGAAGTTAATTCATGTAGGGACTGGATGTTCATTTATATGCATTATGTCAATCGGGCATTGATGATATATTTGCACTTATCAAAATCTTTCGTGTAATATGCTATGCATTGTATATATTGTACATATATAAAATACATCAAAACCTATAGGAAAATGTGATAATATTTAAAATAATAAAACAAAATATTCTTATTACAATTTATATTGTTTTACTTGTACTTAAATATTACGATATAAAGTAAATTTATGTTGAAATATTAAAATATATGAATGAATATTGAAATTTCACTGCAATTTCTTAATCAGTTAATTTATTGCATTAAACGACATTGTTTATCATTGCAATATACGATATAACTTCGTATATTTCAAGATTTGTTAAAGACGTCGCGAATTGTTATAAGAAATATGAAGATTACCCCGAGCATACAAATTTTACGTTTATAATGTTACTTTAGATTATAAAGCTGAAGGAAAGATGAATCTTAATAATGTGGACCCATAACCCCGTTGCTAGCAATCTACGATACCAGTACGACCTCCACGCGATTCCCCATGGAAACAATCATTGATAAATTACCAGTTAATTCGTCGTAACTATAACGTCGTAGCCTCAGTAGTCTAGCGGATTAGCACACCGCCTTACTTTCGATGGTCGAGGGTTAGGATTCTCGCACGGTACAAACATTTGTATTCATGAGTACGATTGTTTGTATTGGTCTTGGAAAAAAATATATCTATGTATTTCAGTATTTCCAGTGTCCATAACACAAGCTCTACTTAGCTTGCGACTAGATGGCACTGAATTGTCCTGAGATATTATTATACCAAGTGAAATATGAACATGTCAAGTGTTGCGTTTAGTACAACATCAACAGTTGCGAATGACTCTGACAAACCCATCGTTGATATCAATCGGGACGGAGATTCTTTCCTCGATATTATGTGACGCAGACGAAGCTGGACGGGTCAGTTAGTAACTAATATGCTAGAGGAGGGAAAGGGGAGTTAGTGATGTGGCCTTACAACTACAATGTCAGGTTGATGTCCACGTGGTTCCCTTGAAACCATCGTGATAGACTCCTGGTGAACTTATCACGATGGCCTAACTGACCTGACCTCATTATCATCTTATCATCTTCCACTGGTGCTCCACCGGGGTAAACCATTAGCACAGGCGGCACTATTTCATTATTATTTCATTATTTACTACTACAACTATTATAATATACCAAAACCGTAATTGCAAAATCAAATACCAAAAAGCCGTAGTACACAAACATTACAAGGAATTAAAAGTTTATAATAAATAGCAATGATTATTTATTATTCTCTAAAGCATTTTCTAGTTAGACAGTTATACTATATAAAAATATTTATACAGCATCTAACATGTTTTACATTTAACTGATAAAATTTGTAATAAATAAACAGGACCCTGCTATTTATACGTGTACATAATATGAAAGTTTTAGTTATAATAAATTTGAAACTATTCATAAAATTGCGCATAGGAATCGGAACATCCAGGGTTCCAAGTAAACATGGTTGATAAACATTAATATTACAATGATAATTTATTTATGAAATAAAAAAAAATTGTGATATATTTTAGTAGCATTAAGAAACAGATTTATTTGATGTTGTTAATGCGTGTCCTTAGACCAGTGGTTTTTAATTGATGGTCAGTGGATTATATATTTATGAGTCTATGAGTGGCTGAAATAATCCACGAGACTATTTTTTAAACGGGATAAAACACGTGGGGTAATAAAGTTAAAATGGCCACTAACTCCTACACAAAATCTAGTTTTTCTGCAGGAGTGTTGGTGGTGGTTGGTTGCTGGCCCATAGTGGTATTGACAATCGCTGAAATGTTAAAAACCACTAGTTTAGACTAAATGCATAAAAACGGACTTTGTAACGACCTTTGTGTTTGTATATGGAAGTTTTTAATGGTATCTTATTAACTACTATTCTATATAGTTACTTACAAGAGTACTGTTTCTATAATTATCTATTTTTACTCTAATGTTTACATATCACACACCTAGTACAATACTAATTTAATATTGCTATTTTTGTAGACTCTATAGTTAAAACTGCAGAGTGGATTTTCAAAAGATTGTAAGTTATAAGTTAATCTAGTATTACACTATGTGTGCGATATATTTAAAAAAATTGTAATCATTTTTTTAAAGATACGGCTATCACATTATTTTATATTATCCATCATAAATGGACTGAAAGCATAAAATAAAATAAAGCTCATATTGGCGTATACAGGACTACTCTTACGTAAGTCAAATTATTTTTGATGAATGGCTACCTCTTGCAATGAAAATATACAAGTTATAATTTTATAAAAAAAAATTGGTCTAGGGTTAAATAAAATTAGGCTAACAGTGACCAAAATTATTCAAATCGATATTATGTAGTCTCCGAAGTTTAACGCAGTGACAGTGACACATGGACGGACACACCGAATTTTAGCTTTTGGGTTTGGAACCCTAATTACGATCATATCTTGTTCCATTATTGTGAATGGTGTCACCTCACCACATATCATTCATGACAAATATAAGGGTTACTAAAAATATAAATAATTTAGATTACATTATTTTATGACTGAAATAATCTTGAATTCTATTAGTACACTGAAATTACCTAATTATTTACAGATTGTAGTTGTTAATCACATTATTTTCCAAAAGCACCAAGTTATCAAGCAGTTTGGTAATTATTTAACATTTAATTATAGCAATTTGAAGAATTAATATACCTAATTATAAAGTACAATTGACATAGAAATTATATACCTATTAACTCCAAAGTAAACCATTAGGAGCCTAGAACAATAATAAAAAAAACTACAAGTACCTATACCTGGTTGGTTCTGTTTTTATGCAAGATAGTGTTTTCACAGCAATCCCTTTGCCCTATACTTTGTTATATTAAGTATATTATATATATACTATATATATTAAGATATAAATTAATAAAATAATATAGGATAACTTATTAGGAGTCAGTTAAAGGATAAAAACATAAATAAATAAATCACGTATTCTTTAAAAAAATATAAATAATAACGAATTTAGTAAACATCTTTACTTGTTGTTTATGATGTCGGAATTTTAGTACCCTTTGAGCATTTCCAAACCTATGTCATATACATTTAGTTTTTTCTAGAACTTAAAAATCAAATTAATGTCAATATTCAATATACACTCAAAAAATAATGGGTAACCTCAAAAATGATTCCTAAACATTCCTGGCATTGGCATGTTGAAAGCTCCTGTTGGGTATGGTACACTTGGAGCTCCCTGTGGAGTACCATAACTAGGATATGGTATGTATGGTTTTGATAAACCATTTCCATAAGAGCTTTGATTACCCGTTCTCAAAAGTTCACTCATTTTCTCTGCTTTAAACTTCCTCAGGTGCATATTTTTTCGAATGGGTTCAAATTGTTCGAGAAATTTGTCTACTTCAATTTTCCCTGACAAAAAATCTTGTGCCATTTTCTCAGAATCCTCTTCCGATTCTGCTGCTGAAGTTTGTAACACAGCTAGTGTTGCATCTGGTGATATTCCAGCTGATTTGGTTTCTGTAATATAAACAATAATCACTACCATTTAGTATTGCAAGAATGAACAAATAAAAATTGCGACACTGAGACTATGGAGAACATACTAACTGGAAATGCAATGAAGGTAAAGGCCCACTTGATAATTATTAACTGTGTTTATTTTTATACATATATGTATACAGGAACAGGGTGGGTGCAACTTGCAAATATGGATAAATGGAAGAGAAAAACATATAATGCCAAGCCCAAATAAATGGGATAAGAAGCAGATGATGATGATGATGTATAACATTCTGGAGGATAAGGATGTAAAACTTCTTAGCCTGTAATAATTTCACTATCTTATCTCATCATCCTTCCACTGAAACAGATTGGTAGCTGAAATAGGTGAAACTGAGGTACCACACAAGCAATTTTGTACACTCTACTTTGGTAATATGAAGGTGAATATAGTGGAAGAGAAAAAATATCATGAAGATTATAAATTAACTTACTGTAGTTATCGAGAAGTTCTTGTATGCGGGAACAAAGTTGTTCGCCCACCTCTGATTTCTGCTGTACATCAGACTTTAGCTGTTCAAGTTCTGGTTCTTTGCTCAAATTAAACTCAGCCAAAGACCTATTGCTAGCTATGATCATCTCCTTCTCTGTGTCCCAATCTTTCACCTAAAATTAGACCATTTCAAGTATAAAGAACATTTGGAAAATTGTATTGTTATATATCTCACTTATCTACAACTAGTACATGAACTATGACCAGATTTTTTCTGTGTGTGTCAATACGTAATGGAGAGTACACTCCAGCAGCAGGATCTCACATCGTATTACACGGTTAATGCAACTTGTTCTAGCAATGTATTGAATTATCATCAAGAACAATAGTCAGCACAGATAAATATTTGATATCTATTTATGTTTTTATTAAAATTTGTGTTATAGGCAATATTATAATTTGTTTTGTACACAAAGGATAGTTAAGTCTTTAGAAATCAACTGAATGTACCTGCTTTACATCTTTGAGAACTGCATCGAATTTGGTATCGTCGTTGAGCATTTCCTTGAGTTCATCTGAATTCAAATGAGTCAGTAACCCCATGGCTGAAGGATAATCAGGTTGGATCATTTTAATGGTAAGTAATTACGTAATAAATAAAATATTCGAATGATTTCTTTTATTAGATTTTTGAGAAAATCATTACAACTGAACAAAACAAATTAGCGATGAATCAGAATAATACCTGTTTATGTTTAAATTTGTTTGACTGACAAATTGATGTGATTGACAAGTAATACTAAAATATGGCATAACTAAAAATGTATTCATTTTGTCTATATGCCATGTTCATATCTTTTTTAACATATTTCACTAAAGTTAAAATCGTAAAACACATTCTGGATACCATTTAATTTTCTTTATCATTTAAAAAATCTTAATCGTTACTTAGACAGTGATCTTTTTAGAACTTATTTGAGTGGACATTCCAGTTACGTAATATCCAGGAAAAATATTGTTGAGAATGTCAATCCATCATTCAATCTATCAATTCTGAAATATGACATTTTTATGACAAAAAATGATAACAAATAAAATCTAAAATTCTAATTAGTAAACTCAAAGAAAATTTTAATTTTGTTATTTAAATCATAAATTAAATATGTAACTATCTTGTATTTCATATTCTCATCTTAATATTGACTATCATTAATTATTTTAATGCACCAATGATCCAAACTAGAACGTATTACTAAAATAATAATTTATTTTGATTGAGAAATGTTACACAGCTCACCATACGATATAGAGTATTTCTATAGTTATTATTTGAAGTTCGTGGCAGAAGCGCTATTGTATTTCAGAAACTTTGCATTATATATAAGTTTATGGATAGTGGGTTATTTATTTGTGTGTTGTGTAGTATATCGTCGATATGCCAGACGTTTACCGACACGTACACGGGGCTCATTGAGAGCAAAGAGGGTTCTAATAGTAGTTGCACATCCAGATGACGAATGCATGTTCTTTGGCCCCACAATTTTCAGGTTATGTGAACAGGGTGCTGATGTTTACTTACTATGTTTATCTAATGGTATATACGATTAAATAATTTTGTTATAATTTATATATTGTGTGAATTTTATGTAGATCTCACATGCATTAAAATTCTTAACAAAATAGTAATTGCAACTTGTGTAGTTATCTATTTATTGCAGTTCTGATGTATTTTTGCAAGTATCAAATTTATTTATAGATTTTTTTATATAACTGGAATGGCAGGCAAACAAGCTGATGGTCCATTTTTTATTAAATGGCAAGCATCACCATCATTATATACATGTAAGCACCATAGACATAACTTTGTAATGTGCTACTACCAGTTACTGCCATGTGATGCCATTTTGCAAGTATAAAATGTTATGTCTTCATATCTGTAATCATCTACATAAAATATATAAACAGTTTTTTCTATTACATTATAACCCATTCTTTAAGTTTACATTGGTTCTAATTGTGTCATACTTTTAGGTAATTATGAGGGTAAGGGCAATATAAGAAGATTAGAATTATGGAGTGCATGTGAAGAGCTTGGACTGCCAGATAGAAATATTTGTCTAATTAATGACACTAGACTACAGGATAACCCGAAAGTCCAATGGCCTGTACCTGTTATAGCTAAATTGATTCAGCATGAGTTGGAGAAACTTGATGTAGATACTCTAGTCACATTTGATAGAGGTGGGGTGTCATCTCATGCAAACCATTCAGCTGTTTTCTATGCTATCGCATATATGTTTGTTGAAAAACTTATGCCCAAAAGTGAGTGATAAATATAAATTACATTATATAAATATAAATAATGTTTTAATTATTATAATTTTAATTTGTTTAAATATGATGTTCATTATTCTTTTTTTTATTATATTTTTATTATAACTCTACTATTTTGACTTAACTTTTTGAGTAGTCATATTATTTCTCTCAATTTGGATTAATGAAAGTCAATTTATAACTTTGATAATAACTGTGTAATATTGTATTGTGTTATAGCTTGTGTTAACTGCTGTATTAAACTATTTTAATCTACTAAGTAGAATTCCAAAATAACTGTTAGTATTTATAATTGCAATGATTATTATATTTCAGAATGTACAGTCTACACATTAGACTCTGTGAATATACTAAGAAAGTACCTGGGATTCTTTGATTTACCACTTAGCTTTGTATTGTCTTCCAAAAGGTAATTTTACATAGATTTTCTTTTTAGGAAATTTGAATCAATATAAGAAAATAAGTTATATGCATGTATGTATATAAAATTTCCTAAAAAGAAAATCTTATTTATTATTTTTATTTATCTTATTGAATTTACTATCCTAAATTACTTGCCTATGTTGTAGATACTTCCTTCGATGGACAGAGAGCCGCCGCGTGATACGCGCCATGAAACGGCACAAGTCTCAGATGGTGTGGTTCAGATATCTATATGTTGCTTTCTCTCGTTACATGATAATTAATACATTAAGAAGAATCAGCCTTGCCGACATTGAGCTTGAACTGGAAGTTGATGATTAAACACAAACTCTGTAAACTCACAGACACAGCTGCTGTTTTAGCTTTTTATTTGAAATAGATAGATGAATGAATAATAGATGGCAATTATTATGAAGAAATAACATTCATTACATAAAGTAGTTTAACAGTATGGAGAGGGCCAAACTGTAATATTCTACAAATACTAATTAGTTCAATATTATTTTGTACAAAATACAACTTCACAATTAATTATGATTTATATTTTGACATTATTTTAATAGTTTTAAGTAAGTTCTTATGTGCCATGTGACAAATTAAATGTAACAGATTTCAAACGAGTGCTATCCTAGTGGATCGTAATCTTAATAATTAAATTTGGCACAAGCTAAGGTATTTTCATTCTTCTATAATTATAATAAGTGTTTCTCAAATATGTATTCCAATGGGATCATTCTGCATGTGGGAAGAGGTAATTACACAAATGAATATAACAATTATATAAATTTCTGTTATTTTAAATGTGCAATAAAGGCATTATTACAAAAATATATCATAGGATAACTTTAGCGGAATAGCGATTGTTAAATGTAATACTTATTTACTGTTTTTGTTATAACATTACTTCATAGAACAAATATGTAAACAATACGGCCCTGTACTATACTTTAATTTGAATTACCATCTCACAAAATCATTCCTTATTGTTAATTCATTGCTCCATAGTCTATTCGTTATTTTCTAGAGGTATAATACAACCATCAGAGTTAGGAATAGTGATAGTCATGCCTGTGGATTATTTATTGCACAAATAATATCGATTTGTGAAAATTCGATTTTATTACATTATAGATTTGTAAAGAGTATAAAATGTTAATAGATTAGATATATGTATGACTGTGTACTGTATTATTACAGTATTACTAATCTAAAGTGGGCATGTGTATGTCGTGGCCATATCTTTATTATTATTATGTCTACATTTGTCTGCTGTTATGCATTAAATGATCAGTTTCAATCAGGATGATTGACTTCATCAAATGCACATATTTTACGATATGCTCGACTATTTTGTGATTTGCGTTATGGTCATGACATACAAATCTACGTAAATAGGCATCATATTGTCAAATGTTCAAATTTGAGTACCCAATAGTGAGAATATTTGTACAATTTATGTAGATATATTGTGAACAGATATTGTTGATTTAATTAATATAATAAATTTTGATCGTTATTTGAACAGTCAGTCAAGTAGAATAGGTAAACGTTAACGTGTGTATTATGCAATTTTGCACATAAAATTATTTATAAGAAAGTAATTAGAGTGAGAGTAAGAAATCGACCGCGTCTGTAGCTGTCTGTTTATATTTGCAGCTGTTTTGAAAACTGAATTATATTAAAGCACTGAAATTTTTGTCTGAAACAGAACCGATAACACTAAAATTTTTTACTGAAACAGAGCCGATAACACTAAATGGTATATTATATTGGAATATAATTTAAGATTCCATTCCCGGCTAGTCTTGGTCTATGTCCAGTCAGATAGGCCCAGTCAGGCTGGTTGCAACCTTGCTAACTTTTTTTAGTTAGCGTATTTATGTTCTAAGATAGTGCTGATTATATAAATTTAAGTAATTTCCGGTTTCGACGAAAGAAGTCTGGTTGTTTTTACTCAAATTTACTAAATCTGGCAACGGAGGTCCATAAATACGTTAAAATATTCTACTTACCCGTCGTTCTCGCTAATAATCACTGATTGCAGTAGTATTTATTGTGATGACTATTTTCTTTTACGTTTTAAATGTAATTCATAATCTATAAACCTTGTGACTGCTTATGGGAACCAAAAATGATGAATATAAACCATTCATCATTTTACATACAATACAAAATAATTATGTATTTCCTATTTAATGTGTTTGCACTACTACCTATTAAGAAAGATTAAATTGTACTCGGTTCCATAAAAGTAATCTAAATGTGCTAAGTGCCATCGCAAATGAAATGATTTTGCATTTTAAATGGGATATAAATTCGTAACTGTTTTTTTTTTAATAAGATCAAGATTAGATTTGTTTGTGTCCGGTGGAAAGGATGAAAGAAGTAATTTCTTGTTTGACCTTTGTAATGTTATAAATTTGTTGTCCATCGCTCCACCACTATACGTTAAAATGTATCACTATAAGTTATGTAATATGCAAATAGCTAATAAGATTCCATAGTTTTAGAAGCTAGTCGTTTTTATTAATATAATAATAATTATTAGTAATAATATATAATAAAAAGACGGCGCAATATATTGTAATTTCCTATTCAATCCTATTCTGTGATATATTGTTACGCTTCCACGCCCCATCATAATGTTGATGTACGAGTAGCTTATAAATTGGCCCTAACTTTGTTCCAATATATTTTAGATTTTATTTTTTTTTTACAGCTGACATAATAGGTATTCATTTTAAAAATGAAAAATGCCATTTTTAATCAAATAAACGACCAACTTAATTTACGTTCTTTTTTCTATTCTACTTATGTATGTAATAAAAAAAGTTACATTCTATGCAGACGATGTCGCGGGTAACAGTTAATTATAAATACAAACGAAACAAACTGAAACAGATTAAATTAATTTTATTTCTGTTGGCCTCAAAATACTCATAGTACATTTTACAACAAATGTTATTTATTACATTATTTATTATACTTACATTTCAATGCGAGAACTTCAAAATTCAAAACTTCAATTAGCTAAACATTTTAAAATTGACAAATTTAGTCCTCTATAGGTATTTTATATATTCAATTTCTCCAATACCATATAGTGTGCTATGGACATACAACTCTACAAAATACTGATCTTACGCTTGCTGGACGAAAAACAAGAGTATATGCATACAAAAGTAAATAATTGTAACATGCACCCATATGTCAACACAAACAAAATACATTAAGGAACAATTTGAAGGATTTTGAAAAAATAAAAAAATCTTCCTGTGTACTTAACTTTATTTGGTAACTGCTACAAATAAGCTTTAACAATCTTTAAATGGCCTTTTATATTACTGTCGTGTAATATAAATAGCTCAAATTTAGTTACTAAAATCAATCCTATACGTTCATCTATAATTTTGGGTTAAGACAAACTACGAAAAATATTGTCTTTAGACTGGGAAGAATTTTTTTCTTTATCAAGTTTAACAAGATACCTAGTTATGAGGTAAAATTGTGCTAGTTTTCGTGATTATAAGGTGATCATTAAGTACTTTAAATGCTCAAGTATTAATTTAAAAAAAAAATGTAAAAAAAACGTCAAAACACAAGCTCTAGGCAATGCTAAAAGCGGGTTGCGAACAATTGACTAAATTCTACTAATAAAAGACTACTCTCAAATATGTATACCACGCTGTATTTGATGTAAAACTTGTTACAACAAGTAAAAAAAAACATAGAAACAACATGTGCCAATAATTAAATAAAATTAAAAAGTGCGCATTCAGAACTCTTGGAGACGACTAGCAGCCGTATGAAATTAAAAAAAATATATATAACAGCACTCTCACCAAGAGTTTTGGACAACATAAGCATAAATACATTCGCGAAAAGGAGTCACGCAATTGTTAAAATAGAGGAACATTAATAACACAATAGTGGTTAAATGACTTCATTACAGTAAATGTGAGGAATTAATATAAAACTAATTGCATAACTTGGATTGTACTGGTGTATGATAATATGTAATCATGTGGTTTATTTCATTTCATGCATGTTACGCATGCATACCGTTGCATAACATTCATTATAACACAGAGAGCTATTAAAAATAAAAACAAAATTAGATAAGTAGCAAATCGACCTAAATTGTTTATTAAATATACATTATTGGTATTGTATCTGGAATGTCACACAAATATAAAATACTGATTTGTTAAATAACAAAACTTATCAATAATTATTATACATGAATCACCTGAGGGTGTTGCAAATTGAACAACTCCCCAATAAATATAGTCCCAATAATAACGCTTACTAATAAAACAACCACCGCCCACGAACCATATAGGTAATTAAATATTCATCTTGCAACACCCAATTACATAAACTGCACGCATCTCCGGGTTGCCATAGATAAAATATATTGCACCAATAATTTTCCATCCTAGTTACATTCGTGTCAGTACAATTGGTTACTATTGCGCAAATTCACTTATAAATATGTGTTTATTTATTATAAAATACACAACAGCCAAATCGCCGTCTAGGCTGGTTAGATCAACTAACAAAAAGAACATTATACAGTGAATTATTAAAATCTGGCCTAGGTGCCAAACATTCACCAATTCTTGTTCATGAGTAGTTGTCAAATGAATTACTTTTAAGTAGGTAACGACAATACTACCTTTTAACCACTGACTACATCAACTTATTTAATTATTTATTTAAATAGTATCTATACCACATCTCATTTTTAACTAATGGTAAACTATACCCACGCCTCCAACTAGTCTGTTGTTCTTTTCTAAGTGTTTGCATATTTAAATAGATTTAGATTATTATTAATATTTTCTTCTATTGTCATCAATGGACTGCCAGCAGTCATAATTTATTTGATTAATAACCGTGCCCAATGAATAATGGGAACGCATTTAAAATTACATATCTATATGAGAATTGATGAAATATGATATTAATAAAGTTGTTTTCTAATATTGATTTATAATCTTATCTACCAGAGGCTAGGGCATATGTGTGAGCGTCAGAAGGAAATGTGTCGAGCGCGGAACTCATCACAAGTATTGTTATTAATAGTTGTTACTAAAAATATACAATTTTCACAAATAAAGTCAACACATACCTAAATGTAATATCTCCTATGGAAATGCAAAAAAAAAAACATAATGGGAAACAGCGTCGTTTACATAATTAATCGGAATAAATATTTACAAAATCTTTAATTTGAAATGCACTTTATAGTAATGACGGAACGAATGTTTATTCTATGGCCCGCGCCCGACGATTGCTCGCACACTAGCACGCATGCACGCACACGCACGCACTTTACTCGTTGTCAGCGCGCATACCGCGGACTTCGCCTTCGCGACGTAGTTTCTCCAGTTCCTCCTTGGTGCGATCCTCAATGGCTCGGATGTCGGCCATGGTCATGCCATGCCAGTCGTCCATCGAACAGAATACTTGCCTATAATAAATTAAAATAGTATTCAAGATTTTTTATTATATATTACCAAACCATACCATATTTTGCAAGTTAAAGCTACTCTTTTATTCATTTTAAATTATTATTTACTATACATTATTTATATTATTAAACGGGTCTTAACACGAAAAAATTTTATGGCAAATATAATAATAATGGCCTATGCGTCTATTATAGACGATTTAAGGTATAATGGTCCGTGAACAGCTTTTTTCGTGGCTGTATAAACCGATACGAGAACGGCATGGCCTACCACAGGCCTGACAAGGGAAACTATGGCAAATAAGGCTATAGTAAACACGAAAGTTTAAAAATAAATAATGATTTACTATTTACTAACATAAAAATTCAGGATAATATATAAAATCATACACAGGTAAATATAATAAATTAAGCTTTGAAGAAACCGATACCTGTATATTAAACAGACAAATTACACTATTATATACAGAATAGGAAAATCAGGCAAATACCAAAATATAAGTGAAACAAAACTTGAAAAAGAAATTACGGCTGACAAGACGATAATTATAGTTTAGCCTATAGACATGCAAACCATAAAATGGCTAGTTATATACTCGTACAACGTTACTCACAACACCACATTTATGTATGTAATGTCAGATTGAAATAAATCAATGCCCTTACATACAAAGAAACTACTTGGTAAAAAGCAGGTAGTTTGCTTTATGGAAATTGGACATTGTCAACACATATTCGTAACAATATGAAGAGATATTTAGTAAATAAATAAAATTACAAACACATACCTATGGAAAATGGTGAACAACCGCCGTTCCGACTTCTGGATAACATTTTCTACCTTGCTCTGAAATATAAACATATCTAGTTAAAAAGGTTGCACAACTTCAACATCATAATTGTATAGTCAAACAATTAATAAGTATATTAATAATATTTAATGAATATATTTATTATTTAATGGATAGTCCTTTTCGTTATCCGTGACTTTTGGATCGATCATTCTTGTGTAGGGAATTTTGTATTCAGCCTATCTCTATTCAAATACTAAGTGAACATCAAATTCCATAGCTGTTATTAGGCGTTTTATGGGCGAAAAATATTGAACAGAAGATAATTAGATCATAAAAATGGAGCGACCCTTCTCCTACTGTCTGTGTACATGGGACTCAGACATGTAAGATATAATAGTTATATAAAATTCTGAAGTCAAGCAACACTTAAAAAAAGCGTAAACATACCTGGAGGCCAAACCACTTGAATTCAGCAGTGACCAGTTTGTAGCAGGTCATGACCGGTGTTGCTTCTTTCTTCCAGTTGGCTCCGACCAGGGGACCACGGCCAGTCTTCTTCGACTTGAACTTGGTTGGGTCATTCTCGGCCTTGTAGTCACTTGATGGAAGAGGGTCGTTGGCGATGTCAATGTTCACAACTTCGCGGGCTTTTAGTTTCTCTGGTGGCAATTCATGAACCTGTAAAAAGATTAATTTAATTCGTTTTAATACTAGTTTAGTAGTGTTATTTATGCTAGTTATTTTATGTAATTGTTATAACAAACAAGCTTACGGCCCACCTAATGGTAATCGACAACTGTCGCCTACACACATGGACACCCGTGATACCACTCATGCATTGTGATTCCAGATGACTAACTTGTAAAATTTATACCTCTTATCCATATTATAATTCTACTGCCTAATGACACTTCTTAACTGCTTAGCGTTTGAAATAGATGAGACTGAGATACCCATACAGACGACATTTTACAGTATACCTCTGACGATTTTCATTGAAAGGAATAATTTAGTCATTATAAACATGAAGTACGTTTTCTCAGGTACCATGTAAGTATTGACTGAAAGATAGAAGTAACTAATACTCCAGGGACAAGCTAAACGTAACCTCAGATCACAACTTCAAAATTTGTTGACCAAACACCAATTACATCAGTATTTCAAACGAATTTTCGTTTTTGGGAATGCTATATGTAATAATTAATCCAAGATACAACAGTAGACTCGCCCTCTGCCGGTTTCAAATCTACTTGTCGAAATGTAATTAAATTAATACCAAATAGTGTAATTTTTATAAGGAAGGTGTCAAAGTGTTTACATTTAATTTACTTAGTTGTGTTTATCGTTTACTTAGAATGTTGGAATTACGGAAATTATAATTACCAATAGCTATTTCTTTTGTAATTAGTACTATAGTCAATATTTATCATTATGTTAAAGTCGACTTTGGTAGAACCTTGTGTTGTACAAGTACATAATCGCGTAATTATTAGGTTCAAGATCCACAAGGACACTATGTAGTAATTATTGGTGTGTATGTCTAGATTTGCGATCTAATGTATCGTAATAGTGAATAACTCATAATACAATACTAATATCGAAATAAGTAGACTGGATAAATGACAAAGCAACATTAAATCTACACCAAATCATTTAAACATTTGTTATGTGATAACGAATAGGTTATAGCTAGTGGATGAATACTCAGAATTCTTATGATTCTATGCTATTCAACCTTTCAGAACATTATAGTTCAAAGAAAAATTGTTTCACTGCAACGACATAGCGATTATACATGTATTTAATTATCTCAAGTATTTGTATTAGGTATTTAGACTTGGACCTCAGGACCAGTTATATGTCAATGTTTAAATTCCATCAAGTAATTTATAAGATATGAGTGATTAAATTATATCACTAATTCGATACAATGATAATTACAAAAATATAAACCCCTTGCAGTCGGATTAAAATATTATCACACTAATGCTGTACCTAAATACTCAAAAGAGGTAAAGGTGCTACAATTTTAATTAAAAAAGAATCTCAATATCAACAGTAGTCGATATTTCAATTGAAAATAGAGATGATCTATGCTCTTATTAGAATTTCCATCAGTAATTTTGCCAAAAAATGTCACCATAAAAACTATAAAATGTTGCACTAACTAAGCATGCATCACCTAGAATAAAATATTTTTTGCACGGCATTATTTGCATAGATTATTTTTAAAGATTTTGTCTCCATGTGTTTGTCTGTATCTTTAAAAACATATTTTGTGTAAAACTTTGTAAGCCGTTTTTTAGAACAATTTTTTACAACCTTTAAATCTTTTTTCATCCTATATGTGGCTATTATAAAACAACGTTAATTACTCTGTAAAAGAACAGTTTATAAGCTAACCTGTATAAAAAGAAACAAGTTTCTGCATAGATTTTACAGTAATGTTATCATGTATTTATGTAAACAGAAAATGGAGTACAACTAAATACTTAGATTACCTTAAATTGGTTACCAACCTATCGATTATCTAATCTTTAATTTCAGTACACTATCAATTTTGTTTCGCTTCTATTACATATTACCTAATTATTACTTATGTTCTTGTTGTGGACAATATTACGGAGTGTTATTATGTAATTTCAGCTTATTTTTTCAAACAGAAATCAATGAAAATTTTATTTAAGTAACCGTACAATAACTACCTATTTATTGAAATCATATAACGATTTATTTTATTATTGTTAAAAAAATACTTCTGTAATATTTAGGCAAGTATAAGTACAAGTACTTATACTTGCTAAGTGTGACTTCTTTAATTTTCACATTGTATGAATAAATTAAATTTCATATTAGGTACCAATAAAATTGCCTGCCTTGAAACAAATAGTTTCATTTCATTAATGTCCATTAATATCAGTTCGGTAGAACGTCAAAACAGGCGTACAAACATGTATATGTTCACTACACTCACATATTATAGATAAACATTGGAAGTTTGGAAATAACATTTTCCAAACTTCCAACATTGTGTACAAGTACACTATACGTTATAGTACAACAATACCTATCAATGTTTACCTTTGCTTATCACTATATCATAAGACCAAACTTTATAATGTAAGTATACTTTAGCCCTGACAACATTTTCTTCGCACATAATATTTAGGCATTTGGCGATAATGTTATCGATCGATTACTTTGATAGTGCGATATTTTTTAATTCGTTACTGACATATATTTTTATCTACAACATGCTCTTTTGCACTATAATTAGTATATAAAAACAAATACGTCAAAATAGGATGTGAGTGTAACATAACAGGTATATTTGCTGAAAGCTATCTTTTCATAATCTTTGGATAGCAGTTATGAGTATAGATTATGGAACGGAAACTAAACGCTTGCTATAATATAAATAACATTAGATATATAAAAGTATAATAATAGTAATATAGTAACATTACTATTATTATACTTTATACACAAGCAATAATACGAAATACTAAAAACAAAATTAGGTTTGAATTTTTCAGTAGGTAATCTCAGCCTTCCACGTAAAAACAGCTGTACTGATTACGACGAGTTTAAATAAACAGAATTAAAATATGGACTTGATGTGATAACACTATGATAATTAATCACAGGCCATCGCTATTAAAAAGTTACATTGAAATTTATTTATTATCCACATCTTTTACTTCGGTTACACTACAGTTACTATACACGGAAATCGCCTCACCTACATAGATAACGGTTATCGATATTCTTCAGTTGTTAATTTTATTATAACAGCTAGTTAGTAACTATGACCCGACTTCGTCTATGATTTAATGATAATTAACTCTACGAGACATATATAATATGCTGCAATCTGGTATTAGCACGCATCGTCGAAAAAAATCTTTGCATCTAAATATACACATATAAAAAAAAAATTCGCTTTATTTGTGTTATATTAAGTAAGACTACAGAATTGTTACTTAGTTGTCCATGAATCCCAAGAAGTGCCAAGCAAGATTGACCTGTTTTATTATAATTTTACACTGATACCAAAACTGTTCAACAGTTCAATTGTACAAATTAATTTAATTACATTTATTTTTTTAATTTTTCAAACTATATTGCAATTTAAAAAAAACATAAAGTAAAACAGAACATACATAGTATGTAGGTACAAAAGGTGGTCTTATCGCTCAAGCGATCTTAACATAGGGAATAGTATGTAAAATGGTTAATTTTAAACAAGAATATTTGGTAAATATACTACACCAGCCCAATTGACATTGATTTACTATTTAAATTACTCAATATTATCATATTACCACAATATTATAATATTTCGGCATCGACCTACATTTCCGCACCAACATCATAATCCGCTTAAGAAATTTCATTTAGCATACTAATAATAAATATTAATGCCACTCTCGGCTTGTTATTAAATAAAGGTTATGAATAGCATAATTAAAATTATTTGTAGGTATTAAACGGTACGGCTACGGTACGGCTTTCATACATTTGTGACGGGATGGATATCCTTGATGTTTTTATGAATTTCTATACACATAGTTATAAATGGTATACCGTCACAGTATTCATAAACCTGAACAACATTCTCCTAAATACTGAAATAACGTTTGAAATCTTAATGCAAACTGCGCGATCACTTTCGTATGAAATACTCAAAATGTAGTTTCAGATATCCACTTTATTGCTTGGTTGAAAGTGGTTTAATTTAATGAGTACTCAACCTGTTGCCATAAGATTATAACTATGACAAACAAGAACAATTCGACTACAGACAAGTATGACAAATAAAATTGACTGATATATTAAAAAATATATTTTAAGACAAAACTTCGCTTTGATTCGAAGACATGCTATACGGTCCCGACGAACGTTAGACCGTTTGTATATTTTCATTAATTTTTATCCCACAGTCTTGAATACATTGGGAAATTCAAAACAGATTAATATACTGAAGCCGATCCATGCCATGAGGTCATGCCAATAGTTAATTTTAGTTAAAATCGATTGGTTGTAATAAAAGACTAATAAAATATTAACCACCTTATTTGTAGTTATACTTATTTAATATTATTTTACTGAAACTTAATTATTAATTTTCTAACTTGAAAAAGAAAGTGACAATGTCATACTTAATATGGATTTGTATGAGATTTTAGTTATTATAGATATAATGGAGCTCATTAATTATTAAAGCAAAAAAGATAATGAGATATAATAATAATATTTTACTGCTTAGATACCCACATATTTACAACATAAAAAGTATAAATAATAAAACTTACATTTTGCTGATCACCGCTGTCTGGTAAGTGTAGGGACTCTATGCAAATAACAAAGTTCTCCTTCATGTAACCCGGGTTCTGTAATCAATTATTACAATTTATTACTACATATTAATAATAAATAAAAAACTATTCTGGGGGACTATAATATCAGGCAATGAGGATGCATGGCACCCGCAATCATGAGATCAATTTAGTTCTGGCCAAAAATTTGCGAAGTTTTGCTAGGTACCTACGATCTGAATTTTACGCCCGGGCTTAGAAAACAAAGATGGCCCCAAATTTTCAGCCTTTTATGTTATGATTATAGTATTTAGTTTTTTAGAGCCGGTATTTGTTGCTATCTGTTTATACAGTTAAAATTTTCTAGGAACGAAAGGCATTCCTATAACAAAGCATCACTGCCGTATTTCGCTCTAAAGCGCGCGGTTTGTATAAAAGGTTCAAAGACTATCGCTTCATCAATTTAATTACATACTACCGTTTGCAAATTCAATTTGATGTTGACGTTATGACATTATTACTAGATAAATCAGGACGTGTGAATTTAAATATGAGATGATAAACATGACAATTCTTCTCTGTTAAGTTTATATATAGGATTTAGGGGGCCTGCATCATATCAAATAAAGTAATTACCGCCGTCCATGAGCTTCGATCCATAACACCAGTGGAATTGCAAGTGATTATTTTTTTAATGTTTCCATTTAGTATCGGTTCGATACCATACCAGATGTGTTCCATTTTCCAAGTTCTATATAAAATTTAATTACTTTCTTAGGATCTATTAGAATACTAACCGTGAGTACAGTCCGGCAGTATGGGTACGCGTTCCACGCCTCCTCATGGACCTCCAGTGATCCTTTTGGTGCCAATAACCGAATGAATGCTGGCACTTTCGATGCAAGATGGTAAATCTTGTAGGTGTATTGACCCGATGAATATTTGCCACCTACGAACATAGTTTTAATATTAACTTGATGATCCGGTGAATTTCGTATAATCTACAGTAAACCTACATATAATTATCAAATTCACTCAAATTTGAATGGATCTCCGCCCCCTTCATGTAATGCAAAATAAAATAAATTAAAGAGAAGGCTCTTTAATTTATTTTATTTTATTGCACCCGATTCTACCTTGGTCTTATGAAAGTTAAAGTACGGAAAAACGCCTTTCCAGGAAATTGTATCCAATTATTGATAAAACAATATACCATAAATAATTCAAATTACAAATTATATCTAGATTCTATTGAAGCAAGTCTCAAAATATAAAAGAACTATTTGTCGTATACGGCAACCTTATATCTTTGTAAACTAACTCTCAGATGATATAACATTTGATTCTATATCATTAGAAGTTAGCAGACTTTATGCTTGTGTTATAGCTTGGGACTAGATAACACTGTGTGTATTATCCAGGGTTAATATAGTTTATATATATATACATATATAACTGTTTATATATGTCGTGATTATGTTAGTCATGAATAAAATAATTATGTAGCCTAGATTTGTTTTAACAACGAAAACAACGTAAGTCATCGTTAGATATTTAAAAATTTTGAAAAACCAAACACCAACCAATTTTAAGTAATTTTGTTTTTGAGGTTAATTATTGTGAGGACAGATAATAAAAAAACTATCTCATGTATCGCCTTAACTAAAATATTCCATGATGATAATTTTAATGCAACAAATTTTCAACAGCACTACAAAAGTAAAAATAGATTAACAACGATAAAATAATACCTACTCTACCTTATCGACATATCTTAAGCCGATTTAATGTACTAAATATGACTGATTGTTATTTACAAGAAAACAAATTACAGTACGTTACATAACATTTTTTTAAAACATCTATTTTCTATCTCGCTATTATTATGGCAAACATACAGAGGAGCACTTTGTACAAAGTTCGATATCTTTGCTACTTACATTAGATATGTGGCGTATCGATATATCATCCCTTACAGGTATATATTCTGCGTTTTATTGTTCATTTTTTATATTTTAGGACCGACAACAATTATTCTCAGCGCTATCTATGGATGACTGGTGGGAAATAATGCATAGTGTTAAGTCCGGGAAATGTACTAATATATTTTGTATTGTATGCATTACAGTTAAATAGATATGTTTCGGATTGAAAAATGAGAAAAGTGTAGTCTTTAATAATCCAGTCATTCTCAACAATATTCGTTAAGATCCCACCATATATTACCAATGTAATATATGGTGGGAATGGAATGTTGTGGTATTGAAAAAAATGGAGCGTTTTTAGCGCTTTGAAAAAAAAAATATTGAAGCATTGTTACTATTAACAGTAAAGCAATTTTTGAGCAAAGTAGTAAAATAAATAATGAACGGATTTCCGAAAAAAGGAAGCAAATTTTCATTATACCTAAATGATGTTTTGACGCCAAATCTCTACAATTAAACCAGTTAAAAAAATGAGAATATATCGATTCACAATTTGCATAATAAGAAAACATAATTATGCATTCAAATAAAATCATTTTCGTCATAGATGTTCAAATGCTAAATTAATCTTTTCTATGTTACTACGTGATCATAGCGGACGAGTAAGATCGTAAGAAATCACAATAATCACATTAAGCCATTAACAACACCTTCGCGATTTCACACTATTATGTTTACTCCAATAAAGTAGATATTTAATACTAATGTTACTTTTATTTGCGAAACGCTCAATTGAACTAGACACACTCAACGCAACGACCGTTGCTGAAATCTGGAAACTAAGGTGAACTAACAATGGACTATTTTTAGAATATTTTAATAGCGGAAAGACGGTGGGACCTTTGTATAATACTTTTCCCAGCGTTTTTCAGTATTTTCTCTATCGATTTTTGTTTCCAATTATACATTATGGAATACACACGCACACAAGTTCTAATGGTCAATTTACAACAATGACAGATTTCGAACTAAATTGGTTTGGTTACAAACAAGACGGCGCTGTGCGACGATCATTTAATTTTTTTGTTATTGTAATTTTCATCCCACAAATGAATTTTATTTTCCTACTGTATTAGGATGCTTGTATATGATTTACTTGTACTTTTTTAATACATAAACGTTAAAATTAAATTTGATAAATGTAGTAGTAATATGGGATTTTATCCTAGTTTCAACTTTCTAGTTTTACCTGTGAATAGTAAACTTATATAGTAATGAATTACTACAAAATTATAAATAACTAAACATTAATAAAACTAGTGCATGTGTACGAGTATACTCTCTACGATTAGGTTAGCGTTATCAAGGAAGATATTAAACCAATTTTTTTATGTCACATTTCAAATACAGATCTGATCACACACTACATAACAGATATATTATATCATTGTGTCAAAGTGCTATAATGTAGCTATATGTGAAAAATTAAAGCATATTTGTATCGCTGACACCTAGACAAACATTACAACAACTGAGCAAACTAAGAAATGACGTCATCTCTACAGTGAGCATCGAGTGCCGTCCGAAAGAGAAGACAACGTTGCAAATTTGTGTTCTGTCAAATTGTGTTTATTTTATTATTATTAATATAGACACATAATATGAATGTATGAATGCAAAGTCCGCTTTTCACGACTAAACGGTTAAACGGATATGGCATTTGAAGTAATGATACATTGTATAAAGAGGATGCCTTTTATCTTAAAAAAAAAGCAGACGAAGCCGTTGGTAATAGATGATCTATTTTTTTATTAATTTATATACTCACGACTGTTAATGTTATTTGTGCTATCAGAGACATTGCAATCTATTAAAATGTGCTCTACAATTATTATACTACTTGTTTATTTTATTATTATAGCAAGGACATAATACTTTTGTTATCTCTGTTACTTTATATATTTATTTGTTGATTTATATAAGTCTATCTTCTATTTATTTAGTATTTAATATTTTTCTATATCGTTAACTCACAGTGTGCGACTAAAAATGTTGATCATTTTCGCTAACTCGATATAGAATAATAATTCTGCAAAATAGCTTCACATACACACAAATTAATAATAACTAAATATTTACTAGAAACTATTATGTTTATACGACTGTCGAATACTAATAATAATATAATCAATGAAATAGAATTTCAATAATAATATTGAGTAAAATAGCAAACAAAACTACTTATTATTCAGGAAATTATTTCTTGTACATAAAAATGCTAATTGCTGTATTGGAAATTACCATTGTATTGACAATTTAACTACGTAAATAATCAATTAGCTATTTTGTATTTTATATTAACTATATTGTTCTTAGATTCGATAATTCTTATAAACCTAACACGTCTCTATTGTATTGTTATAAAGAACCACATAGGGCTGTCACCGGTCGTACATGTCGACGTATCGACACAACAAGCCTCCGTTTCAAATTGAGTAACTTGAAATCATATTCACATTAGCAATATCCTGCATACAAATCACCTGAGTTCGAATCAATTTAGTACGTACAATCATTTAACAATGTATTCGTTTGTTTTATAATTGTTATAACGAATAGTTCATTTGCGAGCGAACAAAAGATCTTTTAGATTGCAATCTCTGTACGATTCAAATGGGTGACTAAAGTAATCGTCCGTTCCGCTTTGGTCGAAACATCTCTACTTTCAGTTTGCGCTTTTCTAACCCGCTGTCCTTCATCCCCAACCAGACCAAAAATATAACCTCATGTATCAAGTTTATTTACAAAAAAATAAATATACTAACTACAGAAGCATAACATTGTACTCTGGTAATAGAATAGTGCTCATCATGTCAATCATGTGTATTAGGAACTGTAGGGACTTCTTAGCATACTGATGATTAAACCAGTGATACGATAGCGAATCGATCCTTATTACAAGTATGAAATAGAAAGAGACAGCAACCTTCGATTTTTCATTCTTTTTATTAATGTATAGTCATTCAATCGTTATCATATCAATATATTTCGCTTGTCACACTTGTCTCAGTTAGATATTTGATTTACTCACAAGTGTATATTTTTTTAACATTTTTTTATTTGACAATAAAAAAATATAAGTACTGTACCACAGAGCGACAAAGCTTCACTCAGCAACCATATAGCGCTATTTATATGTTTAAAAATATTGTACAAACTTAATCAAAAATATCTAAGTATTTTCTTTATTTTCCTATTTTATTATTGGATATTCTCATGACCATATTTGCATAACTGCAATTGATGGTCAGTATATTTGTATATTTTTGACTATTTCGAATCAAATACAACGGAACCGACCGGTGTCTCGCGAATTAATTTGGTTTGATAAGCGCCTAATGATCGATGTTTTAAAAGATAAAAGTAGATACTTTATTGTTCAAAAACACGTACCGCGGCGATTTAGGGAAGTGACGTGTTTACTGTTTACAAAATGATCGTGTGATTATGGAATGTGAACATTAAAAACCGTAGAGCTCTAAGTACATACCTACAAAAGATAAATAAATAATACTATTATCGCCTGTAAAATCGTACTTATACACATCTATTTATACTTTACGATCTATATAAATTTAATATTCTGTTTATACTTTTTATTAAATTATAATACTAAAAACTGTTACTATAGGTTAATAAAAATATTGATTGTACCCGAATCTGAGCATGCCGAACATACACCACAGCTATCAGTAGCATTTATAGTACTTTTAGATGTGGTCGCCTTTTTACCTTTTCCAATAAAAAACAAATTAATATATAAAGGAATGGGAATAATATTTAATCAACTAAACTTATTATAAGCACTTTTGTATTGTCGTATACTTTGATTCTACCACTAATCCGGAACGCAGACTCATAACAAGAAGAATGAGGAAAAAACTTGCGTGTTGCTCTTTTAAATAAGCGTGGTTCAGCGTTACATTTTGTGTGAACACAAACTGTCAAATAGTAAGAGTAGAGAATAGTAAGTAAACGAATAAATACTTTAATAAAAAAAAATCTGTCAGTTATTAGAGTAAATCAGTCTCTACACGCAGTACCTGTTCACGAGTATAAGGGATGTGGTCAATAAGCTAAAAACAAAGTTTACAGATAATATTCCGGTGTCTATCAAAAATTTGCAGAAGCACTGACAATATTGGTCAAGTAAGAAATCTAATCACAAAACATATATTTGAAATGTTTCCTTGTGTACGATCTGAGCTCACAGAGTTGTACTTATAAACTATATCTTGGCTAGCAATGTATTATGTCAGATCCACTACCACGCTATCCGCAGTGATTAAATCTTGTTGCGGTGCAAGGGATGAAAACAATATTCGCGTGTTTGAAGTGAATTCGTTTCGTGAGTAAAAGAATAGAGAACTACATATGTATGTACAACGTCTAATCTTGAGAACTAGTTCACACTGAAAACAATAACATTCCACAGACTTAAACGGCATCAATTGTATTGTTGGTAGATCATTTATATACGGTTATAACAATGATCATTGGCTGAAAGGTTTCTCTCTGTATATAATACCATAAAGAACGTATTCAGAAACTTCTCCATCCTTTTTAGATTTCATATTTTTGGTGGAATATTTATGTTCCTGGTTCTATGAAGTTTTAATTTGCTACAAGAGCACTTTTAAATAAAAATAATAATTCGAGGGCTCTTAATTAAGCAATTAACACTTCCTAAGGTAAGTAATTAAATTTTTGGTTTGGACTATCAAATGCAAGTGATGATAGTTGCTTAAGCACGAGATTTTAGCTTGGTAAATATCTATAATATATTACTATCTGGCTCATTAGAAAGGCTCCTCGATGGAATTTCTAATAAGACATATAAGGTTGAAAAAGTTGTAATAAAAACTTACGAGTGTAAGTGGCTATAGTAATTTAATTATATTTAAAAAAGTGGCTAACTTAATCTGTGCAAATGTCTGTGTTTTAAACTATATGACTTTGTCTGAAATAAATATCTGTGATTTCTTTAATGCTTAATTCCATTCCGAAATATATGAAATTTGATTACAATAGCTTTTAATTTCTTTTTATTTTTCTTTTCTTCGTTCTAACAATTGAACCTTCAGTTTCACGTCAAAAATACCTTAAATTGTCTTGAAAATATTCTTACAGAAAAGTTTGTAACGGTTACTTTTACATAGGTGTTTTGTGCCAAATAATCAAATGACTTCACATCAATCATGACTCATTTCATATTTGTACCATACCTATTTTTAGGTACTATGTAATCACCATAGTACGCGTATAGTTCTTAAAATTACTCGAACAATTTTAATGAAATCTCAAATAACATTCTTCTATAATCATGGGTGTGCATAGGCAATGAAGAATTATTTGTAACTATGAACTTCATGCGTCCTAAGAAATCATTCGAAATTTATTGTACCAATAAAGGAAGTTTCCGCAAAGGTTAAAATTCTCCTTTCTGTTAGCTACTTGCACGTGTCCATCCAAGATAAAATTTCTTATTATTACGCTATTACTTTAAAGAATGTAAGCATATAGGTATTGTGAGAGAGACCAAGTTTTACCTATCTTGTGTAGACTTAGATTTTGATATTAGGGCAGAGCGGGCAGACAAAACCACTACGGGCGACACAAAATAAAGTGATGTCCGTCCGGTCGATGTTATTCAATTTTTTTTCGGAGTACTCTAATGCTGTTGGCCGCAGCTGGCCTTTACAGCATTACCGAACGATAGGGGGCGAGTGCAGAGTGCACTCCAAACCCGCGGAAGGACTTACGGAGCGGCTGAAAGCCAACTCCCGCCTGACGGATACATCTTTAGTCTGAGGGCACCGCTAGGGGTTCGAACCTTGGGTCAGCCGTCGTAATTTCGATGCCCGTTTGAATTGGACGTTGGATTGATCGGAGTTGAATTGGTCAAATAAATAAAACGGCTGGGCTCGCAGTAGTGAAGCGTTCAAAGGAAGATTCTGTTAAAGAGTTAGGCTTCGCTGTTGTAGATAGTACATCAAATTAGAACATTAAATTTATAAGTTAATGAAACAACTACGTCTGTAAATACAAAATAAAATTAGTAAGAGAAAAAATCCAAACTGGTGAAAGCATGACGAAGCATTTTATTTATAAAAAGACGTAAAACTACCTAAAGGTCCACGGTAACAATATAAAACCCTTCTCCGGTAGAATGAATTGTATAGTATAATATTAAGTAGTAAAGTGTAGTCTTATCTGCGGTGAGGAAATAAAGTCAACGAAAATATATGCTGTCAGTTCATTAAGGAGTATGAATGAATAAGCTACCATGGTTTCTTTTTTAATTAAGAATCAATAAAATTTATTATTTATTTCCTTAGATTGGCTAATGCAATCTGGTTGATAGATTATCCAGACATTTTCTTTACCAGACTTAAAACCTATTGGTTTTTCCATCGTTCCATTAAATCAGTGCGATTAATGCTATTGTCCTAATGATATATTATTTTCATGTACAGATACACAATTAGCTAATAAAATATAATTGAATAAACTTACCGAGCAGTGGGTAGTCTTTGAAGGGTTCGTTTTTAATGACTTCAATGCCTTCGCCACCACCCGTTTCATTTTTAGATACCTCTGCCACGCAGTACAACTGCGCCACTTGATACTGTTGATAGATAAATTAATTTTAGACATTGTTATTATTATATATAAAATTTATATTATATATAATATAATAGAGTTATAAATAAATATGTTACTACAATGATTCTTGAATCCCGTACACGACAGGAAATCTCAGTAAAGAGATTTCTAATTCATAAAGGTAGAAATGTAGTGTTGTTAAAACCTTTCAGCACGCCAGTATAGTTACATTAATTTCATTTTCAATATTAACATTAAATTTTAATACATACGCTTTATTAACTGTCACTGGTTTTTAAATTTTGGTCATAAATTGTAAAGTGTACATAAAAATATAAATACTTCGTCCTTGTTGTGCGTCACAATGCTATGTAATAACTTTATTACCATTTAATTACTTATTTAATAAAAATGTTACAATAATTAATAAAATTATTGTTATTTTTATAACTATTTGAAACCTTAATTGTATCGCTTTAATTAATGGATTTCTGTGAAATTTAAAAATAATAGATCATTTTCTAATAGTAATCGTGCAGTTGAAAAAGGATCTGGCTAAGTGTAATCCGAACAACAGAATATTATATTATATTTACTTGACAAAATACCGAGGCTCGTAACATCATAACAATAAATTTAAGAAATCGCGATACAAATAGTGTATTGTTAAACTTTGCAACCTAAATTTAATTCCAAATCACATGACACACAGTTTGTCTAGTCAGTAGTTAAGAATCTAACAGTGAAATATAATTATGTTAATTTTTACAGTACGTAGTTGAATCATGCTTTATACGTGGTTAATACAGATACTACGGACTTCATTTAACCACTATTTCTTTACTATATATCAGATTTGAAATATGCAAATGACTGAATTACTACGTACTGAATTACTTATATGTACAATTACCTATTTGTATTCGACGATTTAGACTAAACAGATAACATAGGGTATGGAAGTATAATATATTATAATATAAACATACAATAATTTAAGTAATATTAATCATTATAATCAGTTACATTAAAAATTTTATATGTAACTATATATAATTATGTTCCTCCTTAGACTAGGCTTCATTAGATTAGAATTAATGTGGCCCGCAACCAAGGCTACGTACATTTTGTGGAGGAGATAGACCAAATTCTATGACAGTAAGGTTATATAAGTTCAAACTAAAGTTCGTAAATAAAAAATATCAATCATAGAGACACCGATTTGATATATGTGCCTTCGGTCTCAGAATCTAAGATGCATTTTCTAACCTTTAAGAGTGTATAGGGAACGTCTTATGGGTCATAATGGAATGGTGCCACCTGCGCTAACGCTTTACGCTGGCGTGGCACCAGTGGAAGATGATGAGATGAGCATGAGGTCAGGTGAGGTCACTGTGGTTTCCAGGGGCAAACGGGTGGAGGTCAATCTGACATGGTCCATTGCTAGCAATGAGGTCATCAGTCCATATTACTAACAATCTCCTTCCCCCAACAGATAGGAAATGTCAGTAATGGGGACACCCATTACTAGCAAGGTACCATGTCGACGGAGAATTTCTGGTGAATTTATAATTGATACAAGCTAATGCTCATTTCATCAATCTCCATTGGTGACCGGCAGCATATACGATCGGCGCATGCGAGTGAACCATTTCATTATTATCCATTATAGTCATAGCCTTGTTCAATACTCTATGCAAATCGTTTATGATGGGATCAATGGGTCTGACTGGATGTGACTGAGTCCAAATAATGAATAAAGTTAAGATTTAGTAAAGATAAAAGTTTGTTATGCAATATCAATAGTTTTTGGCAAAGAATCTTAACTACTTTAATAAAGAGTTGGGCATCTAAGGCAAATTATCGGATAGGGCTTTCCTGTATCTAAAAAAGCCTTTTATTTATTACATAAAAAATAAAATAACCCTTTTTATTATGTTATTTACAAGATATTCTAGTTAGAACAGAGATTAATTTGCCAGTATAACCTATGCATGCATGATGATGATGCTGTAGTAATGTCTGATCAACACTTCAGTATAACACAATTTGTTAAGGCTGTGATAAAACTGTCATTCAGTATTTTTTTTAATATCATATTATAATTTTCTATTAGTAAAAATAAGGGATATTGATTAACTTTGAAATGGAGATGTAGGATAATCCATTGTGTATGTTATCTATAATACATTTATTATGGTAACAAATGTTTCAACTAGATTATAATTAATATCTAAAGCTGTTATCAGGAGATGATAAAAATACCTATACACATAATGCTTACAAAGCAAAAATTGTACTTTAAATGTTATTAGTATAACAGTTATATAGTTCATATTGAAACTGAAACAATAAAAATAATTTTGCAATCTTTTTTCATATGTATATCCCACATACACAATCACTACAGACTCCTATTGGCTGAAATTATATCAATGAAGATGAATATCACAGTATATATACATTATGTGAGTCAAAGTGTACACAACAGAAACATTTAAATATTGGAAGTACATCCCAAAGGTGGTTAAATTCTTTTCTTTTACAAAGCTATGTATTATATTATAGACATGAGTCAACTGAAAATTAGATGGCTTAAAAAATACTAGTTAACCCATACAAAGGTTAGCTTTTATTACATATGTTATAATAAAAAAATTGTCAATAGTACATGAATATAAATTATGATCATGAATAAAAAGTAAAAGAATACAATACAGAATATTATAAATATAAACTGTAAAGTATATTATTTATGAAATTCAGTAGGAGGTTAATAAGTATATTAACCTCCTACTATATATAATTAAGTAAGTTTATTATTAACAGCTATTAACTGGCCACTGTGACAGTGGCCAGTTAACTGTGACAATGTCAAAAATTATATTCAAATTATATATAATTTTTTTTTGTCATTCACCCCAATTTTAGGTTATTTTGCCAATAACAAAACGGGGAAATGTCATTAATTTATACCAAGCATATAATTATATATAATATAATAAAAGAAAGCCTGTCAGATATACGTTCTTCAGAAAAAAAATCTAGGATTTATCTCTATGGTACAATGCTATAATGGTATGTAAAATAATTAAGTTATAGAGGAGTACATCTGTAACCATAAAATAGACATAAAATAATAATGTGTTGAAAACGTGATTCGGGGTTTTTTTAATTCATAGATGGACTGTCAATAAATATGTAAACAATATACTTGTAATTTTATAACTCACCTCTTCTACCGTAAGAGGCATCGTAACACGACTGAAAACAAGGAAAAATAATATAAGTATATTAAAATTTCAAACATATGCTGGTAATCATCACAAAATACATCTCTAAAGATCATTAAGTGGTCATGAAATGATCAGCCAGCTAATCCAAAACCTTGACCTGGAGACCTGTCAGTGTCAAGTATTCCTTTTAATTCAATCAACACCTTGCTAAAATAAAAAAATATTAAAAGACATTAATTTAGAACTCGACAAGTACACTACAATATGTAGCAGATAGGTGGAATTTTATAAAAATCTATGACATTTTGGGATAGATCTGGCAAAAATCGATGTACATTCGCAACTTAATATAACCTTAGCAAAAATACTTACAATTCTTTGATAAGCATTTTGTATTAATTTGATTACACTTTATATGCACATCAGACAGTTCACTAGCACTGTATTATTAGACTTATCACAGAAGAAGATTTGAGCTATGGCCCGATATATATTGGCAGATAATTATAATTTTTATCTATGATTGTGATCGGCCAATGAAAATGACAAGGCGCATGCTCGTTTCATGACGCAACGGATATTACGTCAACATTCAAAGACACGTTCGTATTTCTTTAATTTTCTTTCTAATAACGTTTACTAAATTATTTTTAATCAATTAATAGCCATATGTTTGTACATAAAAAGAGAAAATAAATTATAAATAAATAACGATTGCGAGATTACTAGAATAAGGACGGTTTCCTATTGATCTCGTTCCTAAATAGAATGCCAATAATAAGAAAGAAGAAAGAAAGAAGAAGAATCAAAATAGGAATAATCTGAACTATATTCTTTATAAAGAAACGTGATATATTATGAAATGAGAACATACCTAATTTAAAGTTACAGATTAAAGGTTTATTTAAAATTTATTATGTCAATTGTTTTCAATTACTTCTTCTTTTCGAAGAACTTTCTTTACAAAATTGTCCTTGCGCGACATCTATCTATATACATATATAACGCTACCAATACCAAAGGTTATGAGCAAATAACAAACATACATAACATAATAGTACATAGGGCTCTGAATTAGAGAAAGATTTCATCATCGCCTGCCATTAGCAGGCAACAAATAAGTCAAATGACCCAGTTCCTCGGGAGTAGTTGGCTCTGATGGCTATGCCGGGCCAAAAGGGTTCGCCACGAGGGCCGAACCTGCACCCTCCTTGGAAGGTGCGAACTACTGCAGACTATCCTATGCAAATCCTGTGTTACAGTAATCCGCACATTCCGGGGATCAGTTTTATTGTTTTGAACCGGAACCTTAAAAAATATCTTTATCTTTCAGTGACATTGACAATTCTTATGACTTTTGGCTATGACATTGCTGCATTAACTTTGTCAATTTTTAATTTATGCTAGTCTTGTAGTTAACTTAATTATTCTACAAATTTTTAAATCTTATGTATTATTTTCACATAACTAGTATCTGAATATTAGTTAATTAATAAAAATGATTTGATATACTCTTAGTTCTGATTCTTGATCATTCGTGCCTCTAAATTTGAGATTTCACTATACATTTCGTCGTCGTAATTATCGATTTAAAAATGAGTTTGGTGGGGAAAAAATGCGAATCAATATCTTTACTGGAATCTAATAAAGACGAAACAATCCAAAGTGATATAACGCCAGAAGATGTTTTGAGATTGGACAGGATTACCGATACATATCTGTGCAGTCCCGAAGCGAATGTATACGACATAGATTTTACAAGATTCAAAATAAGAGACTTGGAGACTGGGACTGTTTTGTTTGAGATAGCGAAGCCGCCCACCGATTTTGGTGTGGACAACGAGGGTGCGGAGGATACACTAGAAGAACCACTTGACCCAAATGCAGGCAGATTTGTCAGATACCAGTTTACTTCACAATTTTTAAAATTAAAAACTGTAGGAGCTACGTAAGTCATTAATAATGTTTAACAATAATGCATGAGTTGAAAAATAGAAATAGTCATAAAAAAGTTTATACACACACATTATTTTCATTGCTATCTTTCTTTATAGTACTGTAAGTAGTATAACTGAAAATTAGAAGAGGACTACTTCTCAATTTACAGATACTTTTGGGCATGTATTTGTAATATATTATGTATTATTAGCTAGTTCTCTATATACAGGTCCTTATAAACACTTAACAATAAATGTGTATAATTCTGTAATAACTAATAGAATTATATTTAGATTATTTAAAAAATTGGTTGAGCAGCGATTTTATTTGTTTGGGTTTTTACTTTTGTTCCAAACATAATAGGGAATTACGTATCAAAGAATATAGATTAAAACTTAAGTATAAATTGATACTTGACTTGCCTGGAGTAAGGTATTTAGATATTTTTCTTTTAAATTTAAGTTTAGCCTGCCGAAAAATTCGTGTGTAGCTTTTTAAAGTCATAATAATATATTTGATATTCTTGTATGAATTTTTAACATCTATTACATTAACAACTAGTTCCAAGATTATTTACATTAGTTATGTAAATAATCAGTAATCTTAAATGATAAGAATAATATATAATATAAAAGTAGACAATTGTTGCTAACATTATTCAGAAATAGTTTTTTTTATTAATACCTGTTTAATAACACCTGGTTTTTTTTTTTTATAGAGTGGAGTTTACAGTGGGAGCACGTCCTGTAAATCACTTCAGAATGATAGAGAAACATTTCTTCAGAGATACTTTGCTCAAAACATTTGACTTTGAGTTTGGTTTCTGTATTCCTTTTTCGAGGAATACTTGTGAACACATATATGAGTTTCCAGCACTGCCACCAGACCTTGGTAAGATATGATATAATCAATCAATCAATACATATGAACTTTGCAATATGTGTAGCTTGCAAAAAATATGAGACCTTCCAAAACATTTTCAGTTCTTGATCCAAACTTCTGTGCAGTGGTAAAGTTACATGTAAAAATGTAACTATTCAATCTCTACAAAACTGTTAGGTAGTATAGAAATAATAGAAGAAAATTAATTACTGTTACATTTTATGAGTTTGTCTGTGTGTCTGTTAATCTCAGATACTAATTAGGATGCAGTTTTTAATCTAATACATTGTGATAAACTTCACTTAAAATTCAAAGTTTGTTTTATTTTTTTATATACAATTTGTTTACAAATAAAAAACATAAATGACGTTGTGGGCTAAGGAAGTTTCTAATATTTATTTTAATATATACTTTCAGTTGAAGATATGATTACAGCACCATTTGAGACATGCTCCGATAGCTTCTATTTTGTGGACAATCACCTTGTGATGCATAACAAAGCAGATTATGCTTACAATGGAGGAATCAACAATTAATGAAAACACTTCGGGATATGGCCTTAAATCATATTTTAAATCTACATTGGCACAGAATAATTATGTAGTTAACATTTTTCCAAATATATATTTTAAGATGCCGGCACTACAAACAAATTATGAAGAATAGTCTCAATTTTCAATTATAGATATACATGTAGATGTCCTATATCTATACTTTTTAATAATAAATAGATTAGTTGATCAAATAACTCATTATATGAGGGACAATCATCTCCTAAATTATGCCATACAAGAGGTTGGGAAGGAATCTACAAAGTGGGACACTGGGACAAACGGTCAGCAGAGTAATTAATTCTATGATGTTACATTGCAAAAGTTCAACTAATCGATTAATTTAAAAGTGAATATAGTGTTTCGAAACTTTTTATGAAAATTTATAATATTATATAATTTGATGTAGCTATATTTGTAATTTATGACACTAATATAAACACTTAGTCTAAACTAAGACAATATCATATTTGGTCCTTAAAATAATATAAATATTTAAAAATATTGTAATATTCCTTGCTATCACTGTTCATGTTGAGCAGTCTAAATCGATTACCTGGCCAAATGTAGGTATTTGGTAAAGAAATATATACAGAAACTACAACCTGACAACGTGATCACATTGAATAGTTAAAAACATTAGATCTCCATAATCACATATGTTTCAATATAACATGTATACAATATATTGTTAAAGTTTATGTTAGAGTTGTAGTGCCGGAATTTAATTTATGTAGAAATGGTCAAATACATTCCATTATGTGATATTTATTTTAATGTAATTTATAATTTAACTTGATTTAAATTATTATGGGGCTACTGAGAATTTGCGTTTAAATCAGGAATATAAAACATAAGTAATTATAAAGATTTCAACCAAAGAGACAACATGATGAAAATATAATACATTTTTAAAAGAGGTATATTTTCTTAAGAATCAATCATGTATAAATTGGTTTATTAATTTTATTTTGATTTATTATCTATCACAAATTATTGTTATATATAAATACTATTTCGTTTAAGCAGATGACTGCGATGCCACTTGTATGAATCGGCTAGTCCATGATACAACTTGACTGGACTGACAATAAAAACATGTATATTAGTCCTGACAAATTGACCAAATAAATTACATTCAAAATTAACTCTGTTAATGTGTGACGCTAACTAAACGATGAATTTATAATTATGATATGAACACATTATATAAATTTTGTCTGTGGTATACTCTAAGCTATGGCGTTAGGATGTATTTATTTACATAAGTTTTCGTACTATGTCCTATTATTTTCTTCCGACCTTTTTGAACTATGAAGTACTTTATCTTGGTACTATATATATATCTATAATATGTAACAATATCAAATAATTTTTGTGTACACTGAAATAATTGGTATCCCTTGGAGGCCGGTTTATTCAATTTTGTGTGTTACATACACATAGTTGACACTTAGGCACGGATTAAAATAATGTTCACAATTTATTATGTATGTTTGGTGTGAGACACTATTTGTATTGTGCATAGTATATGTGGGTGCTCTTCACTATAAATTCTAGTCACTTGTTAAATTTACTTCTACTCTTTAGTTGAAATAATTTAATTCATTGGATAGAATGGATTAATATTGCAAATTACAGGGAGCGGGGATAAATGCATAGAAAAAGGGTAGTAGGGTAGGTATAAGTACTGGAAAGTATAAAATGATCTTTTCTATAATTAACTACTAGACATTTTTGTAATGAAATTCTAAATATTGTTCTGGAATATAATTACATTATGTTAAATCCTTTTCTCTGTGTTTGTAGATATTTAGAAATAATACAAGTTTGAGATTTATTAAAGTAATAATAATAATAAACGTGTCGGTATTGTACATTTATGTACCTACTTTTTAATAATCATTTGGACCTTTGGCACAGGTTATTTATTATCTATCTGCTAATACAAGGAAAAATATGATCAACGTAAATAGATAACACAGATTAAAATAAATAGGTATTTATTTACTAAGTAATGTACTTACAATCATAATCAATTTTTTTCCTGATTAATAATCTTTATCGTTAATGTTTTTATAAACAATTGTACTTTTACAATCTGTATTTTTATACTTGGAGTATTTACTGTAAATAATATTGACATGTCTATTTATTATTTTAAAATTATAATTAAATATTTAAAATAAAAAGGCAGAAAGAAGTAACTAAATATACAATAATACATAATAAATTAAAATATTTTTATTCTAGCTACAGATATAATCTTTCAGTAAAGTTGTTGTTTTATTGAAATTGTTTTATTAAAAGACATGTCAAGACCGTTTACTTACATATACCAAGTGTAAAAAAAACGTTTAACATTACTTATTATGAATACATAAAAATGACGGCAAGAAATAAATTGAAAGTAAATGTATTGAAAGTATCTAAGTTTATGCCGTCCATTTGCTTGTTTTATTAAACAAGTGAACGCTTTAACTTAAAATTTTAAGAATCGAACTTAATGTGTTCACTATACGAAATTATGTATTTTTTGTTATTTTAATTTAGTTAATTACTTATTCATGTGTACTTAATTAAACAATGTGTGTTGATTGATAGATCACAAGTCACTGTACGTTGCAATTTTGTGTAATTGAATACACATTTCAATGAAATAAATATTAATCATTGACACAACTTATAAATGGCTTTATTACTATTTTCTATGGCTTATTGTTATTTGGATATCCTTCTCTCGCAGCTCACCCTGATTTCGGTCAGGATAATGACAGTACATTATATTACATGAAAAAAAACTTAAATATAATGCCGTGAGCATATGGCAAATACAGGCGGGTTTGCTATTTCAAATTTATATAATTTATTGTAAATATAAACATAAGTTTATAATATTTGTTAACACCGGTTGTATCTAACTCTCCCACCGGGGGTATCTCCGGTAAAACCAACCGATTAGCAAACTGTCGATTTTTTGTAATTTTCATGCATTCAAATTTGTTTACAATATATGTTTATTAGATGGTAATATTGAATATTCTAATAAACATTGATTGTCGCACTGCAAAAAAATACCATAATTAGTAATTTGTAATCTCGCTATTCTTTTTACAGTACAGATATTGGGTAATTAGGGGTAATCAGTGATTACACAATATCTGAAAATAGAATGTGAATAGGTTGTAGTATGAAAAATTAATTGCTGCTCAAGTCCCCAGAGCTCTGAATATAGTTTTAATATGCAGTGTCTTAAATTTATATTTATTTTATTATTCACCAAACTGTCGAAAGTATCTTGCCAGTAGGAGTATTCGTTTTTTATTTTATTGGAAAGGCAAACAAGCGGACAGTCCACATGAATATAAGTGGTATCCGTCGCTTCTATACTTGAACATCACCAAGGACATCATTATCATGTGCGCCTGTGATACTATTCATATTCGTTGCTATTCCAGAGGATTAACATGTTATGCTCCATGTCCTGTAATTTCACTGCCTTATCACCACCCCTCAACCAAAACACAAATTACAATACAAAGCAAGATACTGATTACTTACTATTACATTTACATGGAATACTGATCGTTACTCCGTTATCCGATCGTTAATCCGGTGTACGTGTAAATTAGTGGTACATGTACACCCAGGGGTACTTGAAGTTGCATCAAGAGGTACTTGCGACTATGAGTAAAACAAACATACACACACACTCACAAACTTTTACATTTATAATATTAGTGTGATTGCTACAATAAGAGGTCGCAAGGTTTGAGGTCTTTTTTGAAGTGGTACGCAGCAAAAACTAATTGGGAACCACTGCTCTAATCCACCGCAGAGGGCATAGAGATAGGAGCGTTTGCAGCTCCGCTCACCTTTCTATCCCCCATAAGGACCAGTGTGCTTCCCTTACTCGAGGGAAATACCATCCCACAAGAAGCCAAAAGCCAAAGCCTCATGAAGAGTGTTCGTCTATCCAAGCACCTGGGTCAATGGATAAGTCACTCTATAATAACTTCAGGGCGGATCATCGCTGCCAGTCATGGTCGAATGCTAACGCGACCTTATGACCTTATGTAAGCACCAGTCACAAGAGCACTGCGTACATTGAATCATATAACGGAGCAAATAGATCTATTTTCTTGTTCTCTGAATGAGTTCACGAAGATCGCTTTATTTATTATAAGTTATAAATAATTTAAAAAATAATGTTTGCTGCACTATTGTATTAGGCTAAGACCTGTAAAAATAGATGTAAGTGTGGAAAAATAAATAAATAAATAAATGACTTCAACATAGCATCTCCAATATAGTGACACCGTGTGAATTTTAGAAGGTAAAAATAGCTGGACAATGTTTGGAAGATTTTAGAAAATTACAGAGAAAGAAATTTCATTACAAATAAAATTTATTATACACACAATTACAATAAAAGAAAATAATATCTAGAAATAATCATACTCTTATTTAGCCGCCTAAACGGATAACTTAGGTGCCTTTCTAACAGCATTGGGGCGTTGTTTGTGTACTGAATTTGTATGTATAATTTAATGAGTGAATGTAATTAAATGATTACCACGCTCATGCATGCGGTAATTTGCCGGTCTTGTCTGGAGATAAATCCTATGACATTCGACTACATCGTATCGTAACTGATTACTACAAAATACTATGAGGTCAATATTAATATTATTTATTTCTAGACTATCTTTCAATATCTTTCTTTCTTTCTTTCTTTCTTTCTTCAATAGAACAGTAGTGGAATGAATTGAATTGATATGAGACTCCAAAGTAGACCTGCATTAGGTATATCTTTATTTCGGTAAATCTAAAAGTTATGATAACGTTGTAATAGGTGCATCTATACATTATAAGTAATACAAGAAACTGTGTGCTTAGTAGTAGTTTTCGAGACGATTATTATATCAAAAGAATAATTAATTATGAACGATTCTTTTTATATTCATTATTACTGCTCATGAACGCTAGTTCTACAATATTGATATACAGGGGTAAGAAAAAAGGATAATCATACAAGCCCCACAATTCTGTAATAACATCAAAAATATGAGAATTTTACACTCCTTAGAAGATGTTACACAGGTAAAGAATAGTTTCCGAAGGGAGGGAGGGATTGTTAGAAATGGTTAGAATACTGCCATAATTCCATGACATGCATTCCGTCAGATCAATCTCCTCATGGGTTTCTCTAGAAACCATTGTTATTAATTCATGGTAAATTCACCACGATGGGCTAACTTTCCGACTTCAACTCATTATCATCCTTCAATTGTCCGGCCAGCTTATACCGTTAGCACAGAAGTGCGTACAATTCCATATTCATTATTAAAAAAGAAACAATACTTTTCAATACATTTCAATATAAATACAAATTTGCCAGGGGTAGACCCAACTCTGGCTTAATATCTACTCTCCATACATATATATTTTATGTAGAGATATACTCCCAAATTATACTTTGCTGTTAAAATTGTGCGCGATAATTTTTTATTATAACCAAGTATTAATATTCATTTGGTTATCATATTAAAAATTAAAACATCATTTATACATGTAAAACAACTAAATGTACAATAATACCAACGCCTACAAAGTATAAAATTAAAAGCTTTGACTTTTGATGAAAAACAAAAATATTCCTAAACAACAAATTGTAAAGTGTCTCATCATTAAAAATAGAATTAAGATATAATACTTATTGAACAGCAAGTTTATAAATTGTTTCCAAGATTAAATCTCAAGTAGATAACGGAATTTTATTGCACACCTACGAGTAGGTACTAACTACCCATAGTAATTTTGATCATCTCAAAATAACCACCACGACTCATACTATCATTTTTTAAGTTTCAGTCTAATAAATAAATACCTGTAGTATTTAATATTGATTATTTTAAACAAATTCCTACTTGTTTAAAAGGTTTCATAAATTTTAAAACTTCTGAATAGTAGGACTGAGTATATACGCATAGCTAATACTATTAAGTTTAGAACGCTAAAACTTGAAATATAGGTTTAATTTATAATATCAGTATACGCTAAAAACGAAAACTTTAGGTAATCTACATCATGCATGAAAAGTTGCAGTTAACAACGAAATTAACATACATGGCTAAGTTTCGAAAATGATCTTAAAACTAGAATATAACATACCAAGTTTGTTAGAATAATTATGATAATACTAAACTTATTTTTAGTATTATATTTAGATGTCCACTTATTCATTTGACTAAAAATTTTAGGCACTCTATTTCCTACAATTTAATAGGTCTGCGCCAATACAATTTTAAAGCAAGGCCCCTACGATCGGTCCCCCGTCCACCCCTCCAATCGATCCCCCGTTCAATTCAAACGGGGATCGAAATTACGACGGCCTGAGCCGAGGTTCGAACCCCTAGTGGTGCCCTCAGACTAAAGTCCTATCCGTCAGGTAGGAGTTGGCCTTCAGCCGCTCCATAAGTCCTTCCGCGGGTTTGGAGTGCCATCTGCACTCGCCCCCTAACGTCCGGTGAAGCTGTAAATGCCAGCTGCGGCCAACAGCATTAGAGTAGTCCGAAAAAAAAAACAATTTCAAATTATAAATGGACAATATTTTAGTATAGTACTATAGTTAGTACTTATAGTAATTGCTACGGCTATATTATTATGATATATATATATATAATAGATGGATACATATTTACTAAAAGCTATAATGATAATATGAAATAATGAAAGAGTAATTAGTATTCTTAAAACTATAAATTCCTAATAATAATATAGGGTACAAATAGTATGTGGTGCCTAGTGATATTTATATGTGAAAAGGGCCATTCATAAATTGCCTTTCTACGTCAGAAGATAAGGGAGGAGGAGATCGATGAAGTGTGACAAGGTGGAGAAGTCACTAATTTCGTTAAGTGACATTTCAAAATATATATCATGTATTAAAGATAAGCATGGGCATAGCCAAGGTAGGGTATAGTGTGGCGCTTAACCAACCCTAGCTCAGACCTGTAACAAAACCTAAAACCACTACTAAAATACTTAATATCCGTAAGAACTTTAGTACTCGACATTCGACACAAAAAATAACACACCGATACTCTCTGTAGCTTAGCTGTAGGGTGTAAACGTTTTGTATGGAAAAAATTTGGGTAAGACCGGGGGTATAGTCAGTTACATGATATTTTAGACTGCAGCCCCAACCACAGCCCATAGCTGTCTACGCCCATGATTATAAGTCTCGTAAGGGAATCATTGCAAAATAAATATTTGAGTTTCAATAATTTTCTTGACGAGTTGATGCTCGCTTTACTAGTGCGATTATAAAATACAAATACGAAAGGCAACGTATATTAGGGAGGGGTTGACTACATATACGAGCAAGGAGTGACAAGGATGAAGGAGTGTCCAAAAACAGTGATAATTAATTGACTCAATTAATGAATATGCCTCACAATATGAAATATTTCTCGCTGCACATTGACACGCATGTTAGCAATCACATATATTTTATTAATAAAAGATTATCCTATGATATGGATTATCCTGTTTAAGATTTTTTTTCTTACGATTTAATAAAATATTTTAAGTGTAAATAATGATTTTATATGAACTACTATTATATTTATGCTACATTTCTCATTACGTTTAAATGAATTTGAAGCCTTCATTTAAAGTTCCAGTTCTCATAAATAAAAATCTAGGTCCTACGTCTGGCGCCACGAGAATGTGCATTCTTAGTAAATTCGTTGTTGTTAATTTTTTTCCTTATATATAACTTGTATGTCAGCTTGTTTTCGTTAATGAACGTGGAAATGTGACATAAAGGTATCACTGCACATTTCCATTCGGATATTATTTCATTCACGGGTTTGTTTATGGAGTGACATATGTCCGTACACTCGTATTTTCTACGTGGCTCTCTTTTATTGTATACATGTATTTCGTACGTCCATTTAGAGGCACTATTGTCTGTGCCCAGAGCTTGTACTGCCATACATAGATTATTATCTTGATTCTTTACGTGAAATAGAAAGTTAAAAGTTCCTATAACGATGAAGTGAACCATATGAGGGCTGTTGCGGACGTTCAGCAAATGCATTTCAGTGTCGATGTTAGCCTGGCGATGCATCAGGTGTAAGCCATCGAAATGCGACGCCATTTGGGACATTTTACCTGTAAAATGTGAATTTACATATTTTTACTACTCGGCTTGTTATCATGCAACAATCACACATACGTAATCATATTATGTGATTGTTGCATGATAACAAGCCGAGTTCATATGATGTCCATAGTGATGTTCATGTAGTTAAATATTTACTATCAGATGTACCATAAACTTGTTTTGCATTCTAGTTACTTTATGTAAAACACTAAAATTATCATACAAATAAATACCTTTCCATGAACACTGTCCAAATAGCGCGGTAAGAGGACATGGCATATCTCGGAAGAGACACACTTTAAGATGATTGTTCATATCAGCCAGTTTTATATAAAGAGAACAGCCAAAACTTGAGTTAAGACATTTGACACTTTTCTAAAAAATAAAAAATAGAAAGTTAAAATTTTAGAAGTGACTGCCTTACTATTTAGACAAAATTGTTGAAAGATTTTATTTCTAAAACTATGTAGGTACGTCATCGTTAGACAAAGACATGTGTGCCGTAATTAAAAAAACCTATCTATACTATAAATTCTCAATATTTGGGTGTGCTAATTGAAGCGGATGTACCTATCTAATGTAGGTACAGTCAACCCTCCTTTAACTCGGTGAGTGCGTGCGTACCGCGTTATATGGGAACCGCACTATAAGAAACTCAGATTTAACCGTACAAACCAGGCTAATTCGTAGCGTGTTCTATAGAAACAATCTAGCGCGTTCTATGGAAACCGCGATATAAGAATCGGAATTAGTACAAATCGCATAATTCGTATCGCGTTATCAAGTTACACGTAAAAATGTGTGTCTGTATGAATAAATCTAACCTGTATTAAAAACAAAAATTAAACATTGATGTTGTATTTGTGTTATATTGATGTTTGTAATGTAATCAAATACTAAAAATAAAAAAAAATGGAAACTTAATTACGTTAAAAAATATATTAAGCTTAGCAAAATATTCGGGTGTATAATATACATACCTCAGAGATAAATGCTTCTAGAGTAATATTTCTCATGTTAGTGATTTTGTTGTAGCATATAGCACAGGGGTGGCCATGTTCCATGCAAGTTTTACATGAACTGTGTCCTTTTGGGCATTGAAAAATTTGCAGAGTATATGTTTTTTTGCATGTCGGACATTTGACATCGTTATCCTCTTCACTTTTACTGGTCCGTTGCCTGCAGGTATTAGAACATGTATGTATAAAAATACAGCAGTATTTATAAATAAGAGTATAACATACTTCCAATGTATTCTACGTATACTATATTCTGTAAAAGCTGCTCCTTTTTTATGTTCTCTTATAGGACATGGCAAATAAGCTGACGGGGCATCAATTGGTAAGTGGTGTTAAGGTTGAATAGCACTAGTATAAACTCGACTAGTGTTTACTAGGGCTACCCTTCTTGTTTATTGTCACTCTCATAAAAAAACTGAAAAAGTGTGTCATATACGTGTTCCATAAATTGTAAATAATAGTATTAAAGTGTTGTGTCGTGTCGTGTCGTGTACCTACTCGCCCGATCCCTTCCACTGTGCATAATACCCTTCCAGTGTGTATCTGCTTCCGTCGCCACCACTTACAATATTCGGTACCTAAACCACTCTAGTTATATTAAGTGGTAACTGATATTTAATATACAGACGTTATATTTTTTACGATTGTTGAATCCTCTTTCGTTTCTGATACACTGGTATTGGAATTCATTAGTGACATTTAACTCATGAATTTGTACACACCGACCAAATTTGATAATAAATATAATTTTATTGTTTTACGTTGTTTTTAAGTTCACTAATAACAAAGTATGAAATAGAACAAGATATTATTAAACCTATTACTGAGGGCTATCCATTCGAATCGAGGTAATTTTCCCCCAGAAAGGTTTGATTATACGTTTGGTGGTGAGAGTAGGTAAATTGTGTACGACATAGGACTATAAATAACACAGAAGCCTACATTTTACGCTTACCACTATACATATAAACACATTAAAATACATTTAATAACTCACTTCATTTTAACTTTTTATATGAAATACAAATGTTGACTGGACTAATACTAAAATATCTCTGTGTTTAAATTAAATGCATTAATACATTGAAATTAGCAAGACCACAAGGAACCACTTATAACACATTTCCTGGAACCTTATCGTTTGAATAAAGTTTACCGAACAATATGATACAATTTTTTTTTCTATACGAGCAAAACATTATTATATTGTTCTAGACAGAGAACTGGAAAGTTTATGTGAATTATTTTGTCGAAAAAATAGGCTAAAAAACTTGCAGTATATTTCATAATTTATTAAGGTACCAGCTACACACCCCGGCTTCGCACGGGTGTATATAGGTATATTATACATATAAACCTTCCTCTTGAATCACTCTATCTATTAAAAAAACAGCTTCAAATTCCGTTGCGTAGTTTTAAAGATTTAAGCATACATAGGGACGGACAAACAGCGACAGCGATTTTGTTTTATTCTATTTAATAATATTAGCTGAAAATATAAATAAATTACCTTACATCGCTTATATTGAGTAATATTGACTAAACATGGCGCGGCGTGTTATTTTTAAGCAGACTCTACTTGACACTGTACGTGTTGTTAATTGTAATGTTAAGTTGTAACCTTAAAGCTAAATACCTTGAAACTGATCTGGCCCGTGATTGTGGAGGGACAGGGGGTGCCGATCTAAGATAACAAAGAACAGAGTTAGGTTCAATTACTTGCTTTCAGTGTTTATAAAAAAATGCGAAATTGCGTCCAACAACTCAATCATGTTCGTAATCGTAAACGACGAATCGAGAATTTAATACCATTCGTATCATGCTTGCCATTCCGGAGGACTAACAATAAGATATCATGCCTCTTATGATTTCACTGTCTTATCTCACCAACCCACAACACACTAAGACGTCTTGTAATGCCAGCTGCTAGGTGGACTTACGCAGACGACTTGTAAAGTCTACCTTGGTCAAAAAGTCACTGAATTGATTATTAACATAAGTACAACTTAGCTTTTACCTGCAACTCTCAAATGGTTCGTACAAAATCGCAAATCATCAGATTTTACCATCCGTTACCTGTGGGAATTGTTAGTGAGTGGCCATCCATAAATATCAAGGTTATATTTAATCAACAGCCTAAAAAATAAACTTTCAAGCTTCTAGCTTTAAAAATGACGACACTTCCATACAATATCATTTTCATTTCATCTCCCTGTTCAACCACCTTACAACCCTTTTTTCATTTTGGGTTAAATAGTAACCCATATCTTTTCTCAGGGTCTTTCAGAGTTACTTTCGCATTTATAATATTAGTAATATTATAAATGCGAAAGTAACTCTGAAAGCGAAACAGACAGACTGTCTCGCTTTCACGCCAAAACTATTGAACCGATTTAAATGAATTTTGGTACATAGATATTCTAGACCCTGAGAAAAGATATGGGTTACTATTTAACGCAAAATGAAAAAAGGATTATCAATAAGCAAATTTTGTCTTTAATTCCTCTGTGATCTTATTATTCAGTATCTCCATAAAAACTATATACTGTAATCTATACTGATATCTGTGCTAAAAATAACATATTCTGAGAAGATCAAACATGTATGGTATCATATATTTTATCTAGAAGGGGATTTGTACTTCTTAAATAAAATAAACCATAATTGGGTAGTACAACTTACTCTGTGTATTAAAAATATATTATTATGATTTACCGTAGTAATAATCTAATAGATCAATCGTATATAAAAAATTCTCATGTCACAATGTTAGTTACCACTTACCATACACTCCTCCGCCGATTAGGCTACTATCTATTTTTTATACCCCTAAATGATAGGGGTCGTCCACCACCAACATTTTTTTTTTATTTGTTGGATACCATTTTTATTTACTATTTTTTTATAATGTGGCATTAAAAATACATATTTACAAGCCTAAATTTTCACTCTTCTATCACCAAGCCCTATTTTTTAATAGAGATATTAATTTATATGGCAAAACAACGTTTGCCTGGATAGCTAACAATTACATAAAACACAACAGGTACCTGACAGGCTCCTGGTTATTGGAGACAAACACACGTGATGGCATTGGATCCTGAGTCTCCCGTGAAGGTGTGAGTGGCGTGGTGGTAGTACCAATATCGGGGTACAAGGAAGCTGGCTTCGTATTCGGCGAAATTACTTGTTTTACAGTGGCCCCAAGGTTTTGAAGTGCACCTTGGTTAAAACTATAAGTTGTAGAGGACGCTGTTGACCTGTTAAGATATATTTTTTTAATTTAATAATTATTTAATTATTAACAATATTATTGTATCGGATTTAACAATAATAGAATTGTATGTAATAATTATGATTATTAACTAAATCTAAAACCTAAACAACGTCTTATTCACAATAATAATCTTTATGAAAAAATTCATATACAATAGACAGACAGACAGACTAGACCATGACGCTGTATATATATACAGCGTCATGGTCTAGTCTAGTGTTTTACTTATATAGCTAACAAAAAAAAAATATTTATGACTATAGTTGTATTTTTATTAGACGAAGTCAACTGACATTTACTGTGTTGTCAGTATTTGATGAAATAAAAGTAGTGTTGTGACAAAGTGAATAATTGAAAAAACTCCTGAGTTAATGGAATTGCCTCGATTGTCTAGTCTAGTGAATAGTTAGTGTGCCGAACTGCATATATCGGGTACGGGGTTCGAATTTTAGCCGTGCTTTATACATACTAACGAGTTTTTAACGACTATGTTCCTACAGTATCTACCTCTACTGAATACCGAGTATTTTAAATATGAAGAAAAAAATTGCGAAGAAACTTTTAAGACTGTCCTATTTACAATACATCATGTAGTTGAAACTATAGATGTATAAAATATAACATAATATAGGTAGGCAATAAAAATAAAAAACTTCGCTTATTACAAAATTTGTTTTTATTCATCATCAGATAAAAAAATCATTGTCGCTTTCAGTGACATTAATTATAAATCTGTCTAAAAATTGATAATAATTTATCTTTGAAACAGTGTTTCGGTCCACGTTTCTCCGGATACTTAAATTGTTCATTTTCTTTGTATCCTTTTAATACATTGTAGACTGAGGTCACACCAATTCCCAAAACGTCAGCTGTTTTCGAAATACATTCTTTTTTTTCGAGAGCCTCAATAGGTAATAGTGAAGCAGCTTTCTCCTCAAATACGTGTTTGTAGACGTTTTGTCTCATAAGTATTTCGGTAACGCTTAAAGCAATCCGTGGTCTCTTCTTTCTTGGAGACAAGCTTTGGCTTGACGTGTTTGGTTGAGGATCCATTTTGTTTGTATGAAACAATATAACAAATATACAATTACCACAAACACAACATAAAGAAAAACTTAATAAAAACTAACAAAACCGCGTGAGCGCAAAAAAAAAACATTCGTGCTCTCAGACCAGAGGTTAGAAGCCGAATTACGAACAAAATCGCTTGCGACGTTGATCGGTGTTGGCACTAGTAGGCGCGCGCTTTGTAATAAGCCGTCAAAAAACTGATTGTAGTTACATACCACTAGTAACTTATATCAGAGCACATTTATACAATTTTATTGTAAAATAGAAATAATATTCTTTTGTAGTTTGAAATGATTAACTATTCACACTCATTGTTCATTCATCTGACCGAGAACTGAACGCATCACTATTAATTTAAATATGGCAACATTATTTTACAAAGTGACATTAGCTACTGTCAGCTAGCTTCATCTAATTAAAAATACGACTATAGCTGTACACGCGACTTCGTCCACGTGGAATTTGACTTCATTTTTCTAGAATAAAAGTAGCCTAAGTTACTCCTTATTACATCAGCTGCCTGCCAAAAACAGTCCCGTCAAAATCGGTCCAGCCGTTTCAGAGATTTGGCGGAACAAACAGACAGACATAAAAATTGTTAAAAATTTTTTTTTTTTTGATTAGGTGCCGTATTTATATTTATATGCATGTAGTAAAAAACGAATATTTCAATATTACAAACAAACACTCCAATTTTATTTATATGTATAAATGGACTCTCCGACTATGGAAATACCGATAACAAACCAAATTAATACGAGAGACGATGGTAATCTCCTACCAAGTAGAATCTATTCAAATAGTAATATGTGGGCATGTCAGGTTTTGCGTATACCACGACGTCGATTGTTGAGAACACCTCTAACGCCCAACTGAGGTAGTACTCGTGTACTCTATATTAATGTATATTAAATAAGAAAATTAAGTAACCAAATAATAAATGAAAAATAATAAATGCATGAATGTTGTGATACTCAAATCCAGTTTGTCTATTTTTTTTATAGCACAGTGAACAAACGTGCTTGTGGTTCACCTGATGGTAAGTGATTGCCACCGCCCATGAGCACCCGTAACACCAGAGGACTTGCAAGTGGGTTGCCGGCCTTTCAAGAAGGAATAAGCTCTATTCTTGAATGTTTCAGTATCGTATCGGTTCCGAAATACCATTGGTGGAAGAAGGTGATTGCTGGAGGTTTATTTTGGTTTACATACCCTTGTGGTCGAGTTGCACTCGTTGAAGTGGTGGGCGTCTGAGTGTGCTGTGAGGTTGCAACATTTTTATTATATTGTTCTCTCATTAATAGATCAAACTCGGCTTGCCTGGATAAATACATATACAGATAAATAGATAATATATACATATATTGCATTGTATATAGTTTGCATTGTAGTTTGTTTTTACCGCCAAGCAATTCGCTTTGTAATCTATATTTAAAGTGTGTCATGTAATATGACTGGGCTCGATCGATAATATTTATGATGGCGTCTCCGGCTATGGAAATACCGATAACAAACCAAATTAATACGAGAGACGATGGTAAGCTTCTAAGTAGAATCTCTTAAAGTAGTGATATCTGGACATGTCAGATTTTGCATACACCACGACGTCGTTATTAGCCCACCTGATGTGTATTTATTTCATATATACAAAATTATATTAATGTATATTAAATAAGCAAATCAAGTAACCATGCATGAATGTCGTGGTACTCAAATTCAGTTTGTCTATTTTTTTATAGTACAGAGAACAAACGAGGTTACGGTTCACCTGATGGTAAGTGATTACCGCCGCCAATGAGCACCCGCAACACCAGAGGAATTGCAAGTGCGTTGCCGGTCTTTCAAGAAGGAATAAAGTCTTTTCTTGAAGGTTGCGATATCATATCGATTCGGAAATACCATTGGTGGAAGGTGATTGCTGGAGGTCTGTTTTGGTTTACATACCCTTGTGGTCGAGTTGCACTAGTTGAAGTGGTGGGTCTCTGAGTGTGCGGTGAGGATGCAGCATTTTGATTTTGATTATATTGTTCTCTCATTAATCGATTAAATTCAGCTTCCCTGGATAAATACATACAAATAAACAAATAATCTCATATATAAAATTCTCGTATCACAGATTTCGTGTTTGTACTCCTCCGAAACGGCTTGACCGATTTTGATGAATTTTTATATGTATATTCAGTAGGTCTGAGTATAGGTTTATAATTATTAATATTTTTTATACCCCTAAGTGTTAAGGGTGGCTCACCCGAAATTTTTTTTTATTTATTCTACATTTTTTTTATTATGTGGCATTAAAATTTACATACAACCCTAAATTTTCACTCTTCTAGGACCAACCCCTATTTTTTAATAGCGATTTTAACGTATATAGCAAAACAACGTTTGCTGCTGGGTCAACTGGTAATAAATATATATATATTGTTTCCATTGTAGTTTGATTTTACCGACAACTCGCATATTTAAAGTGTGTCATATAATGACAGTACCCGACCAATAATTTGGGGCCCCTAAGCAATGCATTCCTACAGGGTCCCTATCTATGTAACAATCTGTCTTGGTATCATTGTCTTTTTCTTTTGGGCTTGCGTGGGGCCTCTAGGCTCTTGCCTACTACGGACAGTACAAGGTGGATTCCGTGGTGCTTAGTTTAGATAATGTTTTAGTAAATAAATTGTATACGTACAATTGCGGCGGTACTGTAGCAGTACTCTGGTTTGAAGACGATGCAACATTTTGAGCAAATTTTTCTCTCATTAACCGTTCTACTTCGTTTCTAGTTTCTGCTCTGTACATAATTAAAAACCTGATATTATAAACACTTGAAACGCTGCATGAGCTATAGCCTAGAGCGGCATACATACATTTAAGTATAAAATTAGAGTGTATATTTTAATTTTACTATTTTATTGACCAATATCTGTTTTAAAATAGAGGAGGCAGCAAATTTCCTTCTGACCCCAGACGAGGAAACAACACGCGTAATATAAAAATCTGTTTTGATGTATTATTACTTTTATTTTAATATATTTAGAACAGTTATTTTTATATTTCATTTAACTTCTTGTTTATCCTATGATGCGCTACTACTTAGCGCCACCGGCGTTACAGCCCCGGAACTTCATTTTTTTCAAGACAGCACAAAAACTAAAATTCGTCGCACCCCTAGGACCACCCTCCAACTGCGCCCAACATTTTTACAATATACATATTATTTTTATTTATTTTTTTATTTAAATAACTTCAATGCACGTCATACACAGGTAAAAAGTACATATGGCGGACTTAACACCTAATGGCATTTTCTACCAGTCAACCATGAGTTGTGCAGAGATAACTTGTTGGCGGTGCAAACAATATTATAATATTTTATAGAATATACATGAATAAATATATATATATATATATATATATATATATATACATATATATACAAAAATATACCATACACATAAATATATATTACTGTACAAATCGTCCAATTAGTATTGTCATAATAATTAACATTATTATGACATTTTCAAATACATTGAACTCAACTAGCTAAGTTCTAATCTGCCGCCCCCCATAATAATTTATTCCATTTAGGTAGGAGTTGGATGATTCTAATTTACAAAATTTTTAAATTTAGCAATGGAAATAATAAATTGAAAAGTACCTTATCTTCTCTTTATTCCCTATGTCATTTTGATTTTGTTTATGTAGGACTTCTCTATATATTTCATCAAACATTTGCCTCTGCTGTGTAAGCAACATCTCCACATGATTTTCTGTATACAATTCACTGTGAAATAAAGTGTTGTAATAAATAATGTGTTTTCACTGTGAAATAAATAAATTTATGTAAATGGTAATCACTTACCAAGATAAACTTTAGATATGAGCATGTGGTCAGTTCAATTAGCTCATTGTGACAAATTCACCAGGAATTTATGACAAGGGTTTCCAGGGGTAACCGCATGGAGGTTCACCTGACATGGTACATTGCCAGCAATGTGTTCACTAATACACATTACTAACCATGTCCTTCTCTATATACCTAATATGTATTAACATAAGCTTCAAATTGTTTTGTTGTCTAGTTTATATACCCAATTTATTAGTGCAGTGCAAATGTGAGATGTTACACTAGGAAAGGGGAGTCTCACAAATGGAACCTGTAGCATCTCAGTTGTTATAATGATGGGGAGGGCTAGAATAAAACAATGTACCTACATAATGTAATAATAAAATGAACTCAATTTTTATAATGGACATAGAATGCTTAAAATTATTTACATTTAATCATTTATTAAATTTTCCATCAATATATATATTTTTTAATTTTTTTTTATTTCTCTCTGATAGTGGACATCTATTATCATCTCACTGCCCTACATCTTCAATTTATTTTTTGGCTTCAAATAAATGTAAGTTGGTATACCACAAATTTGAGCCGTTGTTTATGTAGTGCTGAGACTACTAGAGTAGCTAACCAAGCTCCTCCCAGAAGTACATAAGCTACCTGGTGTCTGCACTGGGGATTTATATATGATTCCATTGCTTTTAATGTAAGTACAAAGATGCTTGCATTTTAATCAATGAATTAAAATAAGTCCACACTAATATTATAAAATACAGTAGAATGTCTGTACCTATATATGATGCAAATAATACTAAGCAGTACACTTATTTGATATTTTAGCTTTAAATGCTAAAATATATATATAATATATTACCTCACATAAATACATATACTTATAAATTATTAATACAGTAGTTACTAATATATATATTACTAATTAATAACCATTATGTATGTATGTATGTATTATACATGTATTTATTAGTACCTGTTTGTATCAATCTGTAAGCTTTATTTTTTAGTACTTATTTAAATATAATTACAATAGATTAGTTGTTATAGTGGGACATTACACTTACGTTGTACTTTTTGATCCGTTTCCGCCCATTGCTACAAAAGTTTGAAGTAACCAAAGTATACAGCTAAATATTCAACGTAGAATTATCTGAAACCACAGACCTGAAACTATATAATGCCTTTAACTATGTTTGGATAATAATTGCGCAAAATTACAATATAACATAAAGTAGAAATGTCTAGGTACAATAACGATAACATTTATGACACACACACAACAAAGAATATTAAAATCACTCTGTCCTCTGGTACACTTACTTTACTGTTTTTACGTCTATACACAAATGTCACGATGTATAAAATTTAATAAAATACGATCTGGAGTTATTATCTATTATATTTCCACAATATACAATACTAATGTATAAAAAAAACTTAGTTATTTCCTTATACTGAATAGAGTGTGCAATCAACTCAGTACAGTCTACAAAAGTAAGCGATAAGACAAGAAAAACGATACGTTATTATACGATCAATGTACAACACCGATAAAAAACAGTATATAGCAATAGGTATACACACTATAAAAATATCATGTATTAAATAGAGATGCTAACTGAAGTTAACTAGAACTCGATAATCGAGGTATATTATTGATGTCTATATCCTTATTTAGGTATATTATTATAGTATCTCCTTATTTAAAAAAATCGCTGTATTAAAGACATTTCTTACTTATTGTGGAATATTGCTGATAACATGGTCAAAATAATCAAATAAGAACAATAATAGTTATAATTAGACGATATATTGGCACATAATTAACATATACATAAGTGATTTATGTAATCAAGATATATATGATGTAATTAATGTAAACAAACACAAAATGTTCTAATTTTTATATAGAAATTTATTAGTGATGGATCAAAAATAGTTATCGACATTAATATCATTATAATGAGAACGTCACTGAGTTTTCCGTTTACGTAAATCACCTACCATAGACAATATATAGCATCTAACAATACTACTACCTTATACCAAGCCATTAAAGTTCATTTCTCATACACATGGACGATACGAATTCTGTTATGAAACGGGTCATTACTGTTTAGTTTAAGACCAGTTTGTCTTTGTCATGAATATCCACTCCCTGCATTATCCACTCTGTATGCATTGTGATCTTTATAAGTTACACAGATAATAAAATTGTCAGATAAAGAAAAATTTGCTTTAATGGGCGGTAAATTCGAGGCAATAGGGGATTAGTATACTTGGAAGTAAAAAACGTTATGTAAGAGGCTCCCACTTGGTACCTATGTCAGTAAAATGTTATGGTATAGTCCATGGTTATAATTTATAATCGACGATAACGATGATTTCAGTTGTAAACATTGGATAGAATCTTTTAAAAATTTATAAATTATCGATTGCACCAAGCGACGACTATAATACCAGTATATATCTAGCGTCAAATCTCCGCGGACTATTTAACACAGGCTCGAACTTGTTGACCATGATTTCAAAGCGGCCACTTGATTTTCTTTTATGATTTACTAGTGCTAGTATTTGCTATTAACGCAAACAAAATATTAAATAGATAATTTAAATAAAAGCATGTCTATGAAGTAATAAAGCACCAAAATACATATGTATTTTTAAGACAAAATTAAAGTAAAAATAAAACATCCGCTTAAGAGGCCTTTCACATTTTTTGGCCTAAAAGCAGTGTCTTTGGGGTTCTGGTTCTAAGAAATTAAGAGTCGGATATACATTTTGATTCCTGAATTATATAGATAGATATCTAATCTTAAAAACAACATCTTTGAAATGTTAATTTTCTCTTTGTTAGTCTTCCTAATTTCTAAAATAGTTTATTCAAAAACGCTAAATGACAGAAGTTTGGGGTCGTCGTTCATTAATAAACAAACATAAATTGATATGATATCTTTACTAAAACTTGATAATTACTTTATAAATTGAGACAGCATCGTCCTTTTTTTCATTTTCAACTTAAATATCTAAAAAATTGATCATAATTAAACCCGAAATTTCAACAAAACTTTGCCATAATCATCAACCGGTTATAAATGTCTACAATTAAATTGTCTTTCAATTCTTTAGTAAGCAATATATCCAATGCACATGTTCGGCGGGCTTAAATTTCATGACTGGATCATGCTTTTGAGAAATTCCTTCCTCAAGTTTGAGCATTTAGTGTGGGAAATCACTATCTGTGCTTCCATAAAAATGAGCTCTCAAATTTGTCAGTAGTTTTAAACTTTCAATTAAAGTCCATAAGGGAGACGATGTTAATGACACAGAGAGTCTTTCAGAAATCTCCAGCAAAAGTATAAAAGTAATCCCGCCAATGAGAGCAGAGGTGTTTCTAAGGTCTTTTAAGGTTCTGTCCAAAATCTCTATAGCTCATGGTGATTTCATTACATATAATCAATGAGGCGTCTTGTAATAATTTATAAAAAGGTTTGACATTAACAATTAATTATTTATCAAGAATCAAGAATCGGCCAACCAAGAACGAGAAGCTGCAATATCAGCCAATATCATGCGGCGACGTCAATGATGCAGGAACAGCAATAATAGCAGTTGAAGCTTTTTTTTACAACTTAGAATGGCAAACAAGCTGACGGCTCTCCTGATGGAAAGGGGTAACCGTCGCCTATATACATGAGCAGTACCTGACATGTTCATATCAGCACATTGTTTCCCTCATGCGTTGCCATTCCTGAAAACTCGGGTGTTATTCCCCTGTACCTTGTAAATTCACTACCATATATATACACAGGTAGTCTATATAGATAGATATACATATACACAGATAGTATACCCTGAGAAAAAAGTATTGTAAGGGATTAAAAGCGGAGATGAAAGGTTGTATAAAAGTATCGTCATTGTTTAAGTGAAACAAAGAAACTTTTTTAGGTTATAATCTAAATATATTTCCTTTATTTGGTCAATTTCATTATACCACGCTGACGAAGTCGCGGACACACCTAATATACATATAAGGATGGGACCTTTAAATCAAAACAAAGCCTTGAAAACACAACTATTATATATAAATAAAATAATTATTTGCTAAGTATAATATTTAGAACAAGTGAATATGGCAATAATGTATCCGACTCTTATAATAAATTATATTGTATCTATTAATAAATAAACTGAATTAATATGTAAGAAGAATTAATTAGTAAATTTATGTTATAGTAATTTCATCTTCCTGTCCTTATCCCAATTATTTGTTACTCATATTACTTAAGGTTTTTTTTTTTTTTTTTTTTTTTTTTTTTTCTTTTTCTTTATGGCTTGGCACGTCTGTGCATTTGCCAATATACAAAATTTGGGAAACAGTAGTTCAGGTAAAGGAAATTTTGGACGATAGGTTTAAAGGATCAGGTAAGTTGACAATAGGATTAATTATAAGGATTAGACTAAGGTACTACACTATACATATTAATTATATACAATATGTCATTATACTTATATAAGACCTTAATATATTAACAGACAACTATTTACATATGATATATTTATATAGAGGCAGTCAGTTTTATATTTACAATTTTATATTATTACTACTTAGAAAAATCGAAATACTTTTATACACATCAATATCATTAAGATATAATAAAATTGGAATTGATGTAGGTAAAGGAATTCGGTGAGATAGGAGATCATTAAAAAGGTAGGAATGATCATACAGAGGACAACTGAAAATGATATGGTTCAAGTCACCCACTTCTGTACCACAGCTACATATATCATTATCTACAATTTTTAGCTTAGCTAGATGTGCAGGAGAGCATACATGCCCCAATCTCATTCTAATTATTGACGTAGTCTCGCTTTTGTTCAAATTAATTTTGAAGAACCAAGGTTTAAACTGAATAGTTG